CACTGGTCGATAGATTAGATACCTAGTGATTACCTAGTGATTACACTGATCGATAGATTAGATACCTAGTGATTACACTGATCGATAGATTAGATACCTAGTGATTACACTGATCGATAGATTAGATATCTGGTGATTACACCCATCGATAGATTAGATACCTAGTGATTACCTAGTGATTACACTGATCGATAGATGAGATACCTAGTGATTACACTGATCGATAGATTAGATACCTAGTGATTACCTAGTGATTACACTGATCGATAGATTAGATACCTAGTGATTACACTGATCGATAGATGAGATATCTAGTGATTACACCGATCGATAGATTAGATACCTAGTGATTACCTAGTGATTACACTGATCGATAGATTAGATACCTAGTGATTACACTGATCGATAGATTAGATACCTAGTGATTACACTGATCGATAGCTTAGCTACCTAGTGATTACACTGATCGATAGATTAGATACCTAGTGATTACACCGATCGATAGATTAGATACCTAGTGATTACACTGATCGATAGATTAGATACCTAGTGATTACACTGATCGATAGATTAGATACCTAGTGATTACACTGATCGATAGATTAGATACCTAGTGATTACACCGATCGATAGATTAGATACCTAGTGATTACACTGGTCGATAGATAAGATATCTAGTGATTACACTGATCGATAGATAAGATACCAAGTGATTACCTAGTGATTACACCGATCGATAGATTAGATACCTAGTGATTACACCGATCGATAGATTAGATACCTAGTGATTACACTGATCGATAGATTAGATACCTAGTGATTACACTGATCGATAGATTAGATTACACCGATCGATAGATTAGATACCTAGTGATCACACTGATCGATAGATTAGATACCTAGTGATTACACTGATCGATAAATTAGATACCTAGTGATTACACTGATCGATAGATTAGATACCTAGTGATTACACTGATCGATAGATTAGATATCTGGTGATTACACCCATCGATAGATTAGATACCTAGTGATTACCTAGTGATTACACTGATCGATAGATGAGATACCTAGTGATTACACTGATCGATAGATTAGATACCTAGTGATTACACCGATCGATAGATTAGATACCTAGTGATTACCTAGTGATTACACTGATCGATAGATTAGATACCTAGTGATTACACTGATCGATAGATTAGATACCTAGTGATTACACTGATCGATAGATTAGATACCTAGTGATTACACTGATCGATAGATTAGATACCTAGTGATTACACTGATCGATAGATTAGATACCTAGTGATTACACTGATCGATAGATTAGATACCTAGTGATTACATAGTGATTACACTGATCGATAGATTAGATACCTAGTGATTACACTGATCGATAGATTAGATACCTAGTGATTACACTGATCGATAGATTAGATACCTAGTGATTACACTGATCGATAGATTAGATGCCTAGTGATTACACTGATCGATAGATTAGATACCTAGTGATTACACTGATCAATAGATTAGATGCCTAGTGATTACACTGATCGATAGATTAGATACCTAGTGATTACACTGATCGATAGATTAGATGCCTAGTGATTACACTGATCGATAGATTAGATACCTAGTGATTACACTGATCGATAGATTAGATACCTAGTGATTACACTGATCCCTAGTGATTACACTGATCGATAGATTAGATACCTAGTGATTACACTGATCGATAGATTAGATGCCTAGTGATTACACTGATCGATAGATTAGATACCTAGTGATTACACTGATCAATAGATTAGATGCCTAGTGATTACACTGATCGATAGATTAGATACCTAGTGATTACGCTGATCGATAGATTAGATGCCTAGTGATTACACTGATCGATAGATTAGATACCTAGTGATTACACTGATCGATAGATTAGATACCTAGTGATTACACTGATCGATAGATTAGATGCCAAGAGTATTTTCTTATTAAACTGATCGATACAAAATCTGAAAATCTGTTTCTCTCTTTGGCTTTCTTTAATTAAACCACAGTGTCTGTAGCGTCATGAATTGATATAAAGCATTGAGCTGATCACATTCTGATGATGTGATATGCGTCTTATAGTGAACGGGTCATTTCCAGTCCCTTTAATGTGTAAAATTAACTTATTTATATTATTATCTAAAGCATCTAATTTTCATTGTTTATAAGTTTGCTCCCGTAGGAGCTAACAAAAATTGCACTTGCGGCCATTTTCAGGCCACAGTGCGGGGTATTGGGTATAGTTTTCAACTAGCAATAACCACGTCTCGGAAAATCCTCATCGACTATGGTACCGCCACTGCGCAAAGCTAAAGATTACAACACAAGGCTGGTCTATATATATCATGTTATATATATTATCATGGGTGTGTTATTATATGATAAATATTTTTTTTACCAATATTCCTATGTCAAAAATATGGCCAATGTTTCAGTATTTTATCTGTTAATTAAGACTGTAATGATAGCTTTTTAATAATTATCAAATTTATTTTAAACGCGTGCTAAATATAACAATATTTTAGAATTCATTCAAAATTTCAGTTTTCACAATACGTTGTTGGTACGTATACAGATAACTCTTTCCGACAAAATTATCAGCTGATGTCCCTTTAATTGTATACTTTCTATTCAGTTTGTTTTGTCGAAAATTCTATTTTCGATTTTCCACTTTGTTTTGCTAGAAGTGCAAGGTATCTAAAAACAGAAACTGGTCATGAGAAATCAAATCAGGTCTGAATGGGAGATAATTTCATTTTTATTATTAATTCTAAAAATAAATGTGACGGAATTTATAAAAAAATATATTTGAAAAGGACAGTTTCTGTGAAGAAATAAATCGATCACATTGAGAGGAGATGAAACAACTGAAGAATCCCTAAATGGAGACAACAATCACCATGGTCAGTAAAATCCATCAACGAATGCGGTCAAGAACTGCATTGGTTTGGAATGAAAAATACTGTAGATATAGAAAGAAAAATGAGATATTCAATAGCCAATACTTTAGGTGTGTGACTGTTTAATACACGATAAAATAATTTCTATTTTAAACATGGCAATATTTTGGGTTATTTCTCTCATGTAATAGCCGATACTTTGTGACAGCAAACAAACAACCATCTTAAGCAAGAACTGACATAAAGTTGTACATACAGCATCATTAAGATATTTTTAAAAAATATGCTTAAATAAGATATTCTTTTTGAAGTTGTACTGCTAAAGTCAGGGAAGTATTGAAATTTGCTTTGGGGAATGGGTTCCACATTCGTCCAGATGCTGTTGGGATAAAAGGCCTAGAACCATCATGTACAGTAACATCTATACTTTATAAAGAAAAGAATGCAAGAAGGATTTCTTTTGGGGAGTTACAATAAGTGGTATTATTCTTATAAACAGACAGTTGGGTTGTTAATTCGTTCAAGGTTCCAGACGTGAAGAAATTTATTAGGAGATCGAGATCATCTAATTTTCATTGTTTTATGTTTGCTCCCGTGGGAGCTAACAAAAATTGCACTTGCGGCCATATTTCAGGCCACAGTGCGGGGTATTGGGTATAGTTTTCAACTAGCAATAACCACGTCTCGGAAAATCCTCATCGACTATGGTACCGCCACTGCGCAAAGCTAAAGATTACAACACAAGGCTGGTCTATATATATCATGTTATATATATTATCATGGGTGTGTAATGATATGTTTAATTGTTTTCTGTCATTTCAATTTGTCAAAGATATGACCAATGGTTAAGAATATTTTTCTGTAGATTAAATCAGTAATTATATATATTTCATGATTATCAAATTTCATTTGAACACGTGTTAAATACAACAATGTTATAGAATTCATTCAAAACTTTAGTGTTTACAATACGTTGTTAGTACGTATACAGATAACTCTTTCCGACAAAATTATCAGCTGATGTCCCTTTAATTGTATATTTTCTATTCAGTTTGTTTTGGCGAAAATTCTATTTTTCGATTTTCCACTTTGTTTTGCTAGAAGTGCAAGGTATCTAAAACACAAACTGGTCATGAGAAATCAAATCAGGTCTGAAAGGGAGATAATTTCATTTTTATTATTAACTCTAAAAATAAATGTGACGGAATTTATAAAAAAATATATTTGAAAAGGACAGTTTCTGTGAAGAAATAAATCGATCACATTGAGAGGAGATGAAACAACTGACGAATCCCTAAATGGAGACAACAATCACCATGGTCAGTAAAATCAATCAACGAATGCGGTCAAGAACTGCATTGGTTCGGAATGAAAAATACTGTAGATATAGAAAGAAAAATGAGATATTCAATAGCCAATACACAAAGTGTATGACTGTTTAATACACGATAAAATAATTTCTATTTTAGAAATGACAAAATTATTTCTCTCGTGATACTTTGTGACGGCAAATAAACAACAATCTAAACCAAGAACTGAGAACCAAGAACCAAGTTCTTTAAAACGGCGACGTAAGGCTAAGTTCATCTGAAAACTCGCTTTTAGCTAGAGCTGTTAAAAAATTATTAATGCATGTGAACGAGTTAACCGCATTCCCCACCTTTCCTCCTTTGTACTATATACTCCCTTATTCCCTCCTTACCTACCCTCCTTCCTTCTCTTCAGTCATTCCCTTCTGTTTCAATCAAAAATAATTATATATATACATGCATATTGTTACAATGCTTGTTGTTTAAGTATCGGTGCATAAACTATGTAATGGAGAGGGCTTTATAAGTTGGTAAAACTTGTGCCCAACCCTATTGTACTAATTTTCTGCAATACAGTGATTATTAAATCAAAATCAAGAAGTGACTTAAAGTTGTTAAAGTTACATAAAATGATATCATTCTTATAAACAGGCTGTTTAGTTGAAAATTCATTAAGAAACGTACGTGAACACACATGTTTTAGGAGATCGAGATCATCTAATTTTCATTGTTTATAAGTTTGCTCCCGTAGGAGCTAACAAAAATTGCACTTGCGGCCATATTTCAGGCCACAGTGCGGGGTATTGGGTATAGTTTTCAACTAGCAATAACCACGTCTCGGAAAATCCTCATCGACTATGGTACCGCCACTGCGCAAAGCTGAAGACAGTGAATGAGGGCTGGCCTATATATATTAGGTGTGATATATTATAATGGGTGTGTTACAATATGATAAAAGAATTTTAAATCGAAATCACTTTTTTTTTAAAGAATATTTTTATATCAGAATTGTTTCTATTTATTTCATGAATAATTACAAGCATTTGTTTTTGTTACTTATTTAAAGATAAATGCTTTCTGAATGAAATATTGTTTTAGAATTCCAAAACCGGCACATTCACATACGTTTACAATACGTTTATTTGAGTAAGGGTAGATAAATCTTTTCAACATCATTTTCATTGACTTATTTCCCTTTAACTGTCGTTCCAGTAAATAGTTACACGGGTTGCAGTATATACATATCATTAATAATTCTTCCGAAACAAACTTAAGTTGTTGAATTATTAAAGTATAGGTGAATACACCCCTAAATATTTTTTAACATTTCTTTTGATTTACCAATTTAATAATAATAATAATAATACGCGCCTGCTAGATTTAAACAGTTTAGGGAACGAACATCACTGGCGAGTCGTATAACACGCTTAGCTAAAACAAAAACACTACAACCATGTCATTCTAGATTTATATTAAATGTGCTGTATACTCCTGTATCTTTTTCAGAAGCACTTAACAAATATTAGATAAAAGAAATAATGGAATTTAATGATGTGCTGAAGTATTTAACAATACTATTTTTTAAATTCGGACACTCGTGATGGAAACATTAGTTAAAAAAACAATGACGTCTGCAATAGTAACGGATATCTTTATTGGGTCATGTTGCAATATTTCTTAAATTACAGAAATTTACATTAATCCCTTATAATCCATCAGATACTATCGCTGACTTAGATATATCCGTGTTATTACTAAAGATACGAGTCATCACATACACTGTAATTATTTCGTGTAATTCTTAACTTTTATTCTTAGACATTTATTTTTTTCAAATTGTTATTACTATGACCAGCACAATGTTGACTCTAAAAATAACTCAATTGTGAGCTATTTAGAAAATAAAAAACACAAAACATGCCACGCCCACTTTCGAAATACTTTAAAGATACGTAATTAACATATGTAGTTCCTATAATAAATATATTTAATAAACATGTTCTTAATGAATATATATTTCATAGCACTGTTGGTCCAATGCTAAATAATGATCGCATTTATATCTTTGCATTTTATATAAACGGTATCCGAAGGTTGATATAAAGTAGACGCTCACAAAATACGAGTGATGTCATTCCATTAGTACGAGTTACCTCCCCTCTTTTCATTTTAATCTACCTTATATCCACACGACCGAATGTTGCAGTTAAAAAATATATACTCGATATCCCTATGAACACGGGCTAAGTATGTCCTTCTTGTTATCATTCATGACTCGTAGATATGTTTACCGATGAATGACAGCTCTAAATTGACAATTCGTGTACCGGTATACGCAATGAACTTCGATTTCTGACCGATATGTATCCGACATCATTTGCGATTGAGGTAAACCTGTTTGGAAGCCATATTGGCCCGGACACTAATGGCGGTTGAAACTGTAGACAGGTGCTTCATTCTTTCCAGGTTACATTTTTGCCGGGGAAGGTGTTTAAACGTAAAGCAAAGGTCACGTGTAACTTTGCACTAAATTGTGTTCATAGAGAGGGTTACTGTTGTGTTGCAGTAGATACACATATATACGGAAGTGAAAAATTCGTTGGATGTTGACAGTTGAAGTTGTAACCCCATGTCCGAGAGAATTTGGATTGTATAGAGTTTCTAAACCCGATAATTGTTGTGACAACAAGTTAAGCCAGACAAGATCAATTGGAATAGTGAATGTAGAGGTTTAATTAATATGCATCCGTTGAACATTGGATAATGTCGCGATGCGGATAGGACAAAATGACAACTTGGACAGTCAAAATATCAGGGATAAGTTGATTGAATCCTGAATACAAAACCAGGACATCCGGTCAGCATCTCTCGTACACGGACAGGTCAGAGAGATGGCATCGTTTGACCCAGAATATAGAATTAGGCTTCAAAAGGTGGAGGAAAAGCTGGTGGACTCAAATTCCGAGTTAAATGTGAACGGGCTATTGGTAAGTTGTCTGTGGTCACGGTTGGCTAGACGTCAAACCAACATTTTTGTCAAGTTTGTCATCACCATAGACTAATATGCTGATGCTGTCTGGCATAACTGTGACTACTTTATGTATAGTTATTTAATAACAAAATTAGTTGCAACATGTATACATAAAGTACAACAACCTGCTGTATCAATGACCCTTAACATGCATAGCATTTAATTACTATTTTTGTTTGCTGGCATTTGAAATAAAGCTACAGGTTGTACCAACTAATTGTATCACACAATTGTTTTCACCATTTAATTTATCAGTTATGTTATAACAGTTATTAGTCGGTGAAGTCCTTACTATAAATATATTTTCCATAATCCTATATAATGCCACCCCATGCTACTGTAACGTCATCCTCATATGAATTAAGTTATGAAATAACATATAATGCATGCAACAGGAATCTCACATGTGAAAATGTGATCTTTGTCTTCATAGGACCATAAATCTACAAAAAAAAACCAAAAAAAAACTTGACAGTTAATGGGGGCAGAGAATGCTGGATACAGGTTGAATTGAAAAGGTTCAAGCATAAAATATGAAAATGTACCCATCATGATATTAAAGTTTCCTGTCTGAGATTCATGGTTCTCCCTTGCCATGCTTGACTGCAGATTGGACTGTTGGTCCTGTGGTGACATAAACATCAGTTCCTTTTTTTCCCAAGTAATTTTGTTGAAATCAAACTTCTTAAAGACATGTGGTACTGCATTAATAATTGGCCTAGAGTTAGCTGCAGAACCATGGTGGAATTGATAACCTGCAGATAGTATATTTTGAAGTAAGTTATCCTTCATAAAACCAACATCAGATTCTGGATTTTGATGGAGCCAGAAGCCATTCAAATTAAATATACAATTTACATTGTTATTACCAGATATATTAAGGAAATTATATTTTGTTCTTGTTTGAATGTATTATGATGTAAGTCATATTTTGGTTTATTTTTTAATATATTTAACTGAACCTTACACAGAAGTATGTCTTTTTCCTGGAAGCATCAATATCATGGAGTTAAGTCCTACAGTAAATATCTGCAGTGCATATATATCAAACAAAACACAGAAGTTGGCAGTTTTAAATTTTCTGGTTGAGAATTTTAAGATATGAAACATGACTTTTAAAACTAGTGTAGAGGTTCTAGTATTATGGATGGACAAAGTAGAATAGTTAGGATAAAAATATAAAGTAATATAATGAGTCAACAATCCATATTTACACCAGGATTGGTAATATATTGATTTTGGTATGGAGGTTCCTAACATGTGATAATATACAAAACAGTGTGCAGCTTTAATAAGTTTTGGAAGAAGAAAGTAAAATATATATATATCCTTCCATATTTACCTAAGGAAGGAGCAGAAAGAAACCCTTGTGTTTGTTTTAATTAGATTACATATGTAATTATAAAGAATATTAAAAATTACCATTTTTTCTGCAGAAATAAATTCATGGTGGTGAGGAAATATTTCAGTACAAATAAATTTGGTTTATAAGACTGTATCTACTTGAAAATGCCAGATTATTATAAACATCTCTGTCATTTGCCTGTTGAATTATGACCTGGATCTGCCATCTGCCTGTGTAGACCTTTAAACTGAATTACTAAATATAAATATATCCTGGTTCAGATAAGCTATTTATATATCACTGCTTGCTACACTTATGTGCCCTTATGTTTCATATCATCATTACAAGAGGCCTGGTGTGGAATTTAGTAATTCAATAGCTTTATAATTAAGTCATAGTTGATGAACAGCAATTAAATAGTGAATATCAAATTTCCTTTCTTCAAAACATTTTATTTTGGTTTTCAGTGGTACATTGGTGATTCTTTCTGATAACAGATTGTACCTGTTGATGTTCTCAGTTTTTGCATTTAGTATCAAGCTTGCAAGACTTTATACAAAGTGGATTCATTGCTTTAAAAACAAATTCATCTGACCTTCTCTTCATTATTGCATTCTTGAAGTGAATGTATAATGGCCACAGGGAAAAAGTTATGAATTTATTTATAAAACAATACCTACAAGTACCAGCTGTGGTTTAGTCTGAAGGACTGAAGCAGCTTCTGCTCTATAGATGTAAGACAAACCAGTAAACAATAAAGATACTTAACCTACGAAATGTATCTGTTATATATACGTGTGTGGCTGTGTGTTCTGTAGCCTGTACTGGTGTAAGGTTCAAATTCATTGAACATTTTGCCTTAACATTAAAAGTTGTTTAGCATTGAGCCTGAATGAAGGTAAATGCTCATATTGGTTTGAACAATCTTCCTAGTATTTATTATTATAGTTTTTGTAATGTTATCAAATCTGTTGATTACTGTTTACGCAGACAACGTCTGGTTAAGTTATGTCGGAATACAATCAATCCTTATAACGTTTCAAACTTGCGGATTATTATAGTACCTGTACACAAGATGTCTACAGATCAGTGGGGAAGTGTGTTCCATGGGTCAAGTTCTCAAGAGAACCTTATATTAGATAGAGACTGAACTATCATAATGTATGTAGGTCAAGCCAAAGGTCACATTTTAAGTGAACTTAAACACAAGGTCATAATTTATGTAGGTTAAGTCAAGTTAAAAAAAATACTCATGTCTCAGAGGTCAGGTTATAACATACATAGATTAGTTTGATCTCAAGCTCCGAACATGAAGGTAGAGAAACATGTATGTATTTGAAGGTCAAGTCCAAATGAGACCTCAAATAAAGACTAGAGAATTTATGTATGTAGGTAAAGGATCAAGTCCCCAATAGATTTCAGAGAAGTGCTAGAATATGTATTAATTTTTGGCTGCGATCAAGTTATCAAAAGACTTTAGATAGAAACAAGAACATTGTGTAAATTTCTCGGAGGATATTACATACTGGAGCATTATGTATGCAAAACTTAAAATGTTTACAGTTTTCGAATGAATATGAAAAACACTGATGTTTTTCTCGATATCATTTTACCATCAAAAGAAATGCGGTAAACCTGCGGTCAGTTCGAACAGGCAGGTAGTTTGAACATGTGATTTTTTCAATAAAAACAGTAATTTTGTGTCTGGTGATAGTTTGAATCCTTTCTAACAGGGTAGTTCGTTTTACTTATATTTTGAATTGTTAGAATATATCATGAGACTGCATGTATTTCTAATAATAAATGCATTGGCGTCGCAATAATCGCTCTGTGTGGTCACAATACACATCAATGTAAAACACTGTGGGTAGCAGGCTGTAAATGACCATGGTAAGCAGTTGATAGGATAGATTATACACGTACATGTCATTTAATTAGCACTGATTTAGTGTGATTAATTTCACATCTTGCTGTAACATTGTGTGTTCGCCAGCTGACACAACTCGAAGCCCCAATGTTGTATTACAAGCTAAATGATTGGTAAAGGACCATGGGATGTCAGCATGTGTTTTGTCAAAGAACAACATTGTTTCACTTCACATTTTGATAAGACAATCACGTCAAAACTGTCTCAATAATTGTAAGATTCAAAATATTTAACAAACATTAATAATCTGTAGTCATAGTAAGTCTCAATCCTCACTCTGCATACCGATATGTCAACGCTAACATCCGCCAATATACAAACAGAAATGTGCATTTTACAGACTGGATTCTCTGTCACGGTATCCAAAGTTATAAAGATCAAAATGAAACCTGTGATTTCTTTACAGGCGGTTAATATGTATTGCAGTACAGTGTTTAAAGAGATAATAATGTCAAAATTGATCCCCCAGAAATTGTAATTTCCGACCGGTAGTTTCCTGTCCTGCTAGGATGCTTTTAGATGCTTCGTCATAATTTTGGGCAATGTCGACCTTGAGAGTTCAAACTCTAATTCATTTTCATGAGCATAATTTCGTATAAATCGAACAGGTTCAATAATATTTTATTAATTTTGTTCAAACTGACAGAAGGTTTACCATAACTTGTGTCAGATTCGTTCATAAGACAATTTCCTTTAGTAAAACAGTAGATGAAGGACAACCACTTTCGTTGAATCATGGAATATGTTGGCATTTTGTTGTCAGACACTACATAAGTTAAAAGTTAAATCTGTTTGGCAGTCATTAGCACTAGCTGTGGAGGTGGTCTGAGGTTAATAATGTTTGCTAGTCATAATTACCTGAGTGTGTCACTCTGGTGGCGATTAATTGCACACTTACACTGAGATACAGTAAGTTATATACATGTATGACTCATGAATGTTTGTTATATTTCTCAATTAGTGGATATTTGACATGTATGCTTTCTTCATATTTGCTACATGGATTTATGATTATCTTTATTATGGTTATATAATTTATTTTATACTCAGGTTCTGGAAGAAACACATTTTCTATCTTGTGATTATTAATCATACATATTTTGGGGAGTTGATCATCAAAAATAGGCTAGTCTATTTGAGAATGTACAAAATGGAGATATACTTAACCATGATGTCACCTCTAGAAAAGAATAACCTTTCACTCAATAACATTGTGGCAATACCACCCTCGGAAATAGGTTTCTCTTTCCCCTAGCCAAAAAGGTTATTTTTGATGCCCCTCGATTGTAGGATTGGGGACATATTGTTTTTGTGCTGTTCTCAACTTTAACCTTGCCCATTACCATTGCACCGGATTAGTTAGGGCTTTTATATTTGACATGTTTGTTCCTTAGCTTGTGACAAGACCTTTCTGATGGTACGAAATGTTTTGACCCTGTGATCTTGACCGTGACCTCTGACCTACATTTGAAAATTTATAACCTTGGCCATAACCATTGCACCATAGGAGGTAGGGCTTTCATATCTGGCATGTGTTTTCCTTGTGACAAGACCTTTCTAGTGGTATGTGACCTTGTTTGTGACCTTTGCCCTACATTTGAAAGTTGTATGTTTGTACATGTAATTGGACATGCATTACAGTTTTATTGTCCCACTTCAGAATTTTGTTGAGACCAGGGCCCTAGTGTTTCATAAACAGATCCTGTTTTTTCTCAAAATTTAGGAAAAATCAGGAATGAGCAGCTTTCAAATTCTGGTAGAGAAAACACTACATAGTCCAGTCATGATAAGTTTACCTGTACTTGTAAACATTTTAATAACATTTATGGGAAAAGGTGTCTGTTACAATTATGGTCCTCACTTTTTTATCTGGTATCTCATTTTAGGAAGAAATTATTAATGAAGAACTTAAATTTAAACTTTATATTCATTCCCGCTTGGCCTTCAGAAATAGCATTGGTTTTTATTGAAAATTTTGTCTGTAGATGTTTCCAACATTTCATAGAATCAAAAGAAAAGAACAAACAAGATTGAATGTAATGAATAAATCAAATATGAAAATGTCTGCTGTGGTGATATGACAAATATGGATCAAATGTGTGTAAGTTGTCTGTAGGTAGCCTCCAATCTGGCCTTAGAAAACAGATGTAATACATGCGTATGCTGTTAGAGACACTGCAGAGCTGTAGTTGTTAACTGAACATTCCAGTCTTCTCTAGCAGTTTATTTTGAATTCATATAGACAATTATGATATATTCAAAGAAATAACAGTCAAGTTGAATTTTTTCAAAATCACAGAGTGGCCATTGATGTGAAATGTGTGTAGGGATATGAAATGATAATGTATCAGTTATGGTCCTCACTTTAGCCTTGGTTTTTATTGAAAATTTTGTCTGTAGATGTTTCCAACATTTCATTTATGTTAGTCAAAATAATACAGCAGCTGGAAGAAATTTAACAGAACTCTATCAGATTTTTAAAATATGAATTGACAGTCGAACAAAATATTTTAAAATATTTCTGTTACTTGTATTTTTTCAGAGATCTAGATGTAGTTTTCTTTTTCTAATTTCTGCATATTTCTTAACTTCACCTTGTCAGCATGTGTTAGTCCTGGTCTTGATAAAGTGCGTAGTTGTCTGGTGCATCAGAAGTGTTAAGCTAACCAGTCTTGGTACATGAGAACAAATGTTCAGACATTTGGAGACATGCAGGGAGACAGAGAAGCAGGATCACATTCCTGACATTCCACTACCTTGTCAGCCATTCATTTCTTACAAATGTATCGGTCATATGAAATATATCTCTTTTTCTGGGATACAGCTTAATCTTTCAACAGCAGTACATGGAAGTATTGGCCTGTAAAGTCAGGTGAACACAACAGAATTTGCCCAGTTTCCACACAGCTGGTCATCCCCAGCAACACATTAATGCAGCTATACTGTGGTCAGATCTGATAATGGTCATTGATACTGAGCTGGATTGGAGTACTGAATATTTAATTGCTCGAACTCCAGTCTAGTAATTAGGAATATAAACAGAGATCCATGGCTTTAATCAGGCACCCATATTCAAGAATGTTCTAATGTTAGCTCTGGTTGTTGGTTCTGAATTATGGCCAATAATTTGGAAAAATTAATAGATAAAGATATATTATTTTCATATCTAACCGAGTTAAGATTTTCAGAATTACTTTGTATAATGTCAAAATTTAAAAAAGATATAGAGCTGTTAAGTAGGGATTTTTATCAACGTATACTAAACATAGCTTATTAAGGTTCTAGCTGATTTATATGATAGTGTTAATGGATTTTAAGTACAAGGAAATAATTCATATACATTTAAACAATTCAAGAGTGGTTATGTATACACTCAGAAATTAAGAAATAGACACATAGATCATCTGTTATATCAAGTATTCATGCAAAATGAATCATTTATGACAAAATACACTGACACTTGTCCACAGAGGCCACTTGAAACAGCAGAGAGAAGTGGCCTTTATACACAGGTGGTCTTTATGTAAAAGTTCAGTTACTATGAATTACATCTCAAAGGGAACCGAAAAAGTGGCTATTTTATAAAGATGGCCTTTAAAACACAGGTAGCTTTTAAGACAGGTTTGACTGTATATGTAACAAGGGACAATTTGTATCTAGATTTGAAAAGTGAAAAAAAAAACCAGAACCTTTCCCCATCATGTGACAGTAGTATTATATAATTTTACAGTTTAAGCCTATCTATGTATAACTGTTTAGCTATTGTGAGATTCTTTAACTCGGAAAGTATGTGAAATACTCCTGTTTATGTTGAGAATGGTAATAACTGACCACGGAAATGTGTCCATGTTTGGCCGGGTATACAAGTAGATAACACCCAGAGTGATTATACCCAAGTTTTAGCATGGTATGTACGTAGATCTGTTTGACATTTGTGACCCACACCCTGATCTTCTTCCAGAACAAGTGACAGTGTTGTTAGTGTAAATGCCATAAACACCTGAATAGTGATTATCAGCGGAGTGATTATACGCGACTTGAGCACTAAGGGTATACCTGTGGGCCTGGAGTGGTCAGTCCTGATAACACTGGACATCAGCCTGGTGTGTGCCATTACTCAAAGGACGTGGTTAGCTTGGTACCCAATGTGGAACTCTTGTCAAGAATTTTAGATCATGATTATTAGGAGCTGTGATTCATTATTAGGTTGACGGTTCTTCTGACTGTTGACGTTTTTACAGGGTGTTTCCTGAATTTGTCATGCCATTGTTTTCTGTTTACAAATTAAATACCTGGAATGTCATATTTGACAAATTTTCTGAAAAACATTATAGATTTAAAAAAATTGAATTCTTTTCTGAATCTGTCTTCCTTTCCTCCCCTAATAACCATCTTGCATTGAAAGTCATTTGAAAAACAGAAATGAAAATTTGATTTTTTTTAATAGATTTGATATTTTGTTCAACATATATCTTCAGGCATTAATGATTAAAAATGAAAACTTCAAACCAATTTTTGGGAGGGTGTCTATAAAATAATACATTAAGCATGCTTTTGAATTTGAAGTATTGAAAAATTCAAATCATCTGATTTTTACTTCAATTCATGCATGGTTAAAATGCACCTGTAAATGAAATTTCATGTTTCAAATCCATGGTATTTGTGATTTATAAAGACATAGTAGATATATAGAAATAGTGTATATATACATTTCAGATCTGTTAGAAACACAAAACATATGTATGTGTCACCCTCCAGTGAATTCCAACGCCACAGACAGTAACCAAATTTCTCCTATAGCTATACACTCTCACCATATGCATGTTTTTTTTTCTGACTCCTTAAAATTTTACTGCCAGTGTTTATTTTTATGCACATTGATAGATAAAGGAGACTGGGCAGGTATCTCCAGTTTACATCAGACTGCCTGTAAAATTGTGTTGTTCTGGTGGTTGTGTTATAGATTGCCCTGATCTGCATCACTATGATTTTTGCTGTAGCACATTATATACGTACAGATGTTACCAAGTTCTGATTGGATCAGTTGTTTCACACCTGTTTAGGCCTATACCTCTATACCTGTTTGGAGTCTTTTCATCCATATACACCTTCTCACACAAGTGATCATGGGTTAGGAAATTCAATTCATAACGAATAATGATTATACAATCTTTACTGTCTGTGTGTTGTTTCGGTTGGAGGAGGTAAACAAAATTTTTTTTATGGGGAGGATGGGGGTATCATGTGATATACCCTTCTTTAATGTCTTTGCCGGTTTTGTTTACAGGATGGATGGGTGGGGTTTGGGGAAACCTTTTATATGGCTATTCCTGAAATCTACTAACAAATTCTATTTCATTGCCTTGTGTGACAGGAAAGCACATAGTATGACTTTGCCAGTAATCAAACTTTGGATCCCCAGCTTATTAGTCTGCCATTCTACATATTGAGTTAAAGGGTAATTCCTTCAAATATTAAGCTAAAACATGACCACATTCATGTCTACAATCCAAACCTGCTACACCATATAATAAGCCCACCTATCCCCCCTGACATAGAGTAAGAAATGTCAAATGAGATGTTAGCTCCCTTTCTAAATTCAACAAATGTCAACTTTTTCTACAAATTACTATTAGTCATCGACGACTGAGTGGATTTTTACCAAATTTTGCATAAAGCATCCTTTGGGGAAGGGAACATATTTTATACAGATGTTGGGACCCAGTAGGGGAAATGGAGCAATTTATTTAAAATCCTACTCCTCTTGTAGGAATGATTTGATTTTGGCCAAATTCAGTCTGAAGTATTTTTGAGGAAGGGGAATCAATTTTGTATAAATGGTGGGTCTTGGTCCCCTGGGGCAGAAAGGTTGGGTCCCATTGGGGAAAGAGAGTAAATTAGTTAAAATTCTTCTCCTGTAGAAATGAATGGATATTACCAAAATTTGGTCTGAAGTATTCTTAAGTAAAGGGGAACCATTTCTGTATAAACGGTTTATCACAGCACCCTTGAGCGGGAGGGATGGGGGCTCAATTGGGGAAAGGTAAGTTCCTAAAAATTCCTTCTTTCGTACAAAGATATTATCCAACTTTCCTCTGAAGCAATTTTCATTAAGAGTAAATCTGACTTTTGTATGACCACAAGACTGAGACCTAATAGGGAAATTATATCAGAAATTATTGATGATATTTGAATTTTTTTATTGAATGGCTGAATAGCTAAATAAACCCTGTTATTGATGTAGGAACTTGATAGCCTCTTGTTTTTTGTTTATTGATAAAAGCAATTTATGTACCTATATTCTTCACCACAGTGAGCAGGGGCACACACACACACACACACACACACACACACACACACACACACACACACACACACACACACACACACACACACACAGAGAGAGAGAGAGTAAATTTTACTTTGGAAAGACACATTGATGTTGTAGTTCAACTGTAAATCTATAAATATTGATTTGTACAGTTTTAAAGTGCAGTTCATTTTTTTGGTGTCAATTTCTGAACATTTTCTCCAGTACTCAGTTAAAAAATGTTGTTTTCATCTACTGATGAAATCATTTCAATTTCAGGATGGCTTATCCTCGCTTATTGCAGACTTGGACTATCCAGCCATCCGGAGAAACAAGAGTGTCGACCAGTTTGTGGGCAAATGTAAGTACTCTTAGTCTTCAGGGTAGATAAAATATGTTAAAGTATCTTGAAGGGACCATGCTTAAAATCATTCATGTAGAAAAAAGGTTGCTAGTACCTGGTATTTCAAAATAAATATTCAAAATCTAGTAATACATGTGATTTGAAAAGATACATTTAAAAACCTAATGAAAATTAGTCATGTATTTGTCCAGATAGTGAGAACTTAAGATTAACTGTTATAGGATACTAAGTAATTTGGCTCAAGTTTAAGATAAGAATACCTCATGAGATGATAAACATAGGTTGCATGAAAAGTTCTGCATCCTATTATTAAATATCTTTGTGACAGTTTATTATATATTATCATTATTTCTTTTTTATATACAGATGGAAAGGCAGTGGAGTTTGTCAACAGCTGTCGTATGCGACATTCTGACTTTGAAGTTGTCAAAGTCATTGGGAGGGGTGCATTCGGGGAAGTTCAGCTAGTAAGTTTGAATTGTCTGAATTCACATTTGTCATAGTCTTACCTTATTCTGTTCTATGATTAATAGATAAACTATATATATATAGAGAGAACTGATTTTGACTTTGTATTGCCAAGGTTGTGAAATTTTTGTGTCATCTTTTTATTCTAGATTTAAAATTTACATAAAAATGTTTTGGTAAATATCAGGTATTTGAATATAAAAGAAAAAAAATGGATGTGAATTTCAAGAAGGTGTATTTAATTTTTAGGATATCTGTACTATAAATGTTACAGATATTTGTGTCATAGTTTCAGAATTTTGTCATTTTTCACTTTAGATGTTAAATGAAAAGAGAGATAAGAGTTACAGGTAACTCAGGTTTGGTAGTCCTATTGCTGCAGAGCACAAAGCAGTAAAGGAAAAATAAAGTTGTTTTCTTTTCAAGCTGTTATAGTGAGTAAAAGAAGCCTTATTTGTTTATATTACAGGTGAGGCACAAATCAACGCGGAAAGTGTATGCCATGAAACTGCTAAGCAAATACGAAATGGTGAGTGTTTTGATTCATCTTAAGTACAAATCACCGGTACAGATTCAATTCTTGATGTGGGCATGAACAATGTTAACACAGTGTGCCTCTGTAGGATTAGCCTTAATCTTCACTTCCTCTTTGTAGGAAATTCCTCAACAGACCTCCAATCTGTTTCATCTTGTTTTGCTAATGACCCATTCTCACCACCGTTTAGGATATGATATATAGCTGAGTTTAAGCTTCATTTGGTCAAGGCACCTGTTGTGTTTGTTTACCCTATATATGAAAAGGAGAGTTAGGACTCCTTATCTTAAAGAGCTCTACTATATACTATTTACAGAGAAGAAAAGAGATATTGATGTTCTGAATGAAGGGTTTCTTTTTGTTTTTTTTTTAAGTCCACCATCATCAGATGGTCAGCTATTAAAATTGCCCTATGTCTTTGGTCCATCCATTTGTTAGTATACAATTTTTAGGTCACCTGAAACAAAGTTTTAGGGTGATCTATTGCAATCCCCTTTTGTCCAGCATTGTGCGTCGTAAACTTTTAACATTTATGACTTCTTCTGAAAAACTCCTGAACCAATTTCATTGAAATTTTACAAAACCTAGGGGCCTGAGAGGCTGGACTAAAAAGGGTCGAATTGATTGAAGTTGCAAAACCCTTCTCAAATTGCTGTATGGTAGAATCAATAACTCTTCATAGACAGAAAGGCCTTCACATGGTATACCAAAATTTTATCATGACCCCAGCCCTCGCATTTGCCCCTGGGGAGGGGGTAAAGTTTACTAAGCTGATAGTTAGATGTGGTGCACATATTGACCTCAAATGACCTTCAAGGGCTTTTGGGCGGGGTCAAAAACGTGTCATATTGACTGAAGTTTCAAAAATCTTCTTCTCAATACCGAGATAATGTAAAACCAAGTACACTGTATGGATGGAAGTGCTTGGCCAAAATTGTAAATTTCATGACTCCAGGGTCTCACATTTTACCTTGGGGAGGGGGTAAAATTTACTATAGTTTGTATAGGAAAATTATGTTTTTAGCTCACTTGACCGGAAGATTTCTTCAAAACTTCTTCTCAATAATGAATGGACCAAATGCTTTGATATTTGGCTGGTATGTTCCTAGGATGAAGCCCAAAAAGTTTGTGAAAAGAAACAACCTTGATATATATTCAAGATCACACGGTCAGATTTGTTAAAACCTTTAAATGATTTCTTCTCATAAACTTAAAAACCCAGAGGTGTGATATTTGAGTGGTAAGTTCCTAGGATGAAGTCCGCCAGCAACCTTGACCTATATTTAAGGTCACAAGTGTCAGATTTCTTAAAAACTGCAAATGACTCCCTTCATGAACTAAAAGATGCTCAGAGGCATGATATTTGGCTGTGATGTTTCTTGGATGAATTCCAAAATCGTTTGTGAAAAAAAAAACTTTGAGCTATATTCAAGGTCACAGTGGTCAGATTTGTGTAAACATTTAAATAACTTAAATGAAAGATTTTATGTAGGAAAATTCAAATCTTGAGTGTAAATTTTTTATTCAAACTTGGTTAGAAGGCTTAGCATGGGACAGCAATGGATGTGTACACAATTTACATTTGTTTTATGTGCACAGTATAGTTAAAGATTGATTAATTTTTTAACTAATTTATTCTATGTAACAAGAAGCAATGTGACTCCGGTGACCATGGCCAGTGGGCCTCTTGTTTCACAGATTTTCCTTTTTTTCCTGCCATAATGATGGATTATTTACAACTAAAAAGGGTCCATTTTGAAAATTCATGGTTTGGGATGATAAACAAAAAAGATTCTTGTTTTAGTTGTCAAGATAACAGTAGAAGAATGGGTAATGGTAAATCAAAGTTTGGGAATTGTGGGTAATCACCTCTTTCATTTATGTATGTTATGATTTCTTTAGAAGTGAAAGATAACGCAGATTTACATAAATGTAATTACCACCACAGAGAAGTTGAAGTGGAGTTAGGGCCCAAAATAGCCCACACTATAATAGCCTGGAGCAGCCTAATGGTGTTTGCAGGGACACCGCTGGGGAATTCATTACTGTCCTGTCTCACTCCCCCACAAATAGAAACTTACTCTCTAAATGATGTGCAAATTGATTTCTATTGCAATAGTACACTGGAATGTACATATTTGTTCAGCCCCAACTATCCCGAGTTCCAAATCCATGTCCAATGAACTATTCCTAGGCAGGTAGTTTCTTGCAAGTTAACATATCATCCTTTTATCTGAAGAAAATGCTGATATTTAATTCCTTTTACAACAATATGTTCATTTCTTATCAATATGATCAGGGTTAAAATTTTTAGGAGTTTACTAAGGAATCATAAAAATGTGTATTTCTCATTTGAGTCATGAATCAGACTGTCATTTTCTCTGATAGTTTCATTTTCCAGGTAACATTTTCCATCATTTTAAATAGAATTTACAGTACTTTATAGGTATAAAGGCACTCTTTCCTCACCTGTAACTTTGGATTAGTCAAAGAGAAGTCTGTACCAACTTAATTTCAGTTGGGGTCGGCAGCTCATTAAGATAAAATCTCAATGTACATTTAGTGCTATCCAGAAGCATCTCTGGCAGGACACCAAATGATCTGTGTCAAATGATGCTGCAGATGTTGATTGATATACTATGTGTACTTTGAAGACAAGAATGTTTAAACCAATTTTTAGCAAATTCCTGTGTAGTTATTTCTATAAATTTTTAATTGGTGATGTTTCTGAAAGTGTAATTGAGGGAAGATTGATAAAAATTGGCTGTTTATGATGCTAAGAGACGTAACTCATATTGGCGGTTACTTAGTCTCTTCAGATGCAGACCTGTTGTTAGTTTTTGAGTCTCTCTGAATCCAGACAATAAAGTCCTGATGGTAGTTTTTGAGTCTCTGAATCCAGACAATAATTCATATTGGTAGTTTCTAATTCTCCCTGAATCTAGACAGAAACTTCTTGTGACTAGACTTATTCATAATAATACTTTCTGTGTCTATCTTGTTTCCTTTTGGAGTTTTTGACATCTGTAGAAAATTCTTTGAATATTTGTAAGTTTGATATCTACTGCTAAACATTTACAAATAACACATGTTTCTGGTACAGATAGCAATATCAAATACATACATAGACAATAACTGATACTAAGTATATACATTTTGAATATTATACAATACACATAGACCAAACTATCACACCTCTGCAACAAAATTTGGCAGGGAGGTGGTGTTCTCATTAAATCAAGGAGGCTGTCTGGATTTGGACAGGAGTTTTCAGTTGTAATTATTCAAAACTAATTCAATATTGATGCACCTAATGGGAATCTACTGGCAGTTATGGATTCGGAATTTTATTTTTCATTTCCAAGATTATTTTTGGACTTAATCCTTTTCAGAACCCTTCTCTCAACATTGTCTTCGTTATAATGCTTTCTTTTAATCAGTTTTTATCAAATTTGTAACACATTATCAGCAGCTAAGGTTTTTATATATTGTTTTACTGATTGTTTTCTGTCTTTTGTGATAACATTCCTCTGTTAATATAAATGTCTGTATTGAAGGAGGAGATATTAGTTGGCCTGTGGTTTGAAGATCCAGTTCAAATTGAGTGTATATGAATATACCTAGCTAGAAGGATGAATACGTCCCTGATATCACTGAGACCTGGAGATAATTATCATTATTTGTAGGAACAGTATACACCGTCCTAATGCTTCAACAAACACTTCTACTACAGACTGTTTGCAAACATCATACCTTTGGACATTGCTTCACTTACAGAGCAGCAATACACATCTGACAAAGTACAGACAAAAACAATGAGATTTACTTTTTGTCCTAATCAGCAATAATTGGGCCCAGCAGTCTGTGCTTAGATGTTTTCATCCGGTGCCAGGATACAAGTGTAATGCTCTGCAATGAAATGATGAATCTACCTATTGATGATGTTCAAGACTATTACTGACTGTGATTAATCTGATTCTGGTAGAAACTTGCACCAGAATAATATCAAAACCATCAGAAGTTCGGCCATTAGGCCAAACCAAATTAAGGAAGTGTTTTTTTGCCTGCACCTATATGTATGATAGAAATTTTCATGAAACTGTGAAAGTCATGTATTTTTAGAGTGTTTTTTGTTTGTATCATGTTTATAAGTGATAAGAAAAAATATTAAGAAAACAGAAACCATGTATTGAGAATCAGTCTTGTTGGAACCTCTTGTATCTGCTCTATTACTGGTATATTGGTAGAGTTGACTTTGTGATTGATGAAGTTGAATACTGATCCTTCCATCCTTAGGGAAATCTCGGTTCTGTGATGGTTTTGTACTGTATGGTCTTATCCAATAGAAAAGAGGGGGATTTGTACTTAGTGTTTTCTTTAGAGGCTATTTTCATTTCCTTTCAGAGTGATCTAAAAATTCAAAATACTTTCTTCAATGTTAAAATACAATGGGAAGAATGGGGTTGTGTTTCTGAGTTTTGACTCCAAAACTTGGATATATGAGAGTAACAAACTGTTTTAAAACCATCACACAGTAATGATTGTTGAAATATTGATTTTTTGAGACTACATCTTACACTTATAAAAATATTTTGATTTCAAACAAAATATGAAAAATTAATATTAAATAGTTGCTTCAAATCTGTTACATCTTATGAAATATTTTTTGTTCTAGGAAATCTATGAGCTGTTCCTTTACTCCTCGAATGCCAAACCTTTAAACAATTTTCAGTGTTTTGAAGGATCATGATTCATTTGGTGTCCCATTTTCCCATGGTGATTTTTGAAGGTGATAGGAATTCTTTTGTCACACAGAGTTTGTGTGTGCAATTTAATCAGTAGTCTCGTCAACTCTTAAGTTAATAAGGGGTTTCTGGTTTAGGCATGATGTTCTCTCACTAAAAGTAATTTGCAGCAATTCCTAGACACAAACTGAAACTCTGTCAGAATATTAAATGAAATGTTTGAATTTAACTGGGGAAATGAGTCATCTTTAGCAAATACATATAGTTGATGGAGCAGAGAGCAAATTTAACATGAGAAAATGGGTTAACAGTTAGATACCAACTTCTTATTCCAACTCATCTCCATTGCTGTTTAGTTCTGTCTACTGAATGTCATAGAAATTGATTGATCACTGACTTAAGTTTTAAGTTTATTTATTGAAAATCAAACACCTGGATACAAATACCATATAGCTAGTAATATTCGCAAAAATTCAATCCTTGACATAATAATACATGTGTATTACATGTCCTTTTACATCCAGGTAATTTTAATTTAATTTTTTAATTTTAAGATATAATTACTTCATTTTAAAAGAATATCACAAAAAATTTGACTCTTGAAAATGACCAGCTATACAGTATTCTATATTTTAGACATAATATGATTCATTGCAGTTTTAATATAGTAGCATGATTTCCTTAGATTGGTCAGTTTGGAAACAATATACAAAGTAAATTGGTCATGACAGATTACATTTGAGTCTCCTCAAAAAGTCAAGTTTACTCATCGTGGGTAAATATAGATAAATGGAAAACATTTCTTTATCCTCTAGGAAATGCATTTCCAGGGAATATTAATTTTGGGCTCTGTCTGTGCTTCCATCCATCTGTCCGTCCAAGGGCTTTAGCAGACTATAACTTCAAAACCGCTCAACTCAACTTCACAAAACTTGCTGTAGATATTAAGTTAGTGCCTTAGATATGCCTTTTGCCATTGACTACATTTCATTTAAAAGAAGTTTTGCATGTTACCATGGAAAGCTAGCTAAAAAACACAAAATTAGTGTTGACTTTCGTTTCTGGGCTATAACTTCCAAAACTGTTCAACTCAAATCAACAAAACTTTCTGTGTGTATTAGGTTAGTGCCCTAGTTTTACCATTTGCTATTGATGACACTTCTTTTTTTTTATATATACATTTCTGTTAACAACTTATCATGGAAACATAGCCTAAAAACACTTAATTAGTGATAAATTCCTTTCTGGGCTACAACTTCCAAACCATTCCACTCAACTCCACAGAACTTTCTCTATATATTCAGTGAGTGCCTGAGTTGTGCTTTTTTTTATTGAGTACATTTCATTATCTATCTTTTTTCTGTTACCATCAAATTTTTCGATTTGTTTTGATGTCTTGTATAACTCCAGAGCTTATATAATGTTTGTTCATGGACAATTCAGATATCAACAGTCAAACACACAAGATCTTACATTGAAATATAAACTCAAACTGTAAGGTATATGGTATATAAATGTTAAAGTTGAGGAGTTGCAAGGAAATTTAATTGATAATTGACAAAAGAAGATGTTACATTTTGCACTAATGCTTTCACTTTATTAGATCTTCAGAGGATACTAGCGGTACATAATTGAGTGACATTACAAATTGTTATACTGGTATATATATATATATATATATCATATTTGGATTTTACACCAACAGCTGGGTGCTGGAGATAATACCATGCTTTGGGGCTCCTTGCTTTCTTTTCTTATTTGTCCCACTTTTTTTTCATAATAGGATTTCAGTGTTGCATTTTTTTCTTCTTCTGTCTTATAAAGGACAATTTAAATGAATGACCTTGATCGAAAATAACTTCTTCTCAAATACTAGAAGGCCTAGGGGGCTACATAGTTTACCATATTTTGAATAAACTTGTATTGATTTATTATATGGTATGTACGATAAGTTCTTGCTTCAAAACAATGTTTTTTATGATAGATGTATTGTACGATTTAATAATATCATTTCTGTTATGTTTCAGATAAAGAGATCAGAATCTGCATTTTACTGGGAAGAAAGAGAAATAATGGCAAATGCTAACAGTTTATGGATTGTACAGGTTTGTGTTTCTGTCTGAATCCAGCCGATCGTCAAAAATAGATCGTTATGTTAGATATAAGATATGTCTGAATTCAGCATTGTCAAAAACAGATCATTGTGTTAGATATAAGATCTGTATAGAATTCAGCTGATCGTCAAAAACAGATCATTGTGTTAGATATAAGATCTGTATAGAATTCAGCTGATCGTCAAAAACAGATCATTGGGTTTATTATATGGTATGTACGATATATAAAACAATGTTTTTTATGATAGATGTATTGTAGAATTCAGCTGATCGTCAAAAACAGATCATTGTGTTAGATAGAGAGATCTGTAAATAACAGTTTATGGATTGTACAGGTTTGTGTTTCTGTCTGAATTGTGTTAGATATAAGATCTGTATAGAATTCAGCTGATCGTCAAAAACAGATCATTGTGTTAGATATAAGATCTGTATAGAATTCAGCTGATCGTCAAAAACAGATCATTGTGTTAGATATAAGATCTGTCTGAATTCAGCTGATAGTCAAAAACAGATCATTGTGTTAGATATAAGATCTGAAGTATACATATGTTGTCATTGGTACATTTTACCTATCTAGTTACAATATAATAATGTAATAAACATTCTTGGTAGATGAATCTTACTATAATCAAGCCAACTGTGTGAAAATTTTCCTTTCCATTGAAAATATTTGAGAGGAAATTTTGTTCTTTTAGCTACACTTCGCATTTCAAGACTCCAAATTTCTGTACATGGTAATGGACTACATGCCAGGTGGTGATCTAGTCAACCTCATGAGTAACTACGACGTTCCTGAGAAGTGGGCCAAGTTCTACTGTGCAGAAGTGGTTCTTGCTCTCAATGCAATTCATTCTATGGGATTCGTACACAGGTAGTCAGATTTAAAATCCTCATAAATAGAGTTAGACATGCTTTAGGGGTCAAGATGATATATGTTGTAACAGAATTTGGTTAGGGGGAAAAGTCTTTGCCAATTATTGTTATGATGTATATTAAAAAAAATAAAAAAATTATCACATTAATGGCTCTTTTCATGTCATACGGCCATGTCATCAATATCATGAGACGTGTAATAACATTATTGTGACCTCATAATTATAAGTGAGTCACAACTTAATAACATCACATGATTGCCATATTAGTGAAAATAATTTGAAATAAGTTGTTTAAAGAGATGTTACCTCTAGGGTTTTAACTTATATTTCAGAAATGCAGGTTATATGATAAATAAAATCTTACACTTGTGCTGATGTATTATGGAATTTACCAGACTTGTTAGATAAATTGATAAGTCATTCAATTAAAGGCTCTTCATATATCAAGTTATTGAATTAATTTCATAAACATCATATTACATTGACAGTCACATAAGATCCTCTCTACATTATTTTATTATACTTATTTTGCAATCAGCCCTAGAGCCTAGCTTAGTAATTATAACTCTAAAGAGTTGGGGAAAGGCTTATTGCATGACATTGAAATAGCATTTGTTTGCAATTGTACTTAGCAGCATTAGAGGTATAGATGGGCTTATTACCAGACATGGGCTTATTGCTGGATAAAGGTGGTTGTACATGTGTATAATCCTGTCACACAAGGAATGTACCTTTAATTAAATCATTAAATTTTTTCTTTCCTAAAGATTATGTTGAAAATGAAATAATTAATTGTGAAAAAATGACAGGATCAATGAAAATAGGGTAAACGGTGTCTATTGTTTAGCTCCCATGAACAGCTACAGACTATTTTATAAGCTTATGATAACCAATAAAATTATGTAAATGAACTGAATATAAGGTTTCTTCTTCTTTAGGGATGTTAAACCAGACAACATGTTACTGGACTCATGTGGACATTTAAAGCTAGCTGACTTTGGAACTTGTATGAGGATGGACAAGGTATGCCAGATGACCACTGGTCAAGCTTATGGTTACTGACAATCTTAATTTTAAAAATCTTTTAAACAAAAAAAATCAGCCTTAAAAATATTTGATTTGAATAGTCATGGTGAACCATTCTGAAGTTATAGATTAGAAACATGAAATCCCTCAGACTGTAATGTTTTGTTGTGTCATTAGGATGGAATGGTTCGATCAGATACAGCAGTAGGCACGCCTGATTACATATCTCCGGAGGTACTCCAGTCTCAGGGTCGGCCTGGTTATTATGGTCGCGAGTGTGATTGGTGGTCAGTCGGTGTCTTCCTTTATGAAATGTTGGTTGGTAAGTTTATATGAAATATTAATTGGTAAGTTTATATATAATGTTGCAGGGTGAGTTTATACATATATTAATCTCAAGTTTATATGAACTGTTGATATTTAAGTTTATACTTCTTATTGAATTGAAAATGTGTATGAAATATGAATTACGTATTAATAGTCAAAGAAGTTCCTATGAAATATTGATGGGTTATTCCATGAAGTATTAAAAGTCTTATTAGCAAGATTATGTGAATTTTTTATTGTTAAGTTTAAATGAAATTTTGGTTGGTAGGTTTGGAAAAAATCCTGTTTTTGCTGTTAACATGTAATTCTGACTTTCATTTTCAGGTGACACACCCTTTTATGCAGACTCTTTAGTTGGAACTTACGGGAAAATTATGGATCACAGAAACTGTCTCAACTTTCCATCAGAAGTGGAAATGTCTAACGAAGCTAAGAGCCTTATTTGTGCCTTCCTAACGGACAGGTAAAATCAGTGTAATGGTTCATACTAGTGAGGCAAACTGATAACACAAGGAAGAATGCTCTAATATTTTTGAATTTTTGGTGGTATTAAATGTTTCAAAAATGTGATTCAAAGGATTTATTACTTTACCTGAGTCCTCTTGGCTAACTTGTTTAATAAAACTTTGTGTTTGCAAGATTCTCCTTGTAAATTTCCTAGAAAATAAGTATTTGTCTTAAAGACATTTTTACTATGATGATATTTAAAGGTTTTTAAAAAGTTATTTGGGAGCTAATGTTCTGAAATTTCCAATCTGTTGACAGGAATGAGCGGTTAGGAAGGAATGGTATTGAGGAGATACAATCACACAAATTTTTTGCCAATGATCAGTGGTCTTGGGACAACATCAGAGAATGTAAGTTCAGAAGTAAAATGTGTTATGTAAACAGGATAAAATCACTCCTAGTGTAAAGACAGCATCAGAGAATTTTAGTTCACAGATAAAATAAATGATACACATGTGTGACATAACCAAAAAAACCATGCCCAGTGTAAGATTTTTATTCTGATAGCATCAGACTGATCCTTGAAAACTTTTTAAACACAAGTTTATAGTCTCTGTCTCCTTCACACAGGAGTGGTGTATTTAATATTTTCCTCACCTGAAGCTATTCGTGAACCACTGTGCTCTGATCACACCATTGCAAATAAAAGTTACAAGCATTAAGTAATTAGAATTATTGCCATTATAAACCTAGTGGGAAATGATAATCCAAAAATAAAGACGTATATCCGATTTCAAAGAAAGTAAAAGCAGAAAAGTAATTTTAGACTAGATCATACATGTAGGTTACTACTGTTCACCTTGTACTACAACTGTTAATGGAGTTACATGAAGGCTATACATCTTCACCACAGATCAAGTAAGCAACCCAGGACTTCGTAGTCAGATAATAGAATACTGAGCTCAAGCAAAAGCCTCCTTGTTGAAATCCTTAAGACAACTTTGATTTTATGTACAAAGTCTTTCTGTATTGATAACATGTATTTTGTCTTTGTTAAACTAGATGTACCACCAGTCGTGCCAGAGCTCGTCAGTGATGTTGATACAAGTAACTTCGAGGACATAGAAAAAGACGATTCCCCAGATGAGACTTTTGCGATTCCGAAAGCTTTTTCTGGGAACCACTTACCATTTATAGGTTTTACTTACAGTAGAAGTTATCAGTAAGTGTTAGAAGTATGCATGTACAGGTTATAACTATGTATGAGTGAGCTAAGAGGCTATCAGTAAGTGTTAGAAGTATGTATGTACAGGTTATAACTATGTATCAGTCAGCTAAGAGGCTATCAGTAAGTGTTAGAAGTATGTATGTACAGGTTATAACTATGTATGAGTGAGCTAAGAGGCTATCAGTAAGTGTTAGAAGTATGTATGTACAGGTTATAACTATGTATGAGTGAGCTAAGAGGCTATCAGTAAGTGTTAGAAGTATGTATGTACAGGTTATAACTATGTATCAGTGAGTGTAATGCATTATAAGTATGTGTATACCGTTATCAGTGAGTGTATAGGGTTATCAGTGAGTGTATAGGGTTATCAATGTGTATCATTATCAGTAAGTATGGGCAATCAGTAAGTGTGTTGGGTTCTAGATATGTGTATATGGTTAATAATCAGTGCATAGGGTTATAAGTCAGTTATTGGGCTATCAGGAAGTGTATAGGGTTACCAGTAAGATACGAGGCTATTTGTAAATGTAAAGGGTTATCAGAAGATATAGGGTTATCTGTAAGTTTATAGGGTTATCAGTAATTGCAAAAGATTATCATTAAGTTATGGGGCTATCAGTAAGGGTATAGTGTTATCAATATGGGTATAGGGTTATCAGTTTGGGTGTATTGTTATCAATATGGGTATAGGAATATTAGTAAGGGTATAGTGTTATTGGTATGGGTAAAGGGTTATCAGTAAGGGTGTATTGTGATCATTTAGTGTATATGGTGTCTTTAGTGTGATTGTCTTTCTTTGTTGTATTTTGCCAATTTGTTGGATGTCACTTTATCAGAAACTTTTAAGATATTTGGTAAAATTGAAGCTTTTCCAGTGAAATATCCTGAGGTTTCTGGTATTAGATCCAAGCTATTCCAGTGAAATATCCTGAGGTTTCTGGTATTAGATCCAGGCTATTCCAGTGAAATATCCTGAGGTTTCTGGTATTAGATCCAGGCTATTCCAGTGAAATATCCTGAGGTTTCTGGTATTAGATCCAAGCTATTCCAGTGAAATATCCTGAGGTTTCTGGTATTAGATCCAGGCTATTCCACTGAAATATCCTGAGGTTTCTGGTATTAGATCCAAGCTATTCCAGTGAAATATCCTGAGGTTTCTGGTATTAGATCCAGGCTATTCCAGTGAAATATCCTGAGGTTTCTGGTATTAGATATCCAGGTTTCTGGTATTAGATCCAGGCTATTCCAGTGAAATATCCTGAGGTTTCTGGTATTAGATCCAAGCTATTCCAGTGAAATATCCTGAGATGTCTGGTATTAGATCCAGGCTATTCCATTGCAATATCCTGAGGTTTCTGGTATTAGATCCAAGCTATTCCAGTGAAATATCCTGAGGTTTCTGGTATTAGATCCAAGCTATTCCAGTGAAATATCCTGAGGTTTCTGGTATTAGATCCAGGCTGTTCCAGTGAAATATCCTGAGGTTTCTGGTATTAGATCCAGGCTATTCCAGTGAAATATCCTGAGGTTTCTGGTATTAGATCCAGGCTATTCCAGTGAAATATCCTGAGGTTTCTGGTATTAGATCCAGGCTATTCCAGTGAAATATCCTGAGGTTTCTGGTATTAGATCCAAGCTATTCCAGTGAAATATCCTGAGGTTTCTGGTATTAGATCCAAGCTATTCCAGTGAAATATCCTGAGGTTTCTGGTATTAGATCCAAGCTATTCCAGTGAAATATCCTGAGGTTTCTGGTATTAGATCCAGGCTATTCCACTGAAATATCCTGAGGTTTCTGGTATTAGATCCAAGCTATTCCAGTGAAATATCCTGAGGTTTCTGGTATTAGATCCAGGCTATTCCAGTGAAATATCCTGAGGTTTCTGGTATTAGATCCAGGCTATTCCAGTGAAATATCCTTAGGTTTCTGGTATTAGATCCAGGCTATTCCAGTGAAATATCCTGAGGTTTCTGGTATTAGATCCAGGCTATTCCAGTGAAATATCCTGAGGTTTCTGGTATTAGATCCAGGCTATTCCAGTGAAATATCCTGAGGTTTCTGGTATTAGATCCAGGCTATTCCAGTGAAATATCCTGAGGTTTCTGGTATTAGATCCAAGCTATTCCAGTGAAATATCCTGAGGTTTCTGGTATTAGATCCAGGCTGTTCCAGTGAAATATCCTGAGGTTTCTGGTATTAGATCCAGGCTATTCCAGTGAAATATCCTGAGGTTTCTGGTATTAGATCCAAGCTATTCCAGTGAAATATCCTGAGGTTTCTGGTATTAGATCCAGGCTATTCCAGTGAAATATCCTGAGGTTTCTGGTATTAGATCCAGGCTATTCCAGTGAAATATCCTGAGGTTTCTGGTATTAGATCAAGGCTATTCCAGTGAAATATCCTGAGGTTTCTGGTATTAGATCCAAGCAATTCCAGTGAAATATCCAGAGATGATTGGTATTTGATCAGAGGTGTTCCAGTGAAATTTAGGAGGAAACTTGTTTTGGAGTTAATGTAGACTTACGTGATATTTGGTATTACTTCAATTCTTTTGATATCCCTTGCTTGGAAAAGTCTGAAATGCTTCTGTTTAGGTGTATATTTTCATTGCCGTGAAACATGTACAGTATTAAATAAATGTGAGCATGTTTTCTGTATAGCTTTACTTGTTCAAGATTACATCATCAAAATCATTGGGACTATCTGCTGTTATGTGAAGGTTCAGCAAGTTTAGAATAAAAACATAGTTCAGGATATTTTTTTCATGTTGTGAATAATCAAAATAAGAACAAAAGTAATCTTATGCACATATTGATGTAGGTTGTCGGGAAGAATTTTTTTGTCCTTTCTGTTTCGGTCTTTTCTTTACTTGGTCTCTAAGTTGACAGAATGCATCACTTTAATCATCTTACAACCTTTTTTCAGATTACTACAAGAGGGCATAGGAGGACAGGCACAAAAGCGGGGTGGGGTAAGTTTTGCTAAATGTATTAAAAAGGTTTGCTGATAATGTTTTGCTGATTACTGAAGTAATAAAATCCATGCGATAAGATTTACTTGAAGATTCATTTAAAGAATAAAATGAAGTTTGCTTGGTCATTTCTGCAGATTGAAGATCATATAACTTTGGTATAATACTTTGAGTTCATTACACTGAACATTTTTGATATTTTAACCTGTCCTGGTTTTTAGCAATCCACAATTGATGTAAGTATATTCATACACTGTAGGCCTTCTTTGTATTGTTACCCTATGTAGTGTCATGCTGTATCCCATGCAAGGCCTGGTGTAAGGGAATAAGTAGTTATATCGCAAAATTTAATATAAACCAGAAACCAAGATCATGAAGAAGGAATAAGGAAGCATTATATTTGTTATTGCCCTATTGCTTGAAAGCCCAATACCATGCATCAGTATGTATCATTGCACTTGTCAAATTTACCATTTCTTCAAGATCACAACAGACTTTGCACACTATATAAGATAATCATGTGAAAATCAGAGAATCTAGGTTTTATATAATATATATAGATTGATACAAAACTACTTGAAAAGTCTTTTGTAGACTTCAGAATTTTCACAAGTTTGCTTTATTTACTTTTCTTTTTTTTTCTTTTGTTTTTTAAGGAAATATTAGATAAAAAAAGTTAAATTTTGATTTCTGTGGAATTCTTGAAACATACCAAGTTGTCTGCTCTTATTCATTATAAGATGCATGTACAATTTGGGATTCTTGAAAAGCAAGATATTCTGAATTAATCAGAAATTTAGTTGTTATGTGGTGTACACTAAATCCTTGTATTTGAACTTGTGTGCTACTAAAACTTTTGATTAATGCAGGGAATTTCCTAGAAATAAATTTTGCACCTTCTTCAACTTAACTGAATGACATAGTCAGTATTGTGTATCACATTTATCCTTGTGTTTTTTTCTTAATGACTCATATTCATCAGGTTTCCCTTCATGTAAAATGTAAGTTAGTAAAATCTGAGACAAAAATTAATTTCAGCTAGAAGGGGAATCATTGAAAAAGCTAGTGTTTGTTTTCATTTCGGGATTTTTCATTGGTCAGATTTGAAAGAAATATTTTTGTCTTTCTTTTTTTTATAATGAAACTGAATTTCATTAAAAAATAGATTCACAGGAAAAACCCTGCAATGTGTGTTTTGAGGTTGAGTTTGACTGGTTTTACAGTAGAATAAGTTTGCATCATGCATCAAGTGTAGATCCTCACAAAATAAAATTTTCTTCAGATATTAACTGAAAAACTAAACCAAGCTTCTAGCAGTCCTTCTTGTGTGCCTCATGTGGGAAAAGGCACCATATAAACAACTAAGGATTGTGATAATTGTTGACTGCTATTCTGTCCATTTAAAATATGCTTGAATCAAACTACAGCCAAACTTAATAATCTCAATGTTAGCAAGATGTCTGAAAGAGGATACATTTATAAGATGTAACGTCATAAAAGCAGAAATTAGCATGCATGCACAGTATTAGCATACAAATATTGAAATAAATGGAATTGACTTTTCCTTGTATTGAAAAGTGATTCGTACCATATGTTTCAAAGAAACACCATTTGGTTTTGAATATCTGATAGTTGTGTATATAATTATGGAGATGCTGTGATATGTTATCTCTGTAGAATATCTCGCATCTTGTTTGTGAATTTGAGATCTTGTATCTTGTAGATTTTCTTGCACACTTGTTAACATTCACCCTCATTTTACAGAGCCTATCCCTTAAAGTCATAATTCTTGATGTTGTAAATATGGAAAATTTAATTTGAGTATCAATGATATGTTGATCCAGCTTTAAATTTTTGACTTGATTCTGTGATGCATGATAGAGTTTACTATGAATCATTAATTTTTGTGGGTGATTAATTTTCATTGATTTCAGGAGTACTCTTGATCCAAAAATCCCTATGTCCATGAACTTTTGAAATTAGTATAAGTAAATCTATTGAGCTATAATAATTCATGATATCATGTGACCATGTTTTTTTTTTTTTTTTTTGTGAAAATTGAAAACCACAAAAATACAATATTTCACAGTAGATCATTTGTTTGAGCATGTTTTGAATGTAAGTCTGCATGTTCCCTTTTCCGTGTGTTTCAGTCTGCTGGAGTGCGTAGGATGGTAAGTTAAGATTTCGGCATAAACAATCTGGCATGACCTGTCTCTGTTACGGACATTGAAGTATAAGTGGCAATGTTATAACCTGTATACTGTTAAGGACATGAGTATAGGTTTGGACAGAACATAATCTGTTCAATTTAGATGAAGATATGAACTTATTGTGATTCCATTGTGATCCCATTGAATTCTATTATTAATATTTTCCAAATAAAAATATCTTTTTTTTCACACTTCAATTCAGAGATATTTTAGATGTGATATAAATTCAAATTTTGAATTAGTTTTTGAGAATGAATAACCTTAGGTACATGTATTAGATTGTTTTTATCATGCCGTGAAAATTGATTTTGATAAATATTAAAAAGATAATTGCTGTGTTGGGTTGAAACTGTCACAGTTCCTTCAAATAGAGAGTGAACAGCTTGTGTTGACATGTTATACAGAATGTCTACATTCCTGGATATAATCCATGATGTTGCTTGTCATTACTCCTCTGGTTATTCTGATTGACAGGAAGGTGACGAAAAACAGCTTCAGGACCAGGTTCGATCCCTCAGAACATCTAAAGACGAAGTTGAAAAGAAATTCTCGTAAGTCTTGTATGTCGACAGTGTTTATTTTCATTTTTATGTACTTGTTTTCTTCTACACTTTGAGACAGGGTTTCCAGAGGATGTTGTACATCTATGCCTGTTCTCATTTAAATATAAAAGTTTTTGAACATTTTTGACGCAGATATCTCGGGTATAGCTTGAGATTGTGGCATAGCATGTAGTTGTATGTTATCTAAGGAATTACTCCTGCGACTTTTCTAACAGGATGCTGAAGCTAGATTTGGATAGAATTTCGACAGAGGAGTCCAGATTACGACGGGAGTGTAGTGAATTTGAGAAGAAAATGGCCTTGTTGAAGCATGACCAGAAAGAGGTAGGTTGCTGTTTATCTCAGAGGATAGAATACCTTATTTATCCAGTAGTAAACCCAAGCCTGATGATAGGCCCATAATTAGATTAAAGATTCCCGAAGCCCTTTCAGCTTTTTCAGGATAAATACAGTAGTATGGATACCCAGAGTGTTACGTCAGGATAAATACAGTAGTATGGATACCCAGAGTGATATTTCAGGATAAATACAGTAGTATGGATACCAAGGGTGTTATTTCAGGATAAATACAGTAGTATGGATACCCAGAGTGTTATTTCAGGATAAATACAGTAGTATGGATACCCAGAGTGATATTTCAGGATAAATACAGTAGTATGGATACCCAGAGTGTTATGTCAGGATAAATACAGTAGTATGGATACCCAAAGTGTTATGTCAGGATAAATACAGTAGTATGGATACCCAGAGTGATATTTCAGGATAAATACAGTAGTATGGATACCCAGAGTATTATGTCAGAATAAATACAGTAGTATGGATACCCAGAGTATTATGTCAGGATAAATACAGTAGTATGGATACCCAGAGTGATATTTCAGGATAGATACAGTAGTATGGATACTCAGAGTGATATTTCAGGATAAATACAGTAGTATGGATACCCAAGGTGTTATTTCAGGATAAATACAGTAGTATGGATACCCAGGGTGTTATTTCATCTTCTTTTCTTCTCTTCAGTTCCTGAAGGTGATCAGATGTAAAAGCTTGAAATTTTTCAGCATTGGTACACTGAAGTAGATAGTATATTGCAGCTTAGCATTACTGAGAATCAAACTGTATTATGAATACTTTTAAATGTCATAGTTCAGCTTGTTACTAAGTGGTCAGTTCTGTTTGATTGAGTTAGTTTGATGTTAATTTTAAGACTTAGTAGATGTGTAGTATTTTATAAAATGGTGTTGCGTTCACCATAGCTCAAAATTTGAGATGACCATCTTCCATTGATTGTCAAAGACATATCCTGACTACTGGATATTTTATTCAAATGAGATGACTTTATTTAGATTTAGTGGTAAACAGTATTTGATTGATATAATACACAGTGAACAAAACTTGTAATTCTGATTCCATAATCCAATATGGCTATCACAAATTTTGATTGGCAGATATACTTCATACAAATTTCTAGCTTGTGTAGAAGTCACCTTTGATAAAAAAATTTTGCATCACCAGAGTCAGAGGAAGGCAGACATTGAGGCAGAGAACAGAAGGAAGCTGGAGGTGTTACTAAAAGAGAAAGATCAGCTACTGGCTGAAGAGGTCAATTTACGCAAGCGAGAACAGAATAGCAAAAACAGTACCAGTGATCGGCTAGCAGGACTAGAAAAAATGGTTAGTATACTATACATTAGAATTCTCACACAAAAGACATACAATAGACAGTTTAAGTGAGCAATTTTGTAAAAGAATTCATGTGCTAGAAAGAAAAAAAAAAACTTTAACGTATGTAGCTGAGATTGAAGGACAAAAGAAAGATAGTATGATTAAGAGTTGGATTTAAGTAACTGTAATATAAAAATTAAGGGAGAATTCCCAGAGCTCTTCAACTCTGGCTTTCATTTTTGTCTGAAGTGTGCTGAGGGATTTTGATAGAAAGAAAAAAAAAAGATAAATTTTAGTATGGCTCTAAAACATTTTCAATAAATCAACAAGTTTGAATGATGTAATTGTTCGTCCATAGTCAACCTAACTTGATTTTTTTATTTGCACCATCTAGAAAACATTACATTTTACATTCAAAAATTCAAATTTTATTGATCAATACATGTATCTTGAAAGTAATTAAAAGTTTATTTAAACTAAAATTTGAAAATACGTTTAATGTGAGAAAAATATGTCATGTTTGTAGGGCTTATTTGTCCTTGGATAAAACCCAATTTAATCATTTCCTCTGAGCACATCTCAAGAGATTTGAAGAGCATGAATGTTTACTCTCAATTTTCAAATTATTTGTGTCAAGAGGTTTTTAGACTTTCTGTAATTTATGTTTGTCTGCTTGGTTCTGCTAAATCCATTGGTGTATTGAAAATGGAGCCCCATCAGCACACAGCAAGTAGTAAATAGAAAGAAAGCATTATCTTTTGAAGGAAGTGCACTATTTCAGAATGGTAGGGGTTTTCCTGTAAAGTATCCATGTCATAGGAATACATATACTCATGAAATAAATTCTGATAAGGTTTTGTGCAGGAGATACACACTTTACCACATAGGACTGTTAGAATAATCAACTTCTCTAGATAGTTACTGTTTAACAGACCTGCAGTCTGGCCATTGGGTATTTTCTGTTATGTTGGGAATAGTCCAAAACAAAAGTGTCTAAATGAAGTACATTACTCATCATGTGTGATATCTTAAAAGGGTCAGATATGGTACATCAAATCTGTTGACTTCTAGAATATGATTGAAAATGTTTTTACAGATGTTGAAGTGAAATGTAATAGTACCAACAGATTTGGTTGTAGTTGGTATTTTCAGTGTCAAACTAAATGGAATAATTCTTCTGGATTCTTACAGATCGCAGACCTGAATGAAAGATTAAAAATAGAATCCGATAATGCAGCTAAGTTCAAGAAAAATTGCTCAGAACTACAACAGGTAAGTCTATTGCTCATGTGCCAAATATGTCTTACATTTCCACTAGGGAGTACTATTTCTTGTCTGAAAAGGTGAATTACAAGGAGCCAACATGTGGGTGCTAATCTGTTGTCCCACTTAAGGGTTTTTCATACAATGTCTTGAGTTTTCATTTGCTGAGGAAATAAAACAAATCTACAAATTATTTCATTCAACAGTGTTTGTTTGCAATAGCTGTGAGGAAATAAAACAAATCACCAAATTATTCCATACAACAGTGTTTGGGTTTCATGGGTAAGAAAATACCAGAACCTGTATTGTATTACTGTAAAAGTAATGGAGCTTGAACTGAAGCTCCAGCATTTGTGGCTTGACTGAAGGTCAAAGCCTCAGTATCACAAATCTTCACCTTTCAATAACCAATCATTGTCATAGCTTATGGAATTTGATAGTGGTGCCTTACCAATAATGGATTGAATAGAAGGAAAAGTTCAAAATACTTATAAACATTGTCAGTTGTCTTTCTTCTTAAAATAAGATAGCCTCAGTAGTTGAAAGCAGAAAATACTTTTTGAAATTAGTTTTAAGTTTTAGTCAAATAATCTGTATGTAAACAACAAACTTATTAAATTGATATTGTTTTCTAGCGATATTCAATCCTGGAGTCCAACTACACAGACCTCAACACGAAACACACAGAAGTAGTTAGTATCCGACAGTCATTACAGAAGGAGCTTATCGATTTCCAGGCTATCCTAGATCAGGAACGCAACTCCCATAGCCAGAGCTCGGCTCATACACAAGAACTCAACGGTACAGAGCATTAATATCAAAATGTTTACGTTTGATTCTCTATAGAATTTGAAGAAATACAACACAATCGTTGTAATTTCTTGAAATAAACTTGAATTCACATAGTATAGCATCACTTAATTTATTTATTTATTTTATGGAAATATTTTATAAGATGTATTAAGTGGAAGTATTTTACAAGAAATATCTCTAAGAAATATTTTTGTAGATTTAATAGAAGTATTTTATGAGTACTAGATGAAGAACTGTTTTACCTAGTGGCTTTCTTGCCATTGGTTTTTAACATATTTAGATATATTTAAATAATTAATTAGATTAAATAATTCATTGGATGTTTTGGATGTTTCATTTTTCAGAAAGAATAGCTAAACTTCAGGAAGAAAAGGAAAGAGCAATTGAAAAAGAACATAATCTCAATGAAGAAATACAACGCCTTAATGAATCTATTGGCCGACTAGAAAAGGTAAAAAAAACAAGGATGAAATCCCAGACTTTAGAAAAAATTGCTTAAGTAACATAGAAGATTCATAGCAATGTGACTTGTAATGAGATGCACTTAATGTCTTCTCCTTAACATATGTTAGATAAGTAATACACTGTCATCAGATATTGGTTTGATAAAGCCACCTATCGTCTGGGATTAATTAATAGTCCATCAATCCAAAAACAGTTACTGTTAAGGCAGTTTTTTCGATAATGTTTATTGGAATCTTTCTCATATTTCAATACTTCATTTCATTTTGTGAGTGATATTTTTTTTTTAATGCCTGACAAAAATGTTATGTGCAAGTTATGCTTGAAACATTCAAAGCATGATATATTTCCTGGAGTTGAAGGAAATTTCTGATTTTTGTTTCCTTACCTATGTTATTAGGACAAGAAATATATGGAGATAGAACTGGAGGCCTACAGGAGGAAGCTAGACACTGAAGTTGGCTCACATAAAGACACTGTTGCTAAATTCAATGCTGACAAGAGGACTCTACTCATATCGTCTGAGGAGGCAAACATGGAGGCTGTGAAAGGTCAGTTTTTACTGCATGCTAAAAAAATAGATTCATGGAAAGACAAAACTTTCTTTTAGAGCTGTTCATGAAAAAACATACATTTGACCCGAGGACTCAAAATAGATCACTTCTATCCATGATTTCCTGCCTGTTATTTCTGAGCAACATATAATGAAATTCTATGGGTGGTGCCCCCATACACAAACCCTGGTTGCCTGAGGGAGATGATTTAGCCCAATGATAACATAAATCATTTTCTATAGATATCAGAGAGAAAGGGGGAAAATTAAACAAGAAAACAAAGAAATATCAAAATTAATTTATCTTACACTAGTGTCAATTTGGTGATATGTTGACACCTGGTATATAGTTTTAATTTGTACAGCTGTTCATAAAAAATTGAAACTTCAAATCTTTTGCTAATTGTGATGTGTGATTATTTGCAGAGATCCAAAATAAGTATGACCAGGAGCACAGGACACGGATGATGTCAGAATCACGACTTATGGATATTGAAAAGAAAAACTCAGAACTTTTAGTAGATATTTCTCAGTTCAAACAGCAGGTGTCTTCATTGCAAAGTTCACTAAGTTCTGAACAAGAAAAGGTATGTTGTGACAAGGGTTTTAAATGAATTTGTTTAACGATATCTTAGATGAAAATTTTACAAATTAAACTTAAAGAAAAGCAATATTATCATTAAGAACCTACCCATATACTATAGAATGATCTCTTTCATTATATGAGAGTAGTTTTTTGTGTTCAGAATCAAATTTTCTGTAAATATTTTGGCGTAATTTTCCACAAAGGTAAAGAAATCAGAAATGAAAATTGAAAAAAAATCCTTCAAATTGTTCATAATTTATCTAAATTTCCTTTTTTTCTCTTCAGTCAAGAAATTTATCATTACAAGTTGAACAGGAGATTCAGCGAAGGAATTTAATGCAGGGTGATTTCAAAGTGCAGGCTCAAGATTTGACAAAAGCAAAGAGCCTAGAAAGACATATTCAGAAGGTAATATTGTCATTGTAAGATGTAAGGTTTACATTTTTTAATTCAGTGCTACTGATAAAGTGATTAGAGCATGTATAACATCATAACAATATAACTTCTGTAAATCAAAAAAAATTTGTTTAAAAACTTGAAATTTTGAGAATAAATTATTGTAGAGCATTTTGAACTGAAAGATGTTCCATATAAGTTTTTTTCTTTTTCAAATACATGGTTTTATTCTTTTTGGAAACTTGTCATCATTGTTGGGATATAATTTACCTTGTTGCTTTCAATTTTGTTTCAGGAACTTGATGATGCCAAAGAGGAAAAGCACTATTTGGAGGAAGAATTACGGAGACTGAAAGAGTGAGTCGTCATGTTTTGGCATAAATATAGCTGATGAAACTTGTTGAATATTTTGAAGCAAAATGAAAATTTTTTTTTTTGATAAAATCACTTTTATTGTTATCAAACTTATTAAATGCATGTGGAACATTATTTACAATATTAGAAAATCTTGACAAAAAATGTTTCCATCACAGAGATATGTCAGTCACAGATTTACAAATGAAGGAACTTCAGGACCAACTGGAGGCAGAACAGTATTTCTCAGTAAGTACCAACCATGGATGTGGTGAAAAACACCTTTAAACAAAGTCTAGTATATAATAAGGTTTATCGGTAATTTTCATTTTATAGTGACTTGTTATCATTTTCATTATCAAAATTTGGATATGTAAACATCTTCGCAAGGAACCATCATCTTTTTATGACTCAATATTGACCCTCAGATCACTCTCAGAAAGGAATAAGATTTCATTGTTTTCCTGAATCTTTCTGTACCCCCTTTCACTCAGTTACCCAAAGGCCACTTGCAAAGATATAGGAATTATTGGTGAAAGTTAAAAAAAAAAAGATAGAAGATCCTGATTAGATGTCATATTGGACTTTTCCAGTGAAAGATTTATCCCACCAAATGACTCGGGTATTGTTAAGGGTTACCACAAATACAAGTTAATTGTTGATTTGCTTAGAAGAAGTAATAGGCTGTTAACTGAACCATGGATAAAAATATTTCATTTTGGAGTCATGGGGTCAAGTTTTACTGGAATATATCCCTCAGTAGTAGTATTTATGATAAAATTGGGTTTGTATTGTAGTCACTATACAGGACGCAGGTGAAGGAGCTTAAAGAAGATGTGGAAGAGAAGAGTAAACAGCACCAGGATGCGGTCATGGACCTAAAGAGTGTAGAAAAGGAAAAGTAAGCACATAAATATCTGTTAATATTGATAGCTTTTCATATTAACTAATGATTCTGATACAAGATTGAAAAGACCAATTAAATTTTTAGGTCATCTGACTGAAGGGTCGTAAACATTTTCAACTTCTTCTCAAGTTCTACATGTCTCATTGAGCTGAAACTTACCTGAAATGATCATGACATGATCCTGACCAAAGTTTGTTAATTTTGGGTTGGTCCGAAATCCAACATGGCCATTATGGCCACCATCTTGAAAACACATTTTCGACATCTTCTTAAGCCCATGGGCCTCTTGTTAAATGTATAATCATTTTAATTCTGAGTTTTACCTGTGATTTAGCAAGTCATAACTTGACTTGTCTACTCCATTTTTAGAATGCCTTGAAGTTTAAACTTTACTGTTGCTGTGATTCATCTCCAATGTTGAGTACACTTTTCCTCCCAAAATTCTGCACTTCAGGATATTTTTTTTTATATTTTGTGGTGATGAATGTCAGCAAATATTTATTGAAACCAATGAATTTCTGCACCTTCAAAGCCACTGGGATCAGTTGTAGCTGATGAATTCAATGATCTTTTGCTAAAGATTGTGACGGGTTTGGAAATGTTTGTGTTGATATTTGATCAGAATCATTGTTAAGCATGAAAGTTGATTTAAAATGACTGTATGATATGCTGACCTCTTATTTGCTTAGTGTGATGTGTACACTCCAGACATGTTGACCTTTCTCCTAGTGATTGCTTCCCATATGATATGAATATAACTTAATATGATAATGAAAGATGAACATATAATGAATATGACAATGAAAGGTGAACGTGACCCGTCATTCTAGGATGTTTATACCAAAATGGATATTCCTACTGATATGTGTGTTTTTCAGAGACTCCATGGCTGTTCAGTTAGAGATTGCATTGTCCAAAGCAGACTCTGAGCAGCTGGCCAGATCTATCGCAGAGGAACAGCTATCTGATGTGGAAAAAGAAAAAACAGTTTTAGAATTAGAAATTAAGGAACTAATGGGTCGACACAAGAGTGAGACTAGCAAAAAGGAATACCAGTATCAGGTGGTAAGGATCAACTGGGTATTGATGTGCAAGTGTCTAATAGTTGGAAATTGATTGCAAAAGTAGTGAGGATAAAAATAAAAATTAATAAACTTAATTCTGTTCATTATCAATTTTCTGAAGTTAGGTGATTCAGCCATTTTCACTTATCAGAAGTTTAGATTTCTGTTTCAAAAATCCGAGTCCCTGTTGGAAAATTTCTTGACTGATTGACTATTTATCTAAAATTGATAAGAATCTCAGAAACATTTAACTTTCATCTTGTTGCATTCAATAATGCATTGGTATGGTTGTAGTCATTCCTGTCCTAAATTTCTGCATTTGCTAGAAACATATCTTCCCAATTAACCTGATTTTGTCAGGTTAGTCTAATAAAAGAGGTTGGTAACACTGGCCCTAGGTGCCAATATGATACTTACTCCTGTCAGGGGTTGGCTTATTACCAGGTATAGACTCATTACCACCAATCAGCTCGTTGCTGGATAAAGAAAGATAGAATATTTGATACATGCAGAATTCCATGAAATAATACTTACTTTGGTAAAAAGTAATAAAATACATATATCCAACAAGGGACATAGAAACAGCAACTTAATATCTGAATTCAATCACCTCTTTGGTCGATTCTTATTTGACTTACCTAGAGTCCTCTCATTTGGTAGATATTTTTACTGGAATAGTTCTTAGGGCTAGATTTCTGCCACCTACATCGTTAAACTTTGATAATTTGTTTAATGAAATGAAATAAAAACCTTAACTTAAAGTGGAACGTATTATTCATTTGATGTTAAAAAATTTGTTTACATTAATCAAGTGAAATAATTTCTTGTCATTTTGTCACAGCTGGAAGAGTCAAAGCGTGACCTTGTAAAACGAAACCAAGAGATTCAAGCAGAATGTGATGAACTTAGTAAGCAAATGAAGAAAAAGGCAGAAGGTGAGAGTTATTGTAGCATTGATACTTTATTTTAGCTGACTGCAGTGATGTAGTAAAACATGTCTATTTTTAGAATTTTTTATTTTAACTGTTTAGCCTAACTATGAGGTCCACAAAAGGGTGCAGAGAAAAATGACCTTTATAGATTTATGGGCTTTATACAGAGGTGCAATTTATATCAATTGTATGACATTTAGAATGGACACCAGTGACTTGTATAGACAAGCATTTGTTATATTAGAGATGGTATTTATAGATGAGTATATGTTACATAGAAGTGACCTTTATAGACAGGTATTTGTTATATATTGGTGACCTTGATAGACAGGTATTTGTTGTATAGAGGTGACCTTTATGGACAGGTATATGTCGTATAGAGGTGATCTTGATAGACGGGTATATGTTGTATAAAGGTGACCTTTATAGAAAAAAATTGTTATACAGAGGTGGTCTTTATAGACAGGTTTATGTCATATAGAGGTGGCCTTTAAATTCAGGAATTTGACATAGTTACACACTGTTGTATATATATTAACTAAGGATTTTTCATGTTCCTATGGTAACTGATCACTTGTTCAAAAAATGTAATTAAGATTTTTTGAATACTTCGTCTTAGACATGTGTGTCTTATATGACTTAATAATAAATTCAGTTCCAGTTTTTGTATGTGTGTGTGTCTTATTTATGAATCTTTTATGATACAATGTTTTTATTTCTTCAGAGTTACGTAGTGCACAAACACATAATGCAGAGGGTGCTGGAAGTGAATTAGAAAAATTACGAAAGAATTTTGAAGAGGAGAGGATTAAAAAGATTCAGGTGAATATTATGTATATGATATATGTAATACTTATTTGAGAGATAGTTATTGTTTGTCTGAAATTTCAGCAGTTTGTTAATGTATTTATATTGTATTCATAATGGGAAGTTTTGCTCATTTATGGTTGTACAACTCCAGTTTCTGTAGTAAATAACTAAATTAAGTGCTCTTTTTTGTGTCAATTTCAAGTATTTCAAGCTGAAAAAGATGTAAGTAATATGTTGACTTTGATTTTGATGTTTGATAGGCTGTGAATAAGTTAGCAGAGATAATGAATAGGAAGGAGTTCAAGGGAAAGAACAAGAAGAGCACTCCTGATGCAGATATGAAGAAAAAGGAACGGGAATTACGCAAAGCTCAACAGGAACTTCAAATGGTATGTCAATGCCTTATGGGGCCTGAGTGATAGCTTCTAAACAACTAGCTTAATCAGTGGTGTAGCCAGTGTTGTGATTTAATGGGACTCCGTGATTGTTTCTATACTGTAAGGTTGATAAGTGGGGTAACCAATTTAATGATTAAAAGGAACTCTTGTCAAAAAATAAATGTAAATGGAATTCTTTCAGACATTTAGACTGATTTGAAGACAACTTGGGGAAGGGGTGGGGGATGAGTTGGGATTGATTATACACAAAAAACTTCAATTCTTTGCACTCTTTTGTGAATTTCAACTGAAAGAGAGAGTTATTTCAGATAAAAATTAAAAATTAGGACACACATCTTTCATGATGGGATTTAACTTCGGAAATATGTATCAAAAAAATTACTTCAACATTTTGAAAATGACAGTTATAGCTGATTTGGCTACCATCTGAATTTGATATTGTATATAGTGGTATAATTTGATATTGTATATAGTGGTATAATTTGATATTGTATATAGTGGTATAATTTGATATTGTATATAGTGGTATAATTTGATATTGTATATAGTGGTATAATTTGATATTGTATATAGTGGTATTGTTTCAATGTTTAAAAGTATGACAGAGAATTAAATAGTTTTGTTGTGTACTCTAGGAAAGAGAGAAGTACAATAAGATGATTGAGAAGTACTCAAGGGACCTGAGCGAGACACAGGCTGCATTATATGAGGAAGGCCAGCAACGTTCCAAGTTACAGATGGAACTGGATGCGAAAGACAGTGAAATTGAGTTATTGAGACAAAAGCTTACTTTCCTTAATGTGGACACTGCATCAGTGAATAGTGGTAATGGTGAAAATGACGGAGACCTTAGTATCACAGGTATATCTCCAGTAACCTCGGACACGCTCATGGAGGGTTGGCTAGCTGTACCCAACAAGTCCAATATTAAAAAGTATGGCTGGAAGAAACAGTATGTGGTTGTTAGTAGTCGCAAGGTGCTGTTCTACAACTCCGAGAATGATAAACAGAACGCAGACCCTGTATTGGTGCTAGATATTGAGTGAGTATATTCTGAGAGGAATAGTATGTTCATACATATATGATTTAAATATCTTTTTACAGAGATACAATACTGCAAGAAATATGCTGTACATGTTTGTATCGGTACTGCAAAATTGTGTATAGCAGCAACTGTTGTCAAGTTTGATATTTAGTAACTCCTCAAAGTGACTTTTATATTCAATGATTATAACATGTATTCAAAACCCTTAAACAATAAAAGTTAGAAAGAAAATTTCTGTTTATGGGTTACCTTATAAAGACTCTTAATTAGGGTTTACACGGTGTTTGTCAACAATTTGTGTTTTAAGATAAAATTTTATATTTTTCTCAGTAACAAAATGACCTAGCTTCGTGGTAATAAGCCTGTAGCATGCTGGGATAAAGGGATACCAAGTTTGTTTGAATGAATGACCTTGACCATTTTTCAAGGTCACAGGTGTCAAATATGCTAAACTACAACAGGCAGTGTTATCTTTTCTGTTTCATTGAAAATTAAGCCCTCAAACTAGAAACAATAAAATCTTGTAAATATGCCTATATCAGTTCTGTTCTGTTTGCCCCAAAACTGGTACTGATAGACAGGTTCTAAAACTGTTCAAAGACCTGTAGACCTCAGGTAACCTTTAAGGCCCATTGGCCTCTTGTCTTATTTATATGTAAAGAATAAAATAAATGATGCATGAAAGAATGGAGATTTTGAAGGTATTTTTCATAAGACATTCTATGATTGAAATGCAGAAGAAGAAAAAAACAAAGTATTTAGTGACTATACATCACAATGTCTTCCAATAGAGAAAAACAGTAATGCCTGGCAAGTAGATCGTTTTGTTTTCCATTTCACAGAAAACTATTCCATGTACGACCGGTGAGCCAGGGTGATGTATACAGAGCAGATGCCAAAGATATCCCCCGGATATTCCAGGTAGGACTGAGTCAGATAATTACTATCTTAGTTAATGTAGTAAAAACAGCTGTAAGCTTATCTAAGTAACAAAGTTCTTCCCAGAGTTGTGCCTTATTGACGTGTTGTTTTATGACTACTTAATCCATTGTTCAGACATTTTTTGTACAGGTGCATGTAGAAAAATGATTGAAACACATATTTTGAAGACTTACGAGCATCTTGGAAGTAAATGTATGGGGGGAGGGAGATACAGAAACAGAATGAAATGATTGCCTTCTGATAATGTAAATTACTTTTTGAATGTACAGTGGAGAAACATGACGTGGTAATCCAATATATTTCAGGTCCTGTATGCTACTGAAGGAGAGAATAGACGTCCCGATGAAATTACTCATGATTTGAATCAGGTAGATGTAAATTAATTTTTTACCCCACAGTCCGAAAGTGTTATCTGTTTTGAGACAGCTATGTTGTAGTGATAAAGTATTATATCAAACCTCTTATAATTATTATGGAGTAAACCAGAGAATTTGGGCCAAAATCACTGAGATACTTTAATGGAAATTAGATTATTCGAAGGAGTTATCTTTGTTTCTTTTGTTTTGGGTAAATTATGAGAAAATAAAAAGTTAAAAAGAAAAACATATCTAAGTATTCATTAAATGTATAAAACAGAGAGTTAAAAAAAAGGTTGGAAGCTATAAACATGGATTCACTCGACGTAGAATTAATTGACTGCACAAAAGGGCTATTTTCACACATATGAAGAGAGGTTTATTTGCCAGTTGTCAGACAAGCATAATCATTGTATTTTCATTCTTATGTATGTATTATGGTATAATTTTGTCCGTCCATCGTCAATTTTGATCTGTTCAGATATCTCCATCCACAATTTTCCATGACATAAAGTTCTGTTTTTTTTTTATGGTAATTTGATTCAACTGCACCAGTTCAATTTTATTTGATGTAATTGATATATTTCACCGTAAAGTATAACTATGTATATCTTATTTTCCTACACAGGACAAATCTGCAATGGTTCAGCACAAAGGACATGAGTTTATACCCTTACATTTCCGTACCCCAACAAATTGTGATGCTTGCAACAAGGCAGTGTGGCATGTTCTTCATCCTCCACAGGCTCTCGAGTGTAAACGTTAGTAAACGCTAGTAAAAGACAGTAAAAATCCATAACTTAAGCAGAGAATTTTAATCAGAACTCTACAACACTTAATCCAAAAAGCCTGTAACTTTATACTACTTTTATGATTGCTAGTTTGACAATGTTTTCAGAATGTTTGATTCAGAGTTGGGACTTAATTTAGCAAAAGTCTTTTATAACATTTGTATTGGTTATATTCATGATAGATTTAAGCCAGTAGTATTGACATGAACTTGTTATATCCACACAACAAATTTGAACATTGATAGACATAGATTGTTATCTGATAAATTTTGTGATTGTTATGGTCTACCAATATCAAACAGGTTAAATTAGCTGTTCTGTTTCGCCTTTAATTCAAGCTTTACTGACAAAATTTGATGTCAGACCAAATATTTCTATTTTAAATTCTTTATGACACACAACATATCAGATAGTTACTATGATGTGGTAAGCTTAATTTGGAATTGAATACTATTGAAATTTTCAGGAAGTATTGTGAATTTCTGCCAACAGTAGAATTCCAGTTACTTTTATTCTGGCAAATGTAGTTAGATTGTGGGACAACTAGACAAGTGTGATGATAGATTGTGAGACAACTAGACAAGTGTGATGATGTAGGTTATGAAACATGAAAAACTGATTCTAAAAGACAACTCAGAAAGTGGAACAACTAGATCAGTAATTGCTGTAGTAACAAGACTAGTAAATAGATAAAAATTTTGAAAGGAAAGCATGTCCATGATGCTCATGACCTTTACCATCGGTAATATTTACTCTCCTTGATTCCAGGATGTCACATCAAAGTACACAAAGACCACTATGACAAAAATGAGGAATTTGTAGGATATTGTAAAGGTAAGTTAAGATGTATATAATTGAAAAAATATGTTTATGTAAAAACATAAGCCATTAGCGAGTGCTGGTTAGAAATTCTTGTTCTAACAACTGTTGCAGTTAATCAGTAAAAGTTTTTTTTAGCTCATCTTGTCCAAAGAAATTTTGAAAGTTCTTCAAAATCTCACTTCTTCTGTAGAAATGAAAGGATATTGCCTGAATTTGATCAATTCTGAAGGGGAATCAATTTTGTATAGATGTTAGGTCTTGGCCCCCTGGGTTGGGAGGGATGAGGGCCTAATTGGGAAATGTTAGTTCTTAAAATTCCTCCTTCTGTACAAAGACATCATCCAAGTTTGGTCTGAAGCAATTTTTTATGAAAAGTGTATCTAACTTTTGTTTGACCACAAGGCTGGGACCCAAAAGGGAAATTATATCAGAAATCACTAATCATATTTGAAATTCTTTATTAAATGACTGGATTGCTAAATTTGCCGAGTGAGCAATACGGGCCCCTTGAGCCTCTTGTTTATCCGATGGTCCAAATTTCATGACTTCATCAAAAGTTTGAAGGCAAAATGATTTTCTCTTTATTTCCTTTTCATGTTGTTTGTTTTTCATTGTTGTATAATTGTTTCTTCCTATCTGCAGTGAACTATGACCAGAACATCCAGGCTAAAGAGATGTTGTTACTAGCAGAGTCTATCGACAAACAGAAACACTGGGTTACACACCTGAGTAAGAAGATTACCAAGAAGGGAATAGTCAGTTCTGGAAATCTTGGGTAATTGTTTACCTATTCTTGTACACATTTTTTACTAAAATAAAGACTTGCTCTGATCGTAATTCACACATACTGTATTTATCCAGCAGTAGGTTTATGCCTTATAACTAGCCCATGGATATATTATGTTCTGCTGTAAAATTATATACCAGACACTATCCATTGGCTTAAGGAATAATATACAGTTTCATCCTCATTGTTATGGATTATAGTACATGTTAATTGGTATCAAGATTTATCTATGAAATCAAGTGCCAATGAAAATATATATTTTTTGACAACAACAAAATTTGAGCCCCATAAAAACAATGATATGTCATTTAAAACTCATTTCATTACTAAAATTGAATTTTGTTTTTCATAGTACTTCTCGTGGCACAAGACAGTACTCCTCGTTTGGTATGCAACGCCAAATTGGAAATCAGAGATCGGCATCCACACTTCCTCCGAACACACGGCCAGTGTGATCCAACATCATCAGAATAATCATTTCATCATCATTTTTAGCAAAATTATAATTAAAAAGTATGGTGACTTTGACTGATATGTTTTCTAAATCATTCATCTGTCGAGGTATTGGATCACGAGCTGCCAATGAAATATGAAGGAACATATCTGGCTATTCAATAGACAAATTTCGCTACATTTTCCAACGAAATAATGGCCACTGTTCTTGCTCTTGCAGAATCATGCAGAGTTTGAATAGTTTCTTTTGTGAATTGTCATAATTGTACACTAATTATCTTAGCACAAAGTGAGGATCTTTATCATATTTCTGTTACTGTGAGATACAGATATGTAGTTCCAGGATAAAACTAAAGTTTATATACATATATGTTGTCAGAGTGATAAATCCAAGAATATGCAATACTGATACAATAATCATAAAATCAAGATCATTTTAGACTTTTTTTTGTCATATGTATGGAAAAAAACCCACAAACAAAAAGAGCCTGATTTTACTGTTTATACTTCATCTTCATTAAGAAAATTTGCTAGAAAACCTCATGAGGTTTAAAATGCCAGTGTGGTTGGGCTAATCCCGTCTTTAGATACTGCCTCGATCATTGCCATTGGAGGTACACTTGGAGTAAAACTCCAGAAAAGTATATTTACCTTCAGCCTAGATTTATTCTTGGCACTTCAGATTAAATATCTCATTAATGCAGGCCATGTTTTGCAGTAAGATGTACGTGTAGTAAGATATTGTGTAAATACCAGCTATTTCTCTCTCCTGATACACACCAGGTTCCATCTAACCTTATTGTAAAGGTCATAGTATTTCTGTGGATCCAATTTGGCTGTATTTGCAGTAATAATTTTTCATTGAAACAAATCCATGCAAAAGGAACAGAAATGCAAGCATTGTTGCGATGCGTTACCTTCAATTTTTGCTTTCTTATACTGCAAAACCACACAAATTTGGACTCACAAAAATAAAAGTTATTTTTTGTGTAGCTATTATCCCATTAAGTCAGTGTAAATGCATACATTTAAATGTACTAACCAGTTTGTGCATGGTTAAAGGAATATATAAGAATGGACGAGCAAATATGAGATACGAACAATTTTGATGTAAATATTTCTGTGTTTTTGTATTTGTTAATGTTACCACAGTATGTATGTGTTATATATGTTGTATAAAGTCTTCATTCAATGTACTTACTGTCGAGAGAGTCTGGCTGTAGTGCTAGTCTGATACTTTGTCTCTGTACACAGTTCTTGTAAAAGGAAAGACACTTTTAATGGATCGATATGACAGAAATTATTCTGTACAAGTGTCTGGAATGTAAATTTCGTGTGTTCCTGATTGGAGGATAATGAGTTTACAGTATGTTTTGATATCATCTATATTCAAAACCATGTAATTTATTGAAAATATAGCAATACACAGTCCAGTTTATTTAAGGTGAAAGAACCCATCTTTTTACATCAGGTTATTTTAAAATCATATTTTGAGTAAGTCTTGGATAGCAATCCTTCAGCTGAAGTAATGATCATTTTGATTATGAGATTTGTTAAAAAATTGATGTCCAGGATTATTTCTGATCTTCAATTAAAAGCATGAGATGAAAATTTATAATGTAAAAGACCAGATGATATATTTCGTTTTTTCTTAGGTCATTGAATTTCTACATGTGATTTCATTGAAATTCCTTGAATCAAAATTAATCAGTTGGAAAGATTTTCCATACTTTTGAAATATGCTGGCTGAGACATTGGTCTTCTATGGATCTACTCCAGTATCAATACAGATGAATCTCCCCAATATTGTTGGAATGATAAAAAGTGCAATATTTTCATAGGAATTTTTCCAATCTACACTGGAACTAATGCTGCTGAAATTGAGAATATTGGTTGTATTAAGACAAACTAATTATTTTGTCAAATTTTTAATTTTTTCTCCAGCTCATTCAAACAGTGAATGATTGAATTTCTTTCAAAACACACGAAAACATTTTGTGCGACTTTTGTTTTTGTTTTTTTTTTTAATGAGAATCACATTTTTCCTTATAATGTTGTAATTGTCTTTCAAGATTTGTTTGTTTATTCGGGTTTTTTTTCTCTCTTCTACTTTTATACTTTTACTCATAAACATATTCAACCAAAATTAAATTTGATCTATTCAGATACAACTGAGTCTTTCTGTTGTACGAATTAACAATACCAATTTGCTTGACTCCTTTTCTATACTGTTTGCTCCTATGTAAGGCCTTGGTGTTTGTCCGTTCAGTGTTTCCGTGTAAAAAAATCAGGCGTCACTTGTATGATATACCCCCTAGTAAGCTCACATATAAATATACTCATGAAAAGCACTTCCCTGTTAAGTTTGAAATAAAATTCAAAAGAGTGTTTTTTAATTATTAGAATTATTAATGCATTCCATGATGTCATTTGTTAATGACCTATTTTTTAACCCTCCCATTTGATTAGTTTATAGATCAAACTTCTTAACTTACTACTAAAGTGCTAGCAGAGAAAATATTTATATTTTGGTTAATGTCAATGGTGTTGTAAACCTGTGTTTGTGTAATATTTCTGTGAAATTTGTTGGACTTTAGATATATGAGTTTAATATTATGCAGTGGCTTTGCTTGTTTAGGCATTTCATAAATTGAGCAGAGCTATTTTTTCCCCCAAACCTTTATACACACTATGTTACGACTATGCTAGCTGATGGTGTAAAGTTTACATTTAACTACAAGGTAAAGACAGTTCAATAGCTCAATATGTATGATTACTTAGTTCAGGAAATGGAAGATAACAAAGCAATTTTAAGTCATTACATTTATTTTGTCATCGCTGCTCTAGGTTTCATCGCTCCCGTCTGGTGAGTCATGTGTTTCGTAACATTTTTGTGAAACTATGAAATCTTAGATGCCACACTTCATGTTTTCACTGTGAGAAGTTTCATTCAGAAAGAAATTGATTTCCTTAAATAGAGATTTGAAGGAATATTCTGTATTTATGAATTGTGAGAACAGATTTTGTTTTAATATTGGATATTGTCAAAGCACAAGATAACATTCAAGTATAAATTCATTTTGGTTTATGTAATTCTATACTCGATAGAAATCTGTCGGAATACGTAAGCTTTCTCTGTTGATTATATAAGCTCCTGATATTAAGAATTGAGGGATGTAAGAAAAGACTTCATACCATTTCTTGTTGATACAAAAGAAAGAAGTTTGCAAATAGATCTACTCTTGAATTAGTGCAAGTGAAGTTAACATGTCAATTAATAAGTTTCTCTTTAAGCTATAATTATATGCAAATTGTCTTAAAGTAGTCATCTTTGTGATTTCAGACCTCAATCTCTGCAATTTTTATTGATGATAGTATCATATATTTGCAGTCACACAGAGACTTTACATCTGGAACATGTCTCAAAATCACACATACATATGTGTAGGAGCCTGCTGAGCACAAGAGTAGTGCTGGTATATGGATGTAACTAGACTGGGTAGTTATATATATAATTTAATGTCACAGCAGTTCAGAGGCTGGGCTAGCTTGACTAATGTGTTCACTTGAACTTGTTGTGTTACATTGTTGATAAATTATGGTGCTGCCACTGTTTGCATAACTGTTGATATTATGTTTAACAGTTTTTTTTTTGTTAAAGACACAATAGTTGAGTTATATCAGTCATGTTCCAATATTGTATGTCAGCAAAATTGATAAATCTTTGTGAAAATCTACCTTGCTGTAAAATATTGATAAAGAATAATTATTACAAAATGTACAATAGTTGTCAACCCAGACTTACAGCATTTTAAGCTGATATGGGATAATGAAAGTGTGTAAATATGTATGTATGTGCATGTATGTATGTAATGTGTGGAATTTTACATGAATGGAAGCTGGTATTAATGAATATCCCCACTTTAGGCATTTTCCATATATGGTATATAGGTTTAAGTTGATTAAGAACACAAATCCTGATTGAGACCCTTTACCACTGCTTTTAAAAAAGTTGCTTCAGTTCTAGGCTTTGCATTTATAGGATCTTATATCTATTGTTATATATCAGACTAAAACATGGACAAGGATAGATCTCCAAGGAAATGCATCATTATTGTTATTTTATTTTCTTTGTTTTGTTGCTGTATAGCAAACTTTTCCGATCTCTTCATCGAATGATAGGAAGTTGAAAGTTTTTGCTTTCTGAATATTTCAGTGTGCATGGTTGTGACTATTCTTTATTTTTTCTTTCTTCTTCTTTTTTTTTTTTTAGAGCTGATTACTTTATATGAGAATATATTCAAAATGATCAGAAATGTAGATAATACCAAACCACTTCCATTGCATAAAACCTGTTACATATTGCTTCACAGTGATTCTCAAATGTGTTGGAATAGGACATGTATTTCCCCAATTTTGTTGAATTTTACGCAAGTTCTCCTTTTTTTTTTTTTGAGTTAAATCATTGAACTCTAAAAATAATAAAAGTATTTGTAGGATGTCTCAAAAATAATGCTAAAAGTGTGGACACAGACTAGTCGTTTCCCTTGTGGAACTCGAATCATTCCAATTTCCAAATTGGGCATTCTGCTTCAGAATATGAGATGACCTTGACTGCTCTACTTGCCCCAGTAATCCTTGCTATCACGTTTGTTTCAGGTTACATCTCAGAGAAATCCACTGCTATTATTTCACTGCCCAATTTCGATGTTTAGACATAGAATATTTGCAGTTCTTCATCATCAATTATAGTTAGATAGAATTTAGAAAACAAATGTTCTAGAATCATCTCTTCTCGTTGGTATGTTTAATCTCTAAAATCTTTACACGTAATGTTTCTTATCTTCAAGATTACTGATTAGCCATCAATGTATACGGTACTGTAAATGTACTTAATTTGTCGCATTGAAAATTCAGCACATATCATTTTTGGGCATATTAGCACCATCGTAAATTCAAGCATCCATAAAAATTGCTATTTAAGCAGCATAAATAAACTAGCTCTATCATTATTTTAGTACAATACACTCGGTGCGAAATGCACTAAAGTGAGATTTAACACTGAAATATGTATGTTTACATCACCTAATTTCATCAAAATTTTCAATCAAGAGTAGATCTCTGAACTGGGAGAAGGGAGATCATTATTAACTTCAAATGTACCTTATATCAAAATGTAAATATAATCATTTCTGTTATACAAGATAGAAAAAATACCTTCTGACATCATGATAACCTTATATGGGGAAAGCAGAAGTGGGGTCAAAGGTCACATCTTAGATGTGTATGTCTCATCATCAAATACACCTGCAGTTTAAACTAGATAGGTGATATGTATATAAATAAGTTATTTACCAGTACTAGTTACACTTAAGCATACCAATGCTTCTTCTAATGTATTATCAATACAATTGTTTATCTAATTTACTCTTGTATATTATATACATGCCTTGTATCAGTTCTGTTTCTTCAACAACAACAACAACAACAACAATTATGTGATATAAACTTAATTAAAACCAATTTAACAATACATGTCATATTGTGCTAATAACATGTATGGTTGCTGAAGCAAAAAGTGCCTAATTTTAGTGCACCATTTATATTAAAATATTAATGATATATTCCAGTGTTTGTTATAAATTACTTGGCAATTTGAATAATTTCTTGAGGTCAGCAGACAGAAATGGCATTCGTGGAACTATGTTCAAGTAAATGTTAGTTTATTGCTTTAATGCAAGGATTTTATTTGCATTACATGAACAGTTTTATTGACAGGTGTAGTCATTGTATGAAAGACTTTAGTACCATAAGAAAAAGAAAAATTATCTGATTATGACAAGTTATGTTATCTGGTCATTGTGAGTTAAGTTATCTTGTTATTAAGACTTATGTTATCTCGTTATTATCTCCTGCCCAACAAAATGGTGGGGATATTAAAATGGGTTCCATCCATCCGTTCATCCGGATGCTTCTTTCTGCACAACAACTTTAGAAGGACTGGTTTGATTTTTAGCTTACCTGCCCCAAAGGGCCAAGTGAGCTTATGCCAAAATGTGGGGTCTGTCGTCATCCGTCAACTTTTCATTTAAACAACTACTTCTGAAATACCGAAAGGTGTAGAGTTATCATATTTGGCTGGAAGCTTCCTTTGATGAAGCCCAACAAAGTGACCCATATTCAAGGTCACAGAGGTCAAATGTGTTTAAACCTTTAAACGACTTCATCCAAAATACCTGAAGGCCTAGAATCATTATATATGGTGAAGGTTCCTTTGATGAAGCCCAACAAAGTTTACGAATAGAAATGACCTTGTCCCATATTCAAGGTCACAAAGGTCAAATGTGTTAAAACCTTTAAACGACTTCTTCCAAAATACTGGACATCCTAGAATCATTTTATTTGGCTGGACGGTTCCTTTGATAAAGCACAACAAAGTTTGCGAATAGAAATGACCTTGTTCCATATTCTAGGTCACAGAGGTCAAATATGGTAAAACCTTTAAACAACATTTTTTATAATAATAATAACCTTTATTTATCGTCGTGTACAGGTTAACAACAAACATAAGCTCTGTAGAGCTTTTATTATGACGCCGCTGAGGGAACAAATGTTGTTTCAACGGTGGAGGAAAATCCACGGGGGGGAAACCACCGTGCCATCTTAGGGATAACAACTTACCCTATAAAACATCACTCTCTTTTTCCACCACTGCTGGGGATCGAACCGAAATTCTTGGGAGAGTGAGTGGTCTGAAGCTCATGCCTCATTGCAGACAGTATTAATGACTGTGCGCATTAGCGATCACGGCTACCGAGATGATTATGCAAAAGATCTAGGATAGTGATATTATTCTAAAATAGGTTCTCAATGATGCCCGGTAATATTTGAGAACAGAAATGACCTTGACCCTGGAGGGCTTGGGAAAAGTAATGTTATGCTTGGGATAAGTAATGTTACACAGTGAAAAAAATACATGTGAGCCAGTTACATATGTTCTATTCACAGCATTAAAATAAAGAAAACATGATCGGAAAGGGAATTGCAAGAGCCTCATTTTGATGTAAGATTCTTCATAATTATAGTATAAATAAATAAGAAATTCTAAGTTGAAGCCATTTGCTATGCACTGTTTATAGGTCTACAGTAAACTGTTATCAGTAAATCTTAAGTGGGCGGGGCTTAACTGACTAATGATATGCATGAAAGGTCTTATTATTGGTTTTGAGTTAGGATTATGGTTTATAATCCCATGTAGTTAATTTTTTCCTGTCTTTATATTTAATTGGTGCTATATATTGTTGACTTATGCAAGTCTCAAATACATATGTGTTTGTAAACAATGATCTAAAGAGCAAGTAAGCTTCTGCTGTCCTGGGTCATCCGTCCAGCTATAACTAAGAGTTTTTCTGCTATATTGTTTGACCATCTTCTTTCCTTAATTTAAAAAAAGCTATCAATTATATTTAACTGGAAACATCACAAGAAAGTCTCAATTCAACATTGCACAGATGAGGGGGCTGACTACTAAGGGACAGAACCCGTATGGAGTAATTTGTCATATTGCTTAAAGCATCTACCTTGGAACATATGCACAGATATAGTACTGTTGGTCATAAAGATCCAGGTGAGCGGGGGGTCGCGGGTCCATTTTTCAGTTTTCTGCATCAGTATTTTTCATATCTATATTTCAGTGATTTTATCGATTCTACTTGCATTCTGTCAAAACTGACACCACACAAACTTTTATTTCAATCAGAGACGTGTATATATATATATATATATATATATATATATATAGAGAGAGAGAGAGAGAGAGAGAGAGAGAGAGAGAGAGAGAGAGAGAGAGAATTTAATTAATTTCTTGTACATCGGTCTCTCCTACAAGGAACAACACTAGTAAAAATAATAAAAAAAAAAAAATCAAAACTTTCAAACTTTTATCCGGAAGTCGGCTCATTCGAAATGTATAGATGACGTTGACGGTATCAGTTGCTGACGTGCACAATATCCTTCATGACCAAGCACAAATTCTTCATATACTTTACGGAGTTACAATAAAACGAAACTAAATGTTGCTTTTGATACGCTACAAGAAACGATGTATGAAGCTACAGATCATATCAATTTGACTTTCTTATGAATAAATAAACATATAGAAAATTGCCTGTGACAGAAAATATCAGTATTAAACTAGACAAATCACACACAGATATAGACTTTTCAATGAAAAAACTTTTAGCACTTCATTGTCTAAACACTAAATCTGACAAAGTGCCCGATCACAGTCCTTTAGTAAACAGTAATTAGCTTATCTTGGAATTGTGGGGATTTGATTTAGTCAAAATGTTCGTACTGGTTTGACTGTTTCGTTTTTATCGTTCCTAAAAATGCCTGCAACCAAGCTTAATGTTTTCATTTGTTTGTGTAAACACTAACACGATCTTTGACGTCATAACTATATGTGGAGAACTGAAGCTCGCCATTTTCTTACATTGCAGAAATGTGGCGGGATTGCTCCTCTTCTTCTAAATCAAGGAGTTCCTACAGTAGGGGAGCTATGCACAAACGCACGCCAACTCATTTTATAGCATTCCAAATCATAAATCCGGAGGTAATTTTAAAGTATAGTAACCGAAACAAGTAGGATTAGGAGAATGACTTGCGTTTGTGAACTTTGTGAATTAAGTACACTTGGTTGATTCCCTATTCCCTATTCGTTATTCCATTACTTATTCGACGGTGCAGTTGATTACGTATTCCTTATTCCTTATTCAATTACCTACTCGAAATTTTCATTCCTAATTCAATACCTATTATTTATTCATTTAAAAATTATGAAATAACAATAAATGTTTCTAAATAATTATTAAACGTGCTCATTCTATTATTCCTCTTTTCTATTACAGTGTACATATTCAGTACACTTTTCTTAATCCGTCATTTCTTATTCGATATTCCCATTACTTATAAACAATAAAAAATAGTTTTAAATGAATGAATAAACGTTTTAATTGCATTTTCCATTTTTCATTACTTATTCCAATCCTTCGTTACTTATTCGATTTTCTCATTACTTATTCGATGTATTATCATTTATAAACAATATACATAGCTTTAAATGAATGAATAAACGTTTTGATTCAATTTTCGACCAATACGACACATGTTAAGTGTTCATTACTTATTCCAATCTTTCATTACTTATTCGATTTTCTCATTACTTATTCGATTTATTATCATTTATAAATAATGTAGATAGTTTTAAATGAAGAATTAGACGATTTCATTCTATTTTCGACCTGTTTATCGGAGATACTGTACTCATTATGTATTAGAATCTGATATTTCTTTAGAATCTATTGTCAAAATGAACGGTGAAATACGTATCAATTATTATATCCATAACTTATTCATACTTTCATTTCTTATTCTGAAACTGGTATTACTGAATTGAATTCTCACTTTTCTTACTCTTTACCCTTTGTCCACTTTCCTGTCCATACTTGGTTAAAAAAAATCGAAATCAATGTTCACTTCCTGCTCGAATCCTTTACAATGAATAATTTTCTTATTTTCTTTTATTTTAATATATCAGTTTGCTGTATCTTGTACGTTTATTTTGACTGTAATCCAAAGTTTATTTACCGACTGGCATTACTGACAATATAGATGAAAACGTTAATCAATTATTAGTAATCCTAATAATCCTATTAGTCTATGTTTCTATCATTTCGCAGCCATTTAGCTACAAAAAACATGATGGAAGATTAAATGGAAACTTTAGAAAATCTCGTCAGGTTATGTGAATACGGTCCATACAAAATGGCTGCAAGATGATTGGCAAATATATAATTGAATTATGAAATGTTTTAATGAGTAACGTCCTTCTGTATTGTCCGGTATGTAGAAAAAAATGTTGTTTTTCCCCTCCACTCGGGTGTACCAATTTAAAGAAGATTTCAATTCGATACCATTGTGATTTTTATGTGTTTAAATGCATACAGCTGTCTATCCTATGCAAATCTAAGCTTAAACGGTATGAAAAGTGACACTAGTTAATATAAAACGACATTTACCTATGTCTACATGGCGGTGTCATCGATGAAGCATAAGACGCTTACTTTTCCGGAACACCTTATCTGATTTGCCGTTTTATTTTTCCACGGAGTGCCAAGTTTATCTTGCATTTGGTTCAATTTTGCCATTGTTTGAGTGTTTGTATTACGAATTTTTTTCAGCTCGACAGCCCTTACAGCAGTCAGCGTTAGACAATGACAACAAAGAAGGGGAATTCCGTCATTGATCGATTTTGTTTACTTTTGCACCTCGAATATCGATGATCGTGGTATATTTTTCAGTAAAATTAGTTTGGTTTGTAATAGAAACTATATTATTATTTAAAAGGGGCATGTGATGAAACTGTAAAATGAGTTCGTTATGATACAAACATTCATTATAAAAAATCGTAATACTTGAGGATTTTTGGTGGGTCTATCCAAGGAAAAAGTCCAGTATATTATTGATATTTGTATCATGGACCGCGGTCCATTCCAAATATCGATACCAGACTGGACTTTATCCTTGGATAGACCCACCAAAAGAAACTGTAATCCTTAATTACACCTACTAATGATATATAATGATGCACGTGGGTAATCATCTCCAGTACGTTAACCAAGTACGTTATATCAAAAATTTTACTGTAATTACAATTTTATTTGCAACGTTCGTTTGTCTACGTTAAGAACGATAAGGGCTGAAAAGTTGACATTTTCAGAGGGAAAAATGGCCGCAAATCAATAAATGTCGTTCTCACGACATTTGTAGGTGGAAAGAACGAAAGTTCTAGGTCGCTAATTTGCCGATTTTAATTTCGTTTTTTTCCATTCTACTTTTGCCGTTTTTTCGTGGCGGGATAAAGAAATGGCACAAATCATAGAGGCATAAAAAGAAAGACCAATCAAATTGAAGCATTTTGTAGGAAAAGAGACAAACATAAACACCATTGTGAACATAGACATTATGGCTTCTCTCGTAAATTTCCTAACTCATTCATATTAAAATACAAAATGTCAGATAACAACACATTTTTAACTCAACATACACAATTTAGGTACCATTGTCATCGTTAAAATATAAAAACAACACATATAGAAATCCAGTTCATTTACATTAATTAAATTCGTAACAAAAATCAAAGTAAAGGTAAGAAAAAATGTACTCCAAATGTTTCTCCTACGATACATGCAGATATTGCTATACTCAGTTTTTTTTATCTGACCCGTTAGATCCGAATGATATATACTTACCGGGATTCGTCAGTTAAGGGGTATGGGTTAGGGTACACATTAACGTTAGGAAAATCCTAAGTAACGAGGAAATCGAATAAGTAATAAAGGTTTCGAATAAGTAATCAGCATTCTACATGTGTTGTATATGTCGAATAAAGGAATTAAAACGTTTATTCATTCGTTTAAAAATACTTTTATTGTGTGTAGGTAATGTAAAATTCGAATAAGTAACGAGGAAATCGAATAAGTAATAAAGGTTTCGAATAAGTAATCAGCATTCTACATGTATTGTATAGGTCGAAGAAAGGAATTAAAACATTTATGCATTCATTTGAAATGATCTTTATTGTCTATAAGTAATGAGGGGAGGAATAACGAAAAGGAACTGAATACATAACAGAAAGGAGGAACAATAGAATGGGCACGTTTGATAATTATTCAGAAGCATTTATAGTGTTATTACATAATGATTACATGAATAAATAATAGGTATAATAGGTATTGAAATAGGAATGAAAGTGTCGAATTGGTAATTGAATAAGGAATAAGTAATCAACTGCTACGTCGAACAAGTAATGGAATAAGGAATAGGGAATCAACTTCACGGAGGTGGTTAATACATGGTTCGTCACAGATTGAAACCGTGACAATTTTGTTGTGTTTAGATGTCCGCGAATAATTGTGTTGTCAAAACATCCCTGTGGACCGTGATGTATGAGGAATGTCAGGAAGTCGACTTTTCGTGATAGAAATTATCTTAATATGGGTTACAATATTCTATTTTATTTAGCTTACGATATAAATCCAATATACACATATAATAGAGAACTGAAAAACGTTCTCCGTTGGTGTTATTTAATTCCTGTTCTATCTGGTGTATTGATCAGATTATTGAATCAATTCTAAAACAGATAAGTTCAAGTGACACACACATCTACCTAATATTAGAACTAAAGAAATTGGAAATTATTATTATATTTGTCTCCCTTACGCTTACTTTGTCTCTCCTTATAGGGCATTTCTATTGTTTAGCTATATGATGTGTATATACATAATGTTAGATATGTATTTGGTGAGGAGACCATCCCGGCCCCCATACAATATGGTGAAACAAAGGTATGTGCCAAATCCTCTAGCATAAGTTTTGGAAATAATAACATATTTCAACCAAGTTAGTATTAATGGGTGTGTCATGATGAAATATTAGTGAATAATATGTTATATTTATTGAGGATATTTTGATTGAATATAAGATTATAAAAAATATCGACTAAAAAATGAAGAAAATGGTTAAATACATGAAAATAATCCTTTGCGCTTTAAACTTTAAGGAAATTTAAACTATCAAACAATTACTGTATAATAATTCTTCAAAACCGCTAAAGGACCATATTTCTTCAGTTCTTAAAGAAGTTATTACTTAATAAATCACTTTCGTAATTGTCGGAATCAATCATAATTATTTTTCATGTACAGGGGCGTAGCTAACCCAGCAGAAATGTGTAAGCCCATGCGAGGGGTCTGGGGCCGCCTAGGCTCCCAACGGGTCGAGGGCAAGGCCCTGATGGGGGATCAGGGGGGCAAAGCCCCCCGACGGAAAATGAATTTCATGATGTCAGATATGTTTTTAATCGTTTTCTGAGACAGTTTTATTTTTATTTATTAACAGCAAACTTCAACTCTTGACTAAATAAAAGCTAACTTTTTGTTCTTTTGATTCGCGAAGATGTCCCTGACAATTTCCGTATCTTGGTTACATGCACCTTCGGTCTTTGATGTGTCACTTTTAGTGTGGTCATTCGATTTGACTTTATTTTGTTTGAAAAACTTGTCGATCGACGTCTGTAATCCAGAAGCCTTCTTCATTTTGAAAATTTGCACTTTAACAACATTATAATCGGAAACGTTGAAATGATAGTAAGAAGTAGAATAGTATGACGTGTATAAAGTTCTGGAAAGCAATGCACTAGGACTATTTATTCAACAATTTTCTATTTATATTTTTTATTTATCAAAATTTTAGATATTTATTTTCAACCTTAATTTGGTAATTTTGTCCGGCATACTCTATGCACGGATTTTTAATGTGTAAGCGCGGGCTTTTTCTTTCTATGGAAGCTATGCCCCTGATGTACTTTTTATTCGTGAACAATTATGACATTTGTCCCAAAGTTGGTATCTTGTCGATAAAGATAAAGCTGTATTACATCAACATCACATAAATAAAACCTATATGTGTTTCAGATATTGGAAGAGATAAAAGATGTCCAGAGGTCCATGTTGTCCAACAATCCATCCCTAATTGATGTTATGGTACCTGGACGATTAGCCCATATTACATTGATGGTCGTGAACCTACAAAACTATCATTATAGACAAAGGTAATTATGTTTAACCTGAACCAAGGTAGAACCTTTCTATAATTGTATTGGTGTATTTGGTTTGCGAGAGGGTAACAAATATTGACGATGATACACTAGTATGCGTGGCGGTTTCAGTTTTTTAAACCTTGTTTTCATTTAAATATTGAACACATGAAAGTACTACTTGGTGTGACCGAGATTTACATTTGCGCTATACCCTTCTGGAACTCCTGGTTTGGTTTTATTTGTATATTTTATATGGCCTCCGTGTTATTCTTTCATAAACTTCGAGTTTGAATTTTGATTTGATTAACACATTACTTGATATTTACGTTTAGCGAGATAGATGAAGGAAATATGATGAATATTCCACTATCGAAATTGATGTAGTAAGCGGAGATATTAACCACGTGATAGACATGTGATTGTTATGAAATACATAGTTGTTTGACATGTGGTATATGTATTCACAAATGAAAAGTGCCAGTAAAAATTTCCAGCTCCCGAAAGGATAAAAACAAACTGATATCGTAATTACACTCTGATTAAAGAACGTGAGAAAAAATATGATTTTATAAATTCCACATGAAAAGGTTACCGATATAAGATTCTGTTTATCACACAACAAAGACACTATTGGAAACATTTACGGAAACATTTGTTTGACTGACAGTTACTGCTATTTCACTCATTGCAAATACCTGTCCCTCTCTCTCTTTGATGAAGTAAACAATGCATATGATGCCATGCAGTTACGAAGTTTGAAACAACCTACAGACAATCCGCTAGGTGTTATTACACACGTGGTCATAACAAAACTAATAACAATACGTATCTATGTTTTAGAGCAAAAGATGCATTGAATTTATGTGCATCAAGACTGAAAACAGAGTACAGGAACGAACCGATAGTTTTAGACCTAGCAGGAATTGGAAACTTCCGTAATAAAGTGGTATTCGCCAAAATACATGATGCGGATAAAACATCAGATGATATTCTCCAACATGTTCATGGTAAATGATATCGGACTGGATATATGGCATGAGATTTTGGTATCTTGAATTTGCAAGTCATCATTATGTTAAAATCACATTTCTATTTCTACGTAGTTTCGTTTTTACCTGCTTGTTGCTTTTAGATGTAACTCGGATCATCGGAAATATAAAAATACTACTATAATACAGTAAGTCATAAATAGTAAATAATTATTGTTTTCATCCTTCTATCGCCCAAATTCAGGGAAAAGTTTTATTGTATGACATATATAAGCCAGTGTGAAATGTTATTCGATAACATCTATCGTTATTGTAACGTCACAATTATTGTTCTTCTTTGTGGCTCTCAAAACCTGTCGGATGACCAAAATGCAATCCGTTCAGACTTTTATTAAACACACCAATTGGTTTTAAGGTCATCTGTAACTATCATTACTTCAGGACATGTCTCACTCTCTCCTCTTCCTTACTTCTCCCTTGGCATTACTCCATCCCTGTTGCTTTTATCTCTCCTATCCGTAAATATATGCATGTAGCAAACATGGTTTGATGAACGTGTTTACTATTGAAGATATGTTAGATCTATGTGAAATGTAATTTTTGGTAGAAAGGCGTTTCTAAGTTGTGATAACATGTGCCTAATCCCATTTGTTAGTTTGAACAAATAAAGAACGTTAAGATCAAGCTGAAATAAGTATTTTTGTGCTCAGGTACAAATACTTTTGGTGATAAATCTGATATATGTGTATTAATATTTCTTTTTAATGATTTAAAGGATTTTCTTTAAGTGAGATATTATTTTCAATATGCAAGTTTCACTCTTAAACTGCTATTTCATGATTTAAGTGAGTTAAAAGAAAGTTAGATTGAGCACAGAATTCATGCTTCAGGTGTTGTAAAGAGCTCGTTTGAAGAGTATGGTATTTATACCACGGATACAAGAGCCGACTTCAATCCGCACCTGACACTGGCCAAGACCCAAAATGGTAAACCGAAATAATAACTACAGTATACTGATTAAATTAAAAAAAACAACATTTGAATGTCTTTTTCTCTTGTTATGGCAAGTGATTTGTATGTCCTTATGTTATATGTGACTCATCACTATGTTTTATTGTACAAGTAGATATGGACATATCAGAATATGTTTACAAAGACAGGATTGATAATTTCTTTGGGCGAGAACTGGTCAACAGGATCCAGCTTTGCGCAATGGGAGTGGACGGTGAAAGCTCTTACTACGACGTGCTGCACCAAGTTAAGTTTGGTATGTACTTACATATTGTGTTTCACATTTAAGTTTGGTAGGATCACTAATTCTTCGTCTTTGAAGCAATAAATCCAAAGCCTGAGTGGTTAGACTATCCTTTATTTATTTCGCACTGCTTTCCTACTGTGGTAAAGATTCTTAAATGTTAGGGGATTTATTTTGCGCTATTTTCATTGACGGGACAAAGTCACGAAAAAAAAAATACACGGAAAAGTGATAATTTCCGTGAAATATGCATCTTTTCTGATTTACTGCGAAAATTTGAACCATTTAAAAGCAGTTTTAAAGGATATTGTAATATACATCATAGGTAGATAATGAAACTATTAAAACCCGGTTGTGATTTTCAGGTTCACGCGTTCCGTCCAGTTCCCACTGTGAGAAGTACTATACTAGACCTGCTGCTGGAGCGGATGGTGGAGCATTTGTTTAAATCATGTTTCTGTAGACTTGGATATATATTCCATTACAAAAGACTTGGAGAGCTTAAGTTGCCGATCAAATAATCACCTGTGCGATAAACTATGGCAGCACACTGTTTGATGACGTCAATTCAGATCGATTTGTGTTGCCAACGAAAGAAAAACTGATCCAATTTAAATAGCAAGCATGAAATTGTACATAAGAATATTTTTTTAAAAGTCTATTTTGTACATTTGAATTAACAATTTTGATAAGACAAAGAACAGGTAATGAACCTGTACCAAGTTGGGTCTAAATTCCTATTCTATTTGTAAGTATTTTATGCAATTTATGATGAAATTGATCATCCTTATTGATAAAATAATGATTTAATAAAATTTTAATTTATCAATATGAGTCTTATTTTTTGCTTTGGGAATAAGCTTAGAATTTGTTAAAATGGCAGACATACTTGTAACTACCGTGTTAAGACTATTGCATTGAATATTTTGAGAAATTCCTATATCAGAGGATTGATTAAAATGCGAAAAGTATAGTTACCTTGAAAACAAAATGTATAAACGAAATTGTAGTCCGTTTTTTAATTCCATCCAATACACTCTTTTAATTTCAATTGTTTTTTTACATGATAAAATTTGAACCGTCGGATTTTTCCCACTTTCTTTTTTGTTAACAGCTGTATTTACCAAATGAAATGTTAATCAATGCCTGCTTTTGATTCTAAAGAAATTTAATTAATAGCCCTGACAATGTCCGATGCGAGACCTTCCGATGTTGCTGGGTAATGTATTCACCAATCTTACCGGTATCAGTGGGATTGTGACCATAATACCTTCTTGAAGACTGATTCATTTACTGAGGCAGGTGACAATAAAAATATACGGGTCGGAGACTAGGTGTATATGGTGTGGGTGAAATAGGCTGTTTCATGTGAATACTAGGTGTTATATCATTACATTCTTGAAGACTGTTTCAAGTGAGTATTTGGAATTGTGACAACAGTGCCAGTGAGACTGCTTCATGTGAGTATAGAATTTTGATATTGTTGCCTGGGAGACCATTTCATGCAAACATTAGGGGTTTTGACAAATACCTCTTGAAGACTGTTCCATGTGAATATAGCAGTGACAACGTCGTATGAGAAACCATGCCGTGACTGGGTTAACTTATCCTTCAATAATAATGGCAGAGGATGTAGCATTATCTTTTGAAAGAAAACTCAATTTCTTCAGTCCTTTCCTAGATCAGGTGTCTTACTGGCAGTAACTCTGCGACGGCGCCCTATAAATTGCTGGAAAATTTGAAACGTTTTCACTAAGTTCATATTTGCCTTGAACAGAAAAAACCATTAAGTAGACATGTTTAATATCCTATCAAACTTTGACCTTTTTATCTCTTGTTCTTTGCTTTCCTCTTGTTATTCTCTTCATCAAATGAAATTAGAAAACATCTTCTAAAAATAGGTACGATATATTTTTAACTGTTAAATTCGGGATGGTCGCCGCTGTTGGCCATTTTGTTTTTCTGATCTGTCCTAAAATCAAAATGAAACTAGGGAGAGAGGGAAACCTACGTATGAAATTTAAGAAAGATCAATCTCGTATTTCTCAATAAATAGTGATAACAAACTTTCATCGAGAAAATCCACGACTACCGCTTATCGGCCATATTGCTTTTCTGATCAGTTCCAAAATCAAAAGAGCACAATTATAGACCGAAAATTTATGTCTCTATATTAATATCCACATTTATCATGCCATTTTTAATGTTAATATTCTTAGTGACTATGCTCATTGTCAGGGGAGTAGCTTTCATAGCAAGAAAAAGCCCGGGCTTACACATAAAAAAAATCCGTGCTTAGAGTATGTCGGACAAAATTACAAAACTAAGGTTGAAAATAAGTATCAGGGGTTGAAGTTTTTTGTTAAATAAATAAAAAAAGCTGTCTCAGAAAACGACCAAAAACATCGTTGAAATCATGAAATTCAGACCCCTCGCCTGGGCTTACACATTTCTGCTGGGCTTGTTACGCCCCTGATTGTGAATGTTGCCATTAAATTATAATTTTAGACAGAAATTTTCAGTCCTACTTGTGAGATTTGAAATAGGCCCATTCCGTACTTTTCAAGAAATAGCAATAGCAATTATTGCTCTATGACTGACGACGAACGACAGACCATGGACACAGAAGGATTTGAAATACCCGTCCTTCAGTGCATAGTGGGTTAAACAATTCCCAAATCAGACAAAAACGAAAGTGAAAGTACGAGAGGCATATATATAGATTTCATCTAAGTCAATGCGATGCTTAGTAATAACGAACATATTGTACCGTGTGTCAGACGCTCTACTTTCCCGTGCAGAAGGATTTGCGTCTTCAGAAATCTTACTTTTGTTGGCATACATATCAAAATGTATGAAAATCGAGTAATAGATATCATCTTTTGATATAATCATGTTTGTAACATGACGGAATCCCGATCAGTGCACACCACACAATTCCATAAACACATGGAAAAATGATGGTGCAACAACTCGTTTGTTTTACAATATTGTGCAACAAGCATTTGTCGCTTTGAATTGATTACTCATGTTAACGATATTAGGCTCCCAACACTACAGGATCATCTACAGAATATGGCAACAGACTGCCAACTACATACATAGGCCAATATACGGGAAGAAACGGGTAAGCAGATGTTGACACACACAAGAAGATCATTTCAAATACGTTAGGTGGGCGCTTGTGTCATTGACAATAAAGGTACAGTAGCGCAATGGGTTAGAACTTTCATCCAAGTTTGGAGGTCATAAGTTTAATTAAAATTTAGATTTATAAAGTTGAAATTGTTAATGAGGCATGCTAGTTCTTTGTCCCTGGACAGCCAGGTTGTTTTGGGTTGAAGTAGATATTTTGAGGTCTGTTTGCATATAAAATGTGATCAATGCTTGTAACCTGTATATATGTAGAGGGCGAGAGAAATCTCACGTAAATGGAACTCTTGAAAGATTCATGTAAGTCTGACTCCATGTAGACCAAAGAGGCTAGCAAATAATTTTAGTCCCTTATGGTAATTGGGTAGAACGAGTCAGACTAATAATCTTTGGTTGCTGTAATTGGTTTAGATTTGTGTTCACCTCTAGTGCTAGTGCCTGATTTTATAACCGTCCTGTTAATAAAGTCAGAAACCTCAATATAGGCCTCTATTAAAGTGCACAATATAATGTACAGTGTATATATACATTGTATTAGCCCTGTAATGTAAATAACGTAAGCTAATGATACTCCCGCAACAAAGTTAATGGGGGTAAATAGAATCAGCTTATCAGTCGGTCCATAGACGAAACTTGTCCAAACAAAGTACCAATACCATCTGGAGTTGTATTCTCAAAAGTGGTTTTGCATTTCTACCCTTTCAAGAGAATTAATGACTTCATAAGTTAAAGCAAGGAGATTGGGTAGTACAAGGGATTGATACATGTCTAAGGAAATTCTAGGTTATATATAAAATGTTGGGGTCACTGGAAATGAAAATAAAACAATTGATTTGCATAAACTCTTTGCATCTGCAGGGAAAAGAGTGTATTTATAGCTATCCTTAGCATGACAGATGTAGTTTTTGCTAAGTTTGATTTTAATCTTCTTCAGGTTGGCACATTTGACACAGTTCTGTCATTAAGGGAAAAGTCTTCAGGCCAAGTTGTAAAGTTTTTTTCACTCAAGAGTATGGAGTTGCAAACAAATTCCAGGTCTGAAGAACTCTTTCCAGAGGGTAATGTAAATAAAAGTGAATCAAATACAGAAAGATCCCCGGAAAGTTGGCTGGAAGATGGCTTTGGTATTCTGTTTGATGAAAGTCAAAGTTCCAATGAATTATCTGTCAAGAAAAAGGAGGGGTCAAAAAAGGCAAAGGCCTGTATGAAGAAGGGCATGGAGGAGAATTTAGAGGATGGACCGAGTAAATCTAAAAAGAAAAAGAAAAATGCAAAAAAGATTTCGGAAATGCCAGATCACTTCATCGCTTTACAAATTAGGAATCCTGAGGTAAAAAAAAAGGGGAAAAAAAAACTTTGAAAAAAGAATGGAAAACATTCAAAGGACTTAAAATGAAAGTGTTTACAAAAAGTAAAACAAATCATAGACAAATTTTTGGTATGGTAAAATGGAATTCTTTAACAAAATCTATATTGTGAAAATCATTATATAAGTTAAAATTAATTATAAGCTTTACATAGTTCATACTTCTCTAGAGCTGTGGTATGTAAATGTTTTTAAAAGTCTTAAATTTTTATGTTATGAACATTGAATATGATAAGATGAATATAATCTTTTGATCATGATGAAATGATTTTTTTGTACATATAGATCCAGAAAGAATTTGCTGATGTTCAGGAAAAAATTGTATCCCAGAGTCCTTCACTAATCCACGCTATGGTGTCTGTCCAAAAACTCCACATTACAGTGATGCCTGTTTGTCTCCCGACTCAGGACCGTATAGACATGTAACTACTTTTAAATCCTCCTACTTTGTCTAAAACAGACATTAAAGGGCATGATGTCAGATAATTAATGTCACAACTTCATGTTAGTGGTATGATATCAGATGATTGTGTCACAACTTCATGTTAGTGACATGATGTCAGATAATTAATGTCACAACTTCATGTTAGTGGTATGATGTCAGATGATTGATGTCACAACTTCATGTTAGTGGCATGATGTCAGATGATTGATGTCACAACTTCATGTTAGTGGCATGATGTCAGATAATTGATGTCACAACTTCATGTTAGTGGTATGATGTCAGATGATTGATGTCACAACTTCATGTTAGTGGCATGATGTCAGATAATTGATGTCACAACTTCATGTTAGTGGCATGATGTCAGATAATTGATGTCACAACTTCATGTTAGTGGTATGATGTCAGATGATTGATGTCACAACTTCATGTTAGTGGCATGATGTCAGATAATTGATGTCACAACTTCATGTTAGTGGCATGATGTCAGATAATTGATGTCACAACTTCATGTTAGTGGCATGATGTCAGATAATTGATGTCACAACTTCATGTTAGTGGCATGATGTCAGATAATTGATGTCACATCTTCATGTTAGTGGCATGATGTCAGATGATTGATGTCACAACTTCATGTTAGTGTCATGATGTCAGATAATTGATGTCACAACTTCATGTTAGTGTCATGATGTCAGATAATTAATGTCACAACTTCATGTTAGTGGCATGATGTCAGATAATACTAAAAACATGATATCATTTATAGACACAATATTACATGAGTAATACACAGCTGTAATGTCACTTCAGTTACAGATAAAATTACCAGTTAAATGATTAGAATCAAATACTGCACCTGTCATGTATCAAGGTTAATCAACTGTGTGTTCATACCATCAAGATTGCCTTTTGAAGCATAGGAAATAAGAAGGAATGTATGCTTTCAGGAATAAACCAATAAAAATATTACAGATGGATCCCCTTTAATCTGGAAAGGATCTCATTTACAAAATACCCACTGTCAACCCTGTTTTTATGAACTTATTAGGGCTATTGGCCTGTAAACAAATATATTAAGAGGTCAACAAATTAAACAAAACAGTATATAAATAGTATGTTTTGATCTTTAGTAGACTGAATTAAACTACTGCTGTAAATAAAGAATACACACTTCTATTTCCAGAAAGATAATGCCCATTTTGAAATCCCTTCCAAAAACTTTTCCTTTAACATTGACTGCTGATTTTCTGTTCAGAGCCAAGTCTGCATTGGATGAGTGTGCTGCCAAACTACATACAGATTACAGGGACCGATTGATCGTGCTTGGAGTGGCAGGGATAGGAAATTTTAGGAATAATGTCTTGTTTGCTAAAGTTGCTGCATCAGATCCAAGTCAGCACAATGTTTTGCAGCACATATCTGGTAAATGGGTAGGATACGGATAAACAGTAACAAAGCTTGTTGACCTTGATTGAGATATTTTTGTAAATCACTCAGAAAACAGACAAAATTTTTGTAGACAAGAATTAAAATTTTCAACTTCAAGCCCTTAAAATATTCCAGAAAAATGATAGCTGATTGGCTATTTATAATCAAAACATTTTAAAGTTATCGTTTATACATTGTTGAAGTCACTAGCTTTTTCCAGTTGTTAAGTCTTTTTTTATAACCCAAACTCTTCACTAAATGTTTGACTTTTATATTAGACTTATCATTGCTTTGTTGTTTTCCAGATGTGGTGAATGACTCATTTGCTGAACATGGTATTAAAAATACTGACAAGAAGTCTGATTTCAAACCACATATTACGATTGCAAAGTTGTCAAAGAACTTTCGTAAACTCAGATTGGAAGGTGAGATATGTTGCAACAAATAGTGGTACTGGTGATGAAACAATTTCCAACAAAGATATTTAGCAGTTAGTGTAATACTTGCTATTAAAACGAATAAGATTAACCCACTTTCAATTATGTGAAATGTGTATGAATACAACAGGTATGGTGATAGATACAGGTGGTCCATTCTACATTTCGTTGTCTCTTCCAATATGTCAGAAGGGTTAATAATTTCAGATTTTAGATACAGGTCCTGTATTTATACTGAAATTTAAGCCCAAAACATTACTTTAACTTTAGTCAAGGATGTTGAAATCTAATAAGCTGACTCCAGACCGATATAAAAAAGTCAATAAAACAGAACTATTCAGACTAATTTCATCTCAGTCCTATCTTGCCCTGCCATACCTCAGGGTCTTGGAACTGAGCGTCCATCATTGTACAAATGACAGTGTTGTATTTATACCCTCTTACTTCATCCGAGTTTTTTTGATATAAAGGTATAAAAAAGATTGACCCTTCACTGTATGAAGACCAAATAGACAGACACTTCGGCCATCAAGTCCTTACCTCAATACAGCTCTGCTCCATGTTCAAAAAGGACCTGGCAACTGGTTACTATAAAATACTACACGAAGCAAGCTTTGGTAAGAATGTTATATTAAATTACCGGTATTGTTTGAGTACTGCAAATATGTAAGGTATAATTTTGAGAGTGGGATAGTTCAGTGCTTATATTAACATATTCTGACATATTTCTCTGTCTTGCTGCATAAAAAATATGGGAAAGAACCAAAACAGAGCCTAATATCTTGAAAGTATGTTTCCTTTTAGTTAGTCTAGTAGTTTAATGTAAATTTTGTCTTTCTTTTTCCCAATGGTTCAATGACAAAAAGTTTGTCACTTTTGACTGTTGAAAATCAAAATTTGTCTTCTTTTTAAGGTTTCAGAATCAAAGGTTGTCATTTTTTGATAGTTCAAAACCAAATTTTGTCAATTTTCGATGGTTCAAAACCAAAGTTTGTCTTTCTTTGCTGATTCAAAATCAAAGTTTGTCATTTTGTCATGGTTCAAGTTGTAATGGAGCAAGTATATATTTTCTTTGAAATCATTTATTGTTTTTGGCATTAATCTTTTCCATGGTTCAAAACAAAACTTAGTCATTTTTTTATGGTTCCAAACCATTTTTTTTCGATGGTTCAAAACCAAAGTTTGTCTTTCTTTGATGGTTCAAAACCATAGTTTTTCGTTCTTTGATGGTTCAAAACCAAAGTTTGTCTTTCTTTGATGGTTCAAAACCAAAGTTTGTCTTTCTTTGATGGTTCAAAACCAAAGTTTGTCGTTCTTTGATGGTTCAAAACCAAAGTTTGTCTTTCTTTGATGGTTCAAAACCAAAGTTTGTCGTTCTTTGATGGTTCAAAACCAAAGTTTGTCTTTCGTTGATGGTTCAAAACCAAAGTTTATCTTTCTTTGATGGTTCAAAACCAAAGTTTGTTGTTCTTTGATGGTTCAAAACCAAAGTTTATCTTTCTTTGATGGTTCAAAACCAAAGTTTGTCGTTCTTTGATGGTTCAAAACCAAAGTTTGTCGTTCTTTGATGGTTCAAAACCAAAGTTTGTCTTTCTTTGATGGTTCAAAACCAAAGTTTGTCTTTCTTTGATGGTTCAAAACCAAAGTTTGTCTTTTTGATGGTTCAAAACTAATGTTTGTTATTTTGTCATGATTCAAATTTTAATGGAGAAAGTATATATTTTTCTTTGAAATCATTTATGGTTAATGGCATTGATTTTCATATTGTAGGTTTTATTCCATTGTTGAAAAAAATAATACCCCTTGTGAACACCTACTCATAGTAGTCCTGTAGTGTAATGTTAATACATGTATATACAAGTTCCTATAACCTTGATGTTATAGCTGCATTATTGTGACCAGTGTTTATTATAAAGGTTAGCTTCAGACTTCTTACTACCACAAGAATTTCAGTTCCCCAGCAGTGACAGAAAAAGAAGAGTTATGTCGGGTATAGTACCTGAAAGTAAATATTCCCTCAGTGAAGACATGAGTTTTTTTTACATGTGGGATACCTTCAAGTTTTCTTGTATCTTGTATATAACCTATAAGTTATTGATGTAATCTGTTCAAACAAGATAAATTAGCATTAAAATTTGATTGCACCAAAATAAGTATGTTTACACTACAGTGTATCCGGTTAATTTTGAGGGAATGCTATTTTGGTAATTTGCGGTACATTTAGGCGATAGTGAAAGTAAAATTCTTGAAATAATGAGACATGTGTACGAGATGTCCTTTTACAGCCGGATTAGGAAATTCTTAATTATTTAATTATCATTTGATCATTTTAGAAGAAAATTGCAAAATATTTTGGCTTGTGAAAATTACCAGTTAAAGGATACAGTATCTCTACTTTAATGATTTTGATTAGAATTAATCGTTAGACACATTTTTCATTTAATATGTCTGGTATTTAATTTATTTTGACTTTATTAATAGGTCCTCAGCAAATTTCAAATTTGACATTAGAAAAGCAGTCAAGTGAAACATCAGCAGCAGATATTATTGTGCAGTGGAGTGTAAAATCGGCCATGGAAAAATGTATGGCTACAACTCGCGTGGTGGAGGATGAATCCAAGTATGTAAAACCAGAGGAAAGCAGACATGATACAGAACTTTTATCTAAACTTTCTGATAATGAAAAACGCACCAGGTGTGAGGAGGAATTAGATACAGATTCTGACTTGTGTTCAACATTAGTGAATGGCACTTTGCTGAAAAATGTCAACCACGATCCTGAAGTCAATCAAGTTGACTCATTTTCTAAAGTTGAAGTAGTCAAAGTTTCAACTGAGGAGGAAATTGAGAAAGTTTGTAGGTCTGAAGCAAATATCAGTTCAGATGTTAATACACGTGTTATTGAGAGTTCCAAGGAAGAAAAAGAGAGTAGTGATACTTGATGAGGTATAATACCCCAGGTAAACAGTATAGTGTGTTTATTGTCACAATGATGTATTGCCTTATATTTCAACATTATAAGGCTGTATCTAATCTATCTATACTCCGTCATCAATATGCATATCACTTGACATGTCTTTTGTCGTCAGTAAAATATTTACACATGTAGTTCATCAGCAGTGTTTAGGTTATTGAAGTTAGAAATCATGAAATCATTACATTTTCAAAATATTAAGAAGAATTCTTTGCATCATTCTCTTCAGGGCATTTTTTAAGGTGTAGTGTTTAGTTAGAAAACTTTATATTTTTTCATATATTTTTAAAGGGAGGTGAGGTGCAGTATACAGTAAAATCATATATTTTTGTAGAGTTGAATTTTCATAGTACCCTCTCCTCCAAACATAAAAATACTAAAAAATTGCTCAATATACGTCCTTAAACCAAGTATATCAATTTGTGGACATATGAATTTGCGGATCAAGATAGTTCACAAAATTAGCAAAAATAAATTTCCCACAAAAATGAATCATTTCACAGTATTTCTGTATGAGAGAGATACTTGCAGCATAACTTGACACATGTAAGAAGATATTGATAATAAAGACAAATATGACACATTAATGAATGCACATTTACAGTCATGGTGCTAAATTTTCATTTCTTTTTCTAAATATTATATAAACTTTTTCCATTATATTAGTTTATTGAATGAAAATGTTGAGGAATGAAATAAAAAATAACAAAAATAATTTGAAAATATTTATTTTTTGTTATTCTCCTAATTTTTACAGTCACATTAACCATATGTTGTGGCTGGTCATGATTTACAAATAAACTATAACATCACTTCATAAAATGAAGGATTTCAATAAATGACAATAAATTAAAATTTAGCTACTAAGTATCTAAAATAATTATCGTTTTTGTATCATGAATGAGCCTTTATGTCTGTGGGCATATTTCTGTTTCAACTATTTGTACATATCACAGATGTTGTGTCACAATTTATTGAAAATGTCTCCTTCCATCTTGAAGAACTACAAACACTTCAGTCATGTAAAAATCCTCTGGTGTCTTCAACTTTTATTGTAATCCAGTGTCCAATGGAGATTAGTGGGTGTCTAAACAAGAAATTCTCCGGACACACAGAACCTCGATTGACAGGAAGCCTTGTTTCCACTATGCAGACAATTTTTGTTGTTGTTTATTTTGATGGACACTCTGTTCTCGGATACAGTTAATTGGACGGAATGTTGATACAAGTCAGGTGATCCTTCTACCGAAGGCGAATCAGTGATGCCACATACACCCAGACGGATGCCACAGAGTTAGGGTAGGCATGTACATAGACTGCAAGGGCAAATTCCACATCACTGGTCTCGTGAGCATGCACACCAGTGGAATAGACTCGTTCATTGATGTATTCTAGATCCTTGAATGGCATGTTGATGGGGAATCCAGACACCTGAAATGATAACAATGTATCTAATAACATATAGAAGTATCTATAGATGTCTTGGACTGGCAGAAAACGTATTGCGACATATACAGTCATATTGAATTATTAAGCAGACTTCTGATAATGCATAGACATCACACTACAAAGAAGTTCGCTATTGATTTCCAAGTTACAGGTTCCCCATTGGTTTCTTAGATAGGATTTCTCATTTGGTTTCGTAGATAGGATTTCTCAGTTGGTTTCTATGCTAGGAGTTCTCCATTGGATTATTAACTAGGAGTTATCTATTTGATAAAAGCTTTTATAAGCTAGAAGTTCTGCATTGGTTTCTGTACTCCAGTGGTTTCTAAGGTAGAAGCTCCTTGATGATTTCTAAGCTAGGAGTTCTGCATTGGTTTTTAAACTAGTAAATTAGAAGTTCCTTATTGGTTTCTAAACAAGATGTTCTCAATTGGTTTCTAAGCTTGGAGTTTTGCAATGGTTCTTAGCTAGCAGTTATTCCTCCATTTCTAAACAAGAAGTTCCCTTTTAGTTTCTAAGTTATGAGCTCTGGATTGGTTTCTAAACTATAAAAAGTTCCTGTATGGTTTTTAAGCTAGGAGTTCTGGATTGGTTTCTAAGCTAGGAGTTCTGCATTGATTTCTAAGCTGGACGTTCTCTACTGGTGTTTTATGTATGTTGAGGTTATCCATTTGTTCACTATACTAAAATAACCATTTGAGATTTTAATCTTGATTCATATTAAAAAATCTTTTATTATATAGATAATGAAGGTCAATAATTCTGTATATTTGGGTTACCTTGTAAGTAGAGAACTGTTTCTCTAGTTCAGACAGATGTTCGCTACCTGGTGGTTTTCCAAGATTCTCCTCCAATCTGTAGATTTTAAGAGAAAATAGCAAAACATGTACAATATGTGATAACTGAAACAATATTTGGAAACCATTTTTTCTAATATATAACTACTTCTTCTTTATATGCAAATTTACTGGAATAATATTTGAATATAAATTTAAGTTATACATCAAGTGTCATGAATGAAAAGATTATCATCAAGACAAAATAATTCATACATAGCACTCAAATTAAATAAGAAAGAAAGTTTTCACACATTCACAAACTTACACTGGTAGGATTTTCCTCATGATTTGTGTGCAGTGTCTGTTCCAGCGAGTGATGTATCGTGATCGCCAATCCATGATCCTATTCTTTAACATGTTCTCTATCTTTTCCTGGATGTCTCTTGCTCCATTTGGATCAGAGTTTATATACCGCAAGGCCTCAGGCTTTAAAATGATAAAAAGATGAAATATTTTGATTAAAGTAACTGACTGGCACTCGCTCAAATGCTTCAGAGTGTTTTTGTAAAGTACAGGTACTTTGTACCATTTATCGACAACCTGTAAGTACATGTATTGTAATAACTGATATCTCTTTGTCCTGTAACAAGTCTGTCTCCTGACATTTGACTGCTTGGTCATCTGGACTTAGTACACGATAAATGTTGTAACAATTTCACAGGAACACTGTTTTACCCATGTTTGTCTTGTCCCCATCAGTTGTCACTTTAGCTACTTCACCATTGTAGGAATTTTGTCAACTACAAAAATACCTTGGAGAAGTTTGAAATTCAGAGTTCTAAGATCACGGTTACAGTAATTTGTCACAACCTGATATCAATTTGCATGGAGCATTTTCATGTTCTTACCTGTATAGATGGAAGTGACCTGCTGAAGGATCGTGTGAAGAATGGTCTCCAGTCTGATGTTGATTTGAGGTCAAATCTCATCTGGGATGGCTTATCATACTGCTGTATATTTGCGTAGATCTGGAAAGAAAAATATCTTGCCTTTAAGCTATAACTTAAACAGAAACTGAGAGATACAGATGCCATTAAATATTCTGATAGGTAACTCCTCAGGGCATAATCTCAAATAAAACTGCTCATATTTTAATCTTCAGATTTTAGGTTTCAAACGATTCTTACTACTGTGGAAGCATCAATTTTTTTTTATATTAACAAGCCATGACATTTAATCAACAAAGATAATGGGACTTGTAATGCTCACCACTGCCATTGTGATAATAGCATATAGTGAGGTCTAATTTATGAAATAAGAAGACATATAGAGGAAATCCTGAGTTTTATGATGATTCCACTCCTTCCCAAAGTGTCATGCTGCAGTTTTAAGAGTAAAAGCATGAGAAAAACATGGTAATTTATCTGTCAACCATACTTTCTCCTATTAATTCAGACCAGCTGTTGACAAAACATCAGCAAATACACTTGTAATTCTTATGACATAAGATGTGTGATGTTTGTGTTGTTGTTTATAAACAGAAAACATGATATTAATTTGCTTTCTTTTCAATTCATTAGTGCCTATGACATTTACATATTGCTCTTTAAATGATTTTTGAAACAAAGGCAACCACCATAATGCTGCTGCTATTTTGTTTAAAATCAACATATAAAATACTAATTCTATTTGAATAAGCCCTCCCCCTGAGATTAAGTCAGCAGCAGTGTGTATGCCCCTTGGGTTTATTTCAGAAAAAATTCAGTATTACAAAGTCTCTATAATGTATAAGGTAGAAAATGAATGAAATGGATATAGGAACACTAAACTTACATTTTCTGCATCCACTAGGCAGCCAACTGTCTGTAGAGGGCAGTAGTTGTCATGGACACTGTAGTGAAGGCCTGTCCCAGCATTCCAGATCCAGAGATCGTTTCCTTCCTCTGTCATAACGTAGGCTGTGGGACCCTCTGGGATAGCGGTGCCTATAAATAATTATGATTCATAATTACATTGGTTGGCCAGTACAGATCAGATAAACTTTTACATGTGTTCAGTTTCTATAAGACCACCTAAAATATGGATACCTGTATAGTTATTTATAGTCTTTACATTTGCATATGACTCCTATAATCAGCTTTACTGCTGCTTTGACACATTCGTATACAACCCTGTGTAACTATAATCAGCCATATTACAGCTTTAGACACATTTGTATACAACCCCTGTGTACCTATAATCAGTTTTACTGTTGCTTAGATACATTTGTAAACAATCCCTGTGTACCTATATTCAGCCATATTACAGCTTTAGACACATTTGTATACAACCCCTGTGTACCTATAATCAGCCATGTTACAGCTTTAGACACATTTGTATACAACCCCTGTGTACCTATAATCAGCCATGTTACAGCTTTAGATACATTTGTATACAACCCCTATGTACCTATAATCAGCCATGTTATAGCTTTAGACACATTTGTATAAAACCCCTGTGTACCTGTAATCAGCCATGTTACAGCTTTAGATACATTTGTATACAACCCCTATGTACCTATAATCAGCCATGTTACAGCTTTAGATACATTTGTATACAACCCCTGTGTACCTATAATCAGCCATGTTACAGCTTTAGATACATTTGTATACAACCCCTGTGTACCTATAATCAGCCATGTCTTCTTCTGCATTGACATGAAGTAGTTGGCTAATAAGACTGCATGTTCTTCCTCGTCACCAGCCATCATTTGTAGGAATTGCTGCAAGAGAGAAACAGACAACCTGTCAATCAACTTTTAAACATCTGCAACATGTGACTTATTTCAAAACAAACTGAGAAGTAACAATAACTCTTAAAATGACACCTAAATTTAGGACAATAAACTGAGTCGAAACCTACATATGTTAAACTGTATATAGTTAATTGGAAACTGGTAAAAAATTTGATGTCAATCCAACAATCCTTGAAGGAGTTTTTACAATTTCTAAAAATCCTGTAAAATTTCATGCTTTTTCATTTCCCCAAAATTGGTTCTTTGTTTTCCTAGTTTTGTGCTGCAATGCAAGTGCACCATCAAAATGTAAACCAATTTTTTTTTACAGCTCAAAACATGTCAAAAATTTTATTTGATTTATAGGAAATCAATATTTTAACTGCTTTACATCTGCAACTTTCTGAAAATAATTGTAACCAACAGTGATACATAAACATATAGTACACATTATACACATTGAGGGGTTTATAAACTACTTCTTGGGCATAAGAAATAGATTTTTTATTTTATTATCTTGTTCAGACAGCAGGTTATGTTGAAATGACAAGAAAGAATTTAAATGATTTTCAGTTTTAGTTTGCAATACAATAAAAAGCACACATACCGAGCTGGTACTCCAGATGTCACAGAGTCCTGGGAACACAACCGAGTCAGAAATGAAGGGAATCATCGCCACAAAGTGTGCCACAACCTCCTACAAATTCGAAATAAATTAAGGCTTATGACTGTAAGGATCTTTTTCTTTCATCTAACATTTGAAGAAATTTGCCTCATCAAGAAAACAAAATATAGAAGAATCATTCCATATACTTTCATTATTATGCTGCTACAAACATCAGTTGGCCACCTCACGTTCGTATTGGTGAAGAATCAGGTGTTCTGTAACTATTTGTGAGGGGAGAGAGAGAATGGGCAGGCAGAAGCCATTAAATTAATGATAATAAATTGTGTATGATGAGGGTCTAAAATGATAGTTTACATAATCGAATGAGGACCAGAAAAACAAAAACTAAATTGAAAAAAAAATTGAGGCGATGGAGATTGCTAACAAGTGTCTTCTTGCCCTCCATGCCCCTAACAATTATTTCAGGGACAGCTCTCAGAGTATGGTCTTGCTCCATTTGGTCCAGATTCCCTGACAGAGTATTTTAATTTTTGAGTCTAAAATGTAATGAGATTCCATTCAAAATGATGAGACATTACACATATGTATAACAGATATCAATCTGGTAGTGATGACAGGGAAAACCCACATCCCCAAATATTCAAGGGGTTATGATCACTAAACATTATTACCTTTTTGTGATCTCAACCCCTGGAATTTCAACAAGAGGCCCATGGCTATAACAGTCACATGAGTTCAGCTCATGATTATTGAGCAGAATTTGTTTAAATGATTTTCATGTATTTGATACCTATGACCTTGAATGAAGGTCATTAATTTGAACAAACTAGGCAGCTCTTCATTCCAGCATAACACAAAGCTAATATTAAGTCCCTGGACCTCTTGTTATTGAGAAAATGTTGCTTGAAGATTTTATTTAGCATCTTTGACCCCTGTGACCTTGAATGAAGGTCAAGGACATTTATTTGAACAACCCTGGTAGCCAAGCATGCTACTGGCCCAATAACATGACCCTGGATCATTTGGTTATTGAGTAGAAGTTGTTAAAAGATTTTAACACATTTGAACCCTGTGACCTTGAAAATAGGTCTAGGTCATTCGACTGAACATACTAGGTAGCCCTTCATTCCATTCGAGCATGCTACTGGCACAATACCATGACCCTGGGCCTTTCGGTTATTGAGAAGTCAAAAATGCAAATTGCTTACAACGCACAACAGACAACACTGGACAAAAGGTGATCGCAATAGATCATGAGACTTCGTCTCAGGTGACCTAAAAATTGGTAAAACATATCCCATCAAAATACTGAAAGTGATACTTGATTTGGACTGAATGCAAAGTATGAAGACTTGTATATAATGTAATTTCATTAAGTGCATTTAATGATATATGTATTTGAAAAACAGCACTGTACAATTACTGGTAATAAAAAATTATTAAAAAAGTCCTGAGAAGCTTATTGATTTGTTTACATGTGAATTCCTTGAAAAACAAATGAATGAAATCAAAGAAAACAAGACTATCAGTAAAACTGATGAATGCTTGGAACACAAGTTCACTGGACATAAAATTTTAACAAACAGCAATAAATCTATAATTAAAGGGTTGCAGCACTGAATTCGGTACACTATACATCCTCTTAATATGACCAATGTATACACCAAGTTTTATAATCCTAGCTGCAATGAAAGCAAAGTTATGCTCTGGACACAAAAGGTTTTACAAAGGGCAATAACTTTGTAATCTAAGGGTTGCAAGCTTTGACTGTGTTGGACATTGCACTTTGCTTTTTGTATGACCAATGTGTACATCACTTTTGATTATCCTAGTTGAAATGCTGGCAAAGTTATGTCCCAGACAAAAAACTTTAACTGCGGGTAATCACTCTGTAATTAAGGAGTTGTTGCGCCTGAATTTGGTACACTACACATTGCTTTAGTATGACAAATGTATAATGATCCTTACTAAACTGTGGGTAAAGTTATGCTCTAGTTACGAAAGGATGAACGTAAAGACAGATGGATGGACAAAGTATTGACTATATGTTTCCCCGAAAAATTGCAGGAGTTAATAAAACCCTCAGGAAATTACTGAATTAGAGTATCCAGAAAGCCATTTAATCTTATGTTAGAAAAGGAATGCAAAAAGATAAAGAGGAGTGTATTATGTAAAGACACATCATAGAAATCTACCAACACACTCACATCAGCCTTTTGATTCTTGAGATCTGCTAACAGTTCCTCAGGTGGTTTCAGCTCCTTGAAGTATCGTGTTATAAATACAGATTTCCCATTTACATTGATCACAGTTGTTTTGAATTCCCTCTTTGGAAATTTTTCTTCCAGTTCTGTCTGCCACTTTTCTGCATATTGTAGCAAGTCTTCCGATTCATTTGTTGAAAACTGACAACAAAGTAAAATTCATATGATTAAATCAATTATTATTCTTCTGATTCCCTGCTGAAAGTAAAATCAAATCCAAAAGATTGAAATTTTCACATCAAATTGTGAGTGTATCCAGAGTAGGCTGATAGTAAAATCTTATCTAACCGCATTAGGATTCATACAACACATGGCTTTGGAAAGTGAATTGTAAAGTATTCAAATAAATGAGGTGAGCCAGTATTGTAAGGTATTGAGGCTGTTCCTGCAGTGGATGTTAAACTTTCAGGGAGATATTTTCAGTCTGATTTCCCTCCGGAATGTTGAATTATCGCGATCAGTCTGCCTGGTCTTATAAGACCCATTGCAGGTTAACATCGAAGAATATAATACACATATGATTAGTTTAAACTTATTTCAAATTTGCAAAGAAACAGAGTTTGACGACAAAGATATCATAAATCTCTATTGGACTGATGTTCTGGACTATATACAAAGGATCCCACTTAATACATTATCAGTCATTATGATATCCCACTGATTATAATATTTTTCTTGTACCAACTTTTCCCCATATAAATCAAGGAAAACAGTGTTTATTATGATACAGTCCAACACGAGAAATTAGTTATTATGATTTTTTTTGGAAGGCAATCAAAATTTCATCAGCCAAATCTCAGGTAAATTTTATGTACGTGTCCCCATTATGACACTAATTACTGCCCAAGGTCACCCCGCACACCTGTGTTTGTACAGTTGAACACCTCCAGACATAATCCTTCAGACTTCAAAACAGAATTTATAATTTTGTTCAGTTTCAGATTGATTTGTTTGAAAAACTCATATTTGACTGTTCGGACCACATCACTTGTAGGCTGGATGACCTACTTTAGTTACGACTGTTCTCCACTAGATTGTTTTTCGTTTTATTTTCGAAGCGAAATCAAGCAAAGAGTAGAGAGTAGGAAAACTATGGCAGGCAACCTAGTCTACTGTTGATGTTGTCAGAAATAGGTCAAGAGTGATGTCATAATGTGATGAAAACACATTTTGTCTATTTCATTCAGTTTTTATCAAAAAGCAATTCAAATGTTTGATCAAATGATATATCATTCACATGAATTTTATAGTATTTTCTACGTCACACCATGAATTGTAATCGTATGTTCCAATCGTTTTAACAAAACTGAGTCAATAAGTATATAGGTTATCCAATGAAAACACGAGGTTATAGGTCATCAGCCAACCTGTTTGAGGATACACAAAATGGACCCAACTGATGCATTTATCCATTCTTTCACCAAAACAACATGCGAAACACAATGGTGCTTCATTCATTCTTGAACATCTACCACTACCTTTGAGAAATAAACGGAATTGAATGCGGAAAGACAGCGAGATGGATGTATTTAAACTTGATTAAACGTTTCATATGACATTCTGACTGACATTTACACAGAACAATTTCTATGTAACTTCCTTTTTTATAAAAGAATGCATTTGTTAGTAGTTCACCTATTCAACAATCACCACTGTGTTTTTCGCCTGATTATTGAAGGATATTCCACTACCGGTTTTGACAGAACAATCATCTCAAAATTTCTTTATCAGATATTATAATATCCAGGATATCATATTTTTTTTCTGGAAAATAGTATATCATAATAAGCACAGTATAATTAATTTAAACACAGGTATTAGGAAGAAATATATCATGTTGGTCTTACTCGTTCTTTCATTGGCTCAGCAGGTGACAAGGGTGGTTCAATAGTGATGAAGAGGCTCAGGTAGGTATTCTCCTCTTTGCTCCCAATATTGATGTCGGTATCTGCGCCCATATTTTGGTCATGGGAGTATCCTAACAACACTGGCGGTGATTTCAAACAGAATGTACCCTCAATCTAAAATATGTTGACAAGACAGGTGTTCACGATAGGATAGGGGTAATAGTAAGTCTGTACAAATACATTATGATTTTAGTATTACATTGTATCGCATCATATCCTATCATATTGTATTACATGGAAAGAGGATAGGGTGTACAAAATTATCACAATCTATATAACATATGAAAATATGAAAAAAGAATAAAGAATGAAATCTTGAAATTAAATATTAGGGCCATGTTACTTTATCACTCACTGAAATTAGAATAGAAATTTCAGTAGACTTAAAAATATATAAGCTTGAATTAAATATATCTTCCTTCTTTAGGCCAGTAATATTGAGAAAGATCAAAACCTTGCGGTAGTGTGATAAGAAGGGTAAATTACCTTGCCGTTAAAGTAGATGGTTGAGAACGGTATTGTGAGGTCCCCAAGCCATCGTTTCTCTATCCTCTGGTGAAGCGTAGTGCCCCTGTTTCTGTCATCCTACAAACACAGGTAATTAGGTATATATCAACAGGGCATTTAATTACAAATCACCTACAGCTGTTCAATAATTCTAAATCAATTTTACATTTTATTTACTCTGTCTATTTATATTGATATCATCTTATCTGATGTTGTCAACTTTTTCTTTCCATTTCAATATAAACTTTGTATACAATGTATTGAAATGTAGGGTACTTTACTCAATATCACTTATAACACTAATGACAATTAATAATTTAATAAAATTGCATGCAAATCTATTTCATCAGAAAACAGATTTATTAGAAATGTAGCAAGTGATCCTTTTAACAACACAGTTTTACCTCTTGTATGTCTACAACCACTTCATCAAACAAATTGAGGTAGAGTTCGTCAGTGATGGTTTGTAAATTGTTCGAACTGTAGTCATCATTTGGAGCCCTGTAACAAAATATTACCATGAAATATAGGATTTTTCCTGTAGAATTAAACAAGACAATTTCACAAATTACAGTCCCCCACTCAATGCAAAGCACATTATAAGACAAGAATGCACTGCAAGTAAACCCACTACCCCAGTAAGGTGTTTCAGTGACTACTAGTAGTGTAGGAAATAGAGACTCGATAAACCTTTTGATTTAGGTCAAAGGTCAAAATGAAGGTCAAAGTGACATAGCCCAGAAGAAGAAGTGAAAGAATGGAAGGAAGGACAGACAGACATATTGCAGAACTATAGTCTTCACCGGTTCCAAGATGGGGGACTAATAAATATAAACCTATCTTTAATTTATCACATCATTTCACTGTTATATAAATATCCATATATGACAGAACATTTATTTTTATTGCAATAACCTATAAGATTTTCTCAACACAACCATTTTGAAATGTTTTGTTTGTACAGGACTTGACATCCATGCAACAGCTATGTTCATATGAGCACTGGCACCAAGAGAAACACCAAGATTTGAAAATAGAACACAAAATTAAAGAGCAGATCGGAGTGAAAGGAAAACATCATGAAAATCAAAGGTAATGCAATGAAGGCAGCCATTCATTGTTGTCTCTTCATTGCTCTCTTGGCATAATACATGAAAGAAAACCCCTTATTCTGCATGAGACAACTTTTAGTTGCCTCTTACAATCATGCAGTGGGATGAGGCAAACAATTCTTAGGCTCTCATACCCCTCTTACAGAAGATCTTAGAGGAACAATCCTGAACCTGAAGAGAGTGCCCTAAAATAAGATGCCTCATACTACAACCAGTGAGAGACAACAAGGATATGCATTCCCTGTCTCCTACATGGGTCTGAAAAAATTATCAAATATTTCTATTTGAATGGAATTTTCATCTATATCTTTTTCAAATTCAATTTTTGTGGACATACTTAAATGGGATCTGAAGTTCCTCATTAAAGCTTGGGTTCGGGCCATCTCCCACCACCGTTCGCATGGATGAGTGTTGGAATACCACCTCCACAAAGGGACGGACCAAAGTCTGCAAGAAAGATCAATCTTCTGTGTTTAATGATTGGCAGTTGTATACCGCATAACAGGTAATATTTGAGGGGATTTAATTTCACTATGACAAAAGCAAAAAATTAAACATCAAATAATGCATGGATATCAATGTCAACACTTGTGAAGTAGCACAAAATGAAATACCTGTGAACTGCCTACACCTGGGACAAACGTGAAATATTAGCAACATCGAATTAAAAACTATACAGTACTTCTTAACAAATGTTTTGATTCCCATGTTAAAACTTCTATTTCCATTATATATCATATTTATTTATATATACTGAACTTTGTGCCTAAAATATCTACTATTAAATTTATTGAAATGAAAAGAGAACACATCATACTTACATCACCAACAATATTTTTGACTGCCATGTTTTCTGTATCAGTCCCTCTAGCCGTAGCAGAGCCACTAGGTTTACTGAAATGTATAGAAATATCATTTGATATTGAAATCATAAGACTTCTTTGCCTTATTAACCACTTCAGTGTTTCTTTCAAAATCAATTAATCTTGAATTTTGGTATGGTCTAAATTCTGTTTGTTTTGTGAAATTTCAGAATTTGCATGAAATGATTTTTTTTCATAGATTTTCTTTTTAGATTTCTTCAAGCTTGCTATACATATATTACTTTGAACCAAAGGAAAAAATAATTACAGAGCCTACAGTCAATAACTAAATGGTAGCTGCAACATTACAGCATCATCATACCTTATGATACTGCTGATAAATCTCCTAGCTTTATTTTCACATATATACCACATAACATGATTTTTGTTTGTTTCCATAACCCAATAGCTGCTTTTGTAGGCAAAGGACACAGAATAAGTGGATATGATGGAGTGTGGATATTCTGATTCAATTTCTACTATAAAAGGAATTTTCTCTTTTTGGGGATGAAACATCAATTTGAAATCTTTGGAAACATGAAATTATCTTTCACAGAAAGTGAACTGGATGTTTGAAGTTAACTTAACTAGCTATTTGGAATATTTACAGATTTGTTTTTGTCATGTAATATTCTCAAAAGTGGATCTAACAAACTGATTTCACCTCATGCATCGATGATTAAAACAACATCATGTTGTGATGTGCTGTTTTTCAAACGTGATTTGTACAAGAAAATCACTTGTGACCACTTGTATCCAATCAGTGAAGAACAAATGAAGAGGCAAAATGTTTTAATATGTGATTTTTTTTTCACAAGACAGCCATCTGTGAATGTGAATGAAAAGCTTGTGTTGACTTCACCTCGTAAGTCATGTGTATCAGTAAACATACATGAAAATCTATCTTTTTTTCCCCACATTAGAATTCTAAGTTCATCATTTTATAAAATTTACGTATTAAATTCAGGAATCAAATTGTGTCCTCAACAATGACAATTTTTAAAATAAATTGCAATCTGTTACAATATTACTTCTTTCAGATAAAATCTTTGAAAATCAAGAAAATTTAGTAATAAGAGATCAACTATACATTCTTGATATTTTTTTAATGCAAGTGTTGGGACACAGCATTTCCTCCGGTAGATAACTTCTTCATTCTTTATTGGATGGTGATGTAATATATTATTTAATACATATTTCTCTACCATTAATTATATGATAACATAATACCCATGCAATGGTTAATTCTTGAATGCCAATCACCTTTAGTGAGAACAGGGATGCATGTCATATATTTTAAAAAGAGGAAGGTATTTAATACATTAAGAGAGATAACATGGAAAGATTGAAGAAAATCAAATTGGTCCTCGAAACAACTCTGAGATATTTAAAATTTCAGATGGAAGTTTCACTAACACGGGTTTCTATTACTACTTTACAACACGGACAATTACCAGGGTGTCCAAGAAAGAAAGATACAGCTATTCACCAGTTTAGGGAATGAAATAAATGTACAGTGTATTTTCTTTCTTTATTCCTTTTTTCTTAAATAGAAACTGTTCTGTTTGTTGGTCAGAAGTATTACCTTAGCGTCAGTGCATGAAATTAAAGTGTGTGACAGATTTGTTTATACAATACATGTACTAGCATTTCCATACTGGTCAAGACCAATGACCAGGTCAAAGCAAGTTGATATCCACTTTGAGGTATTATTAATGAAATCATAAACCACAAAATTATAACTCTCTGTTGAAAAGATCACTTTAAGCTATTTAAAAAAAAAGAAAGAAAGAAAAAGAAAAAAAAAGGAAAGAGGAAGGTATTTAATACATTTTTTCTAGACTTAAGTATCGTGTATGAAAATTTTCAATTTTGTGCACCGGCTGTTAAAACATATATAAAATGCTATATAAGTGGTTCACTGCTTTGACATGGATGCTCCTTGACTTGTATGACTGCCAACTACAAAGTGTGTTAGTAAGAGGTCTGAGAGCTTGACCCTTGGTCAGCGGTTATGGGAGACAGAACTCCTTGACCACCTGTTTACATACAAGTACCTTTCATCTGCAAGTCTGTTTGTTGAGAATATTAATAAAAGCATATAAAAATCAAACTTATCTTAAAATGACATTACAATGTTTTTCCCCTTAGCTACTACAATAATATGAATATCACCTATTAATGATTATCAGAATTAAAAATCTTTCTGATAATTCAAAAGTGGTAATCTTGGAAAGCGTTCAAAATTTGATCATTGTATTCTTGGATGTCTTGGATATGTAGAACTCCAATCTATGTCTATAAAATAGGTATACTAACAGTGTACTAAAAACAAATTTTGATTGTGTCTCAATGAGTTTACATGTCTTTTTCAGAATCAAATTGAAAATACCACTTCTCTAAAGCTAACTTCTAAAACCATACATGATGAAAAGATATTTCACTGCACACATGCAGAATTTATCCAAGAGTGACAGTAAATGTGAATGTTTTTGCAGTGATCCATTTAAGATCCACTCTGGTTATTTGATTTCACTTTAGACCTAAATATATGTTACCATACACTAAAAAAATTACGGTTTTAATATTATTCTGAAAATTTCGTTTTTGAGAAGATCCTATCCAAGAGTCTCCAGAATGATAAACTGTAAATTACATAAACTTTGTGAATCAGTTATTTTTGAGTGAATAAATAAAACGAATCAAATTGAAAAATTAACATTTATTCTACTTTTTTCATACAGAAACTTTTTTTGATACACTATATAGCTGTTGTTGTTCAAATCTCAATGTGAAAAATTCATTCCTAGAATTTCAAAAAAATTATTTTTTTCACAAAAATACAAAAAATTGCTTTACTTTGATGTTGTGAGCTCCTGGAAGGAAATTTCACATCAACCACATGTCACAAATTTTCACATCAACAATGAAAGCATATATGACAAAAAAAAACAATCAAAGTTTTTCTGCGGATATATGAATTAGACATTTACATTAGTAATGAATTGTAAACATCCCTTGTGATACTTACATGGAAGAGCCTGTCCTAATTGGGACATAAAGGGCACGCGTGATATTGACAAGGATCTTCACCTCATCACCTTTAAGCACCTGGGCGGTAACCTTCTTCCTTTCCTTTCTCTCTGGTCTCAGCGGTCGTCGCCGTTCAGTAACTCTCAGCAGGCTGGTGCCAATCATGCTATAGTTTAATAAAAAATTACAGTGAACTATTTAATAATTAAAGATTAATATCATAGTTTATGGATATATATTTCTAAAACCAAGCATCCTATAAATTTTTGGCCTTAATATGAGGCACAATTAATGAGGACAAAGTCACACACAGAGAAAATTGAAGCTATAGTAGCATCACATTCTCATTTATCCAACAGTGACACAAATGGTGGTCTCACAAGGTAGTCTGATTAGAAGACATTTGAGCTTTTTATTAAAATAAATAAAGGAGATCTAGTAAGGCTTAATTTATTATAGTGATAAATAGATGTGCCTTATAAATAGGTATATCTCTACCGAGCAGGGAGTGACATTGTCAGGCAAGTTTAATTATTGGTATAGTAACAGAAGAAGTGGTCTTACAAAACAGGTAGTCTTACGAGACAGGTTCTACATTGGGAACAATATCATCTTTAAGTTAGTGGTGATATACTGACGCTATGTTAGGTACTGCCTCCTCCAATACAACGTCCTCAAGTCTCTTCATGTGGGCCAATATTCGGAATCTCTGGATCACTTGTTCCCTCACCTGTATACATCCAAAGTCATATTTCAGTCATTGTTCTCTTGTTGTCTGTTGTCCCAAGATCAAAAGATCAAAGACAAAAACGCCAAACACAGCTCATGGCATTCATAGCTGAGATAAATGCCAATTGATTTCCGTATCTCAAAATAGTTGTCCTATATACACATACTTACCCTCTGCATGAACTTTGCCCTGTCTGCTCGATGAGATTCTATATCATCCTTCCTGATCAGTTTCGTTTCTTCTCTCTTCTTTTTTTCATATTCCTTCAATGAAATAAAAATTTCTTGTTAAAACTTCAAACCACTGCTAATCCTCAAAATCATGGCTCTCTCTGCTCAACCCCCATCCCTACTACAGATTCTTTAAAAGCAGACGTACTGAGCTGAATTTCACAATGAGCCCAGGTTCAGTTGATGCACCTTATCAGCTAGCACCTCTAAATTTTCTCTGAAGAAGTAACTTAATAAAGCATTGGTATGTATTTACCTTTGCATATGAATGCATATATTAAATAACAAACACACATGTGAAATATTGTCCCATACATCTGGCTACAGTGTATTGCAAATTTTGAGTATACCTGTTGGCATTTTGCCAACTATTATATGCATGGCTATAAACAGGAGATTTGGCAAACTTACTATCAAACTGGCAAACATCCAAAAATGTGAGACTGATGTATAAAAAGATTCATATAAACTTCCAAAAATGTTTCTCCTGTTAGATCCATATTCAAGAAAGATATTTACAGAACGTTTGAAAGACCATGTTCTTTACAAATATTTAAAAATATCATATTAAGAAACATTTTCCTGCGGATTTTGCTTACAATATTTCCTCCTTACCAGTTAATTGAAATTTTGACAATATGAAAATAAATAAACAAATTTTTTGTATTCAAATCTTAATGATTTTTCAAAATTCAAATCTTGACCCCAACCCTTGTAACATCAAATGAATGCGACCTGAATTTTTTTCCCTCATTAGACATATTAGTTGAGAGCACTGTATTTCCATCTGCATACAGTGATAATCTCAAATGAATTTGCTCATTGTATCAACTGAACTGTGAAGTGAGAGTACATTTCATACATCAAGCACAAAGTGAACAGCATTTCTGTTGTAAAACATAACTTTTTGTGAAAAACTACATCATTTGGAGATTTTCCCTGCCATGAATACTTAAATTTTTTTTACTTTTTTTTACATAATTTGATAGAAAAAAATGAATTAAAACACATTGAATGTAGGGCCACTAAAATAAATAAATGTAGTGTCCTGAATATGTGAAGATTTGGTCATAAAAAGGAACATTCAAGCATTTTCTAGATTTTCTTATTTTTCTGTGATTTCAGATAAAAAACAAAAAAAGAAATAAAATCTAACGAGAAGTTTACTTTTTGATAAAGATTTGACTTGAAAATCAAAACGAAGATTGCACTTTTACAGCAAAGTCTTTGTGAACATGAAGGAGAAAGGGAAACTCTATACCTCTGGATCATACATCTCTTTCAACAGCTTGAAGATAAAAAAACAAACAATCTAATACATAACACAAGGGTTTCTTTTTGTGAAATTCATCTGTTCATGTCATTTAAGGTTCAAGCTAAAAAATCATTAAAAATCTTTTATAATTTATGACGCATCAGCAGTTAGCAAAATATTCTATTCCAACCTTGTGAAAACATGTATTTGTTAAACTTTGATAAAATGTCACAAAATGAAATTGCTATTCACAGTCAGTCATCTACAAAATTCTAAAATTTTACAAAAACATCATCCATCATTGTAAAAATGGTAATTTTTCTCGGGTCAAATTTTGTTGTTGTTTTCTTTTAAAACCATCGAATTGTATGTTAACGAGTTAGAATTTCAAATTAAAAGATTCAGATTAAAAGGACATCTAACACACAGGTGTCTTATCATTGATGGATTCAATTCTTAAGATCACATTAATGAAGCACCATATTTCAAAAATTGCAAAGCATATGTGGTCTATATTTCAGCCTGCTACAAACTTTTTTAATACATCCTGTATGTGTGGTACAGGTCTTATTTTTTTCTTTTCGCATCACAGTTGATTGCAAGAAGAAATAACCAGAGGGATTTTGGATTAAGATTGAAAAGAATGTAACATACAGTGAAGGTATCGCGTGGGATCTCCTGGATTTTGAGCGGAACCATCCTGTAGTTACGAAATTCCTGCACCTCGTTATCACGGAGTTGCAGCAGCTGAAAGCGTTTATTGTCTTCAATCTCTTGTTCTGTGGCCATGTTAAATTCTTCCTGTAGTTGTTCCAGTCTGAAGTAGTCAGGAGGCTTTATATGGCTCAAGTCACCTCCCTTTGGCTGTCAACAAGCATATATTGTAAATTTAATTTCTGTGTCATTACATGTCGAGCACTATTCTAGTAACCAACATAACTTGCTAGTAATATGGATTTAGTTTCTGTTTCATTGCCTGATGATTGCAGTCTGTACTAGTTCATTGAAGATGTCAGCAGTGAAACATGTAGGAACCTATTTTTCTACTTCACAATCTTAAATCACCATTTCACCAAGGAGATATTCAGTTACATATCTCTGCAATTAAGGTCAAGAGTATAACATACTGGATACAAATATCCCCATGAACAACTGTGTCAAGGCTCCAGCGTGTCATACAAATGCATCAAAACTTTCTTCTCAGAGAGTAGTACATCAAACATTTATTAGCTTAAGGATACAAACCCAGCAAAGTGCTCAGAACTTTGTTTAAAACAGCCAGTGCTCTTTTCATATTTTCTTTATATTGATCATTGCTGTATAGGCAAATGAAAACTGAACATCACTATCTAAATAACATCAAATCGCAGCTGGACAAGTGTCAGTGTACCTTTAGCATGTAGACTAGGTTGGCATTTGAAGGGTCGTTAGGGTCCAGTCTGGATTCCTCAAACCATTTGGACAGTTTCTCCAAGTCAACTTTTCCAGATGGACTGACTGCCTGCATAGGGTCCATCTTCTTTATAGCACTGTAAAGTTGAGTGTGTATAATATCTCATTATTTTGAATACCTAAACACATGGCAGTAAACTGACCAGTGGTACGAGGGACTGACCACACCAGAACATATGGTCTTTGTCAGCATCAATGACCAGTGGTACAAGGGACTGACCACACCAGAACATATGGTCTTTGTCAGCATCAATGACCAGTGGTACAAGGGACTGACCACACATGAACATATGGTCTTTGTCAGCATCAATGACCAGTGGTACAAGGCCTGGCAATACCTGAACACATCAGCTTTCTGACCTGTGGTATGACGGACTGACCACACCTTTGTCAGCATCAATGTCAGGTCGTATGAACGGTTACACTTACTGCTATTACAAACCAGTTGTATGAGGGGCTGGTCATACCTGAACACATTGTCTTTGCTGGCATTGCTGACTGGTGGTACAAGAGGCTGGTTGTTTTCATCCACTGCCCAGGCCACACTGCTGCTCAATTCCCCCGTTGTCATCAAAGTGATCATGTCATTGTCCACTTTGGTTCCATAGCTAAATGGTATACCTGTGATTAATCCAAACTTTAAATTTATAAAATATTGGATACAAGTTGATGTAGTGAAAACACTTAATCTGAAAATCTTCAACTCATTTAATATGACACATTCAGGAAAAAGAAATTCTGTTTTACACACATTTATTGTCTGCAGTGAAAGTGATCAGTCAGTTAAGTTTTACTAGAGTAGCTTACACCAATGTTAAATGCTTTGAGTTTCATCAAAGAAATGAAGAGATTGGGCATAGTGTACACATGGTTTACAGATGAATAAAATATAACAGATATATTACAACTGTCCAGTTGATGTTATATAAACATTTATACGGATGTCTAATGAGCATGATAGCTCATTGGCTACAGAAACCAAAAGCATTTGTCCAACCATTTAAATATTTGATAACAGATGACCAATCTACATGCTGCTGACCACTGTATATAGTACATTTCTCAAAATAAACCCATGGCTGTTAATAACCCCACTAATGTTCATAACTGTCCAGTAAAAAAACATAAACTATTTCATTGTCCCACAATAAGTCCTATCTTACTTTGATACAAATTTTATGTGTCAGCTCTCTGGGCTTACTACATGATAAATTTGTGTTTGACATAATACTAACCACTGCCGACTCCCTCGTGGTTATGACTGACTCGGTGATTACAACTGAAGTCTAGCTGTTCAAGCTGGACACCCTGTGATGTAATGGACACCTCCGGTATACTTGTATACAGTTCAGCCAATATCTCTGTGCTGTAACCCACTGTCTCAAAAATCTGGAACTTTATACTCTCTGGCCACTGGACAATTTTTATATTGAATATTTGACCAAACGTTACTTTAAATTCTTGTGATAATGGTCTGAAAAGGCAAAAAAAAAATAATTTAATTCAATCTTTTTTAAAAGAATTTCAATCCTAAAGTCATGCTGGTAAATTCATATCAATTTGTTATTGTTGGCCGAGACAAATGAGGCATGTTATCAAGTATTTGACATCTGAATGAGTCTGAATATCTTAATAATGGGTTCATTAAAATAACTTTGGATTGTACTAATGACAAAGGAATTCATTTTGTATTTGGGTAAGTTATATTTCTGCATGAACCTACACAGCAGATTCATGAAAATTAATTTACGGTTCACCATTATGATGTAATATCTCAGAAGTTTTGTTTACCTGTGTATATTGTAAAATCATTAATTTTTGTGAGGGATTCATTTTTGTTGATTTTGTGGGTACCCTTAATCCAGGAATTCATATATCCATGAACTATTATACTTAGTGTATTTTAAGTAGATTTATTGAGCTATATTTACCCCCCACCCATCCACACCTTTGATAACTTACTTTGGTAAAGTTCGCGAGACTTCTTTGTTATTAAATAGCACCTTGATAAATACTTTACATCCAGACAATGCTTCTCGTCGCTGTTGTTCACCACTGTAATATTCAAACACACATATTAAAACTATCATTTCTTGGGTTTTAATTTCAGAAACACTTGTTGTTAGAGACATTATGTAACCAAAGTAATGAATTGTAAAAAAAAAAAAAAAAATGGTTGTGACATGAAAAGATCAAGTATCTAAGTGACACTGATTTACAAACATACTACTAATGCTGACTCACCGAGGACACTGAGCTGTTGTTGTTATACTATTTGTATGAGTTAATTCTGGCTGCAGTTTTGGTTCACCTGTAAGAAATTTCAAAAACAAAATATTTTCTTATTTTCTTTCTTTCTTTTTGATACAAAAACTCTTTACATCAGTTGTCTAGAGATGATCGTCATTATATAAAACAAAGAATTGTCAAATGAAGCCATTGGTATAACATTTTTTGTCAGTTTTCAAAAGCAGCATTTAAATACTGTAGTTAGAAATTATTTAAAAACTTAAAATCAACCACAGAATATTTACTATCATTTATTGTAAATGTTTTTATTTAACAGGCATAATATTTGCTATTACAGCCTTTTTAATTTTTCTTTAAGGAGAAAAATTATGTATTTAATAAGATATTAACCAGTGCAATGTGCAATAAATGTTTCAAAGATATAGAAATACAAGTTCTATCTAAATGACCTGGTCGTCGGCGGATTTCCATGACTTTCGTCCGTATTTTTTCTCTTGTGGCAGTTTCGTCAAATTCATCGGGCATTTCCGGTTCTGGCAAATCCTCTTCATTCAATATATCAATGTCTTTTTGCTTCTCTTCCTGATTAACATAATATAAACAAATTAAGAAGCTTGTACAACTATCAAAAATCACTTTTCAAATAAAAATCTTACTGTACACTTTTCAATAGGTTTTCAAATTTTCAAAAAAAAAAAAAAAAAAAAGAAACAGAAAAATAAAATATCTTTGACTAATGAAAACTTGGATCCAATATATTTCCATATCATATCAGAATGTAATATCATCTTGATGTTTTTTTCTGCAGCTTTCCTGTATGTATATATAAGATGTTTAAATGATGTTTCTAGATTTTTAAGTCTCATCAACATGCTATTAGGCTACTGCCATTTACAAAATCAGTAAGTCGTGAAAACTCTTGTTTTCATATTCTTTCAATGCATCAACTAGTGTGTAATCAATGAATTGATGATCTTTGAGTAAAAATGAAAAAAAAACTAAATGTGAGATCAATTATACCTTTTTAAATACAATTCCAAATGATGATCCATGTATTAATGTCTGCTAAAAAACCTCTCAAGATTCATATTAAAGCCCCATTTTGTGTTTTGTATCCCTTTTTTAACCAAAGACTCTTCAATCACTTACTGGTGTCTGTTCCTCGCCACTGAGTTTAGATGCCCGAGAGGCTCTGGAAGATTTAGAAGCCTTACTTCCTCGCTTCTTCTGTCTCTTAGCTGCATCAGCCTGAAGTTTGAAATTTTGTATGTACTATAGATGTATTTAATTCGGCATAATTCAATTTTAGTGCATGATCAATTCTATGCAAATTAGCACAATCCTGAAAAACTGTATCAGTTATAATTGCTATAGACAAATAACTAACAGAAGTGACAACTAGCACAATCATATTTGTGTTTATAGTATGTTATACTTTTGATTACAAATACTTTTTTTGGGTCAATGAAAATGTTATCTAACCTTGTAAGTTATCTTACATATCATTGAAGTCAAATCTGCATTAAAGGCCACCTATATATGACAAATACCTGCTTATCTGTCACTGATTTGGAGTCCTGATTAATACAATTCATAAAACATATTCATAACAATTTTGAGTGTCTATATAAGACCACCTGCCAATAAAGGCCACCCTTTGGATGACCTTTAGACAGATTTTTTTCTGGAAAAGTTGTGTAATTTAAAATGCCTAATTCTTGTATCAAAGTTATTAAAATCCAAAAGTCACTTGTGATCACCTTATCACAGATCATTTAAATGATGTTATATACCTTTTCAGAAACATTCCTAAGAAAAGTAACGTTGCTGAAACACAGTAACAGTGTAAATTTTTATACCTTGGCCTTGATTTGCTTGTCTTTCTCTTTCTTCTGTTCCTGGTATTCCTTCATCTTCATCTGGTAGTCCTCAGCGTGAGCTTCTCGTACCTCCTCCACTTCCTCCTCTATCTCCTGCCGCCACACCATCATGTCACGGTTCTTATCCACCTCTTCCCTATTACAGATAATAATAAATATCAGGTGCTATCGGCAGACACCCTCACTATTATAGATCACTAGAAACCTTATCAAATCCTGTCATCATCTGACAGGATAATCTCGTTAATTATGAATGGGCGTGATGATACATTGCTGGGAGATGAACTAGGAATTGGTTAGTACAGGAAAAAGAGAACACGGATACATGTAGGTAATAAGCAATGTAAAAAATCAAATATCATACCCAGGTATAATCTGATCATAATAGACATCATTCCTAAGTCTACCTGATCATTTTAACATCATGAATCTAAAAAATATTGTCGAGTCTAGTCCATTACAAAAAGATTATTGATACAAACTGAATTTGGAGAAAACTGAATCCCATGAAATTTGGCCAATCAGTAGACATGAAAGACATCTTGCATGACAGTGTAAAATAGAGAAAAAATATGATTGCAAATTTAGTGAATTTCAATGAAACTTGTATGAAGGTGTGTTGGAATATCTCTCAGACTTGCCAAGACTTTTTTTGATGTTCTCATCTTTTTAAATTTGCTGCTGGTGTGACAAAGTAGATAATTATATGAACAAGTTTATACTTACTTTTTGAACTGGACTTTGACTGAGGTGTTGCTGTAATTTTGTTTCTCCCTTTGTGCTCTGATTTCCTTCCATGTGTGTATGATGCTTTTAAGTATCTGTCTATCTGTTTGTTCTTCTTTGTCTCTCAATTCACGGGCTTTCCTAAAGTAATCAACCAATGGAAAATTATTAACTTATAAAGTTTTAAACTTATTAATTTCCTGCAACTTTAAATAAATTTGAACATAATTTATTTAAAATCCTATTGTGCATCATAAGTTCTGCTTTGAGAATGTTTTTAAAAGCCATATGAAATAACAGAAATGAATATGCCAACATACATGTATAACCTCTGTTGGTATTTCTACTAAAAAATATAATATTATATACCAGAAATGGGCTTCTTTCCTGACAACTTCACCTTAATTTGACCATCATGTCCGCAACCGGAACTGAGAAATTTATGGCAATTTGTTATACTGACCTGGTCTCTAGTTTGTAATCTCGTAATCGTCTCTCGTAGTTTGATCGGTCAGCAAAATTATGTTCTGACTGTAAAAAAGTCAACAACATATGATAAGATTACCAAATAATATCAGGAAACTATTTTAATATCATACAAAATGAATGGGCAATTTAATCCCAATTTTGTTTTTCTCCATCATTCAAATTTTTGCATCTTAGTTTTCCACAAAGAAAGAAAATGCATATTCACAGAAAATTATGAAACAGAGTTCGTTTTTCTGTCCAACTTGTTTTTTGTAATTTTATTCCATCCATAAGAATAACAACTGTTATATTACAGCTATCGTATGATTTTGAAATTCTTATCACATTTTTTTGTGGTATTCATCTCTCTTATTTTCATTTTACTGTTCTCTGGAAGCATGGTCTTACTTTATGAGCCAGCATGTGATCTTTAAGATGAAGTGTTGAACTTTTAAGAGCTTTGAGCTTCTCTGTGAGATATTCAGTCATGTTTTTAATCTGCCTGCCTAGATATATATTGTAGAGTTCCTGAAGTCGGGTGGCAAGGACATGTTCACGGCTGTACAAGTGGTGATGAGACATCCAAATTGAATTGATATCAACGTCCAGCTGATAAAATCCACTATTGTCTACGGATCCGTCAATATACTTGCTGTCAAAGTCCCGTATGATGGCTCCTTTAAACACTGTCTCAAGGTAGGGTTCCTTCTCGTCAGGTACTGGGGGACGTGAGGGTGTCGGTCGCAGGGGGTCAGGCAGGGCCAACATACGCCCGTCCTCGCCAAACCAACGCCGACCCTGATAAAGAAAGGCATTATCTTCATACCAAACCAATGGAAACAGAAAGTGTGTAGATAATGATTTGACTGCTAAGCACATGATAAAAAGTACTTCCAGGTATATACATGCATGTCATGTGAATAAGTTTGTTTAATTATATCAAACATTAAATGCAGTGGTGCTGAAATGTACCATGATGAAAGTAACATTACTTTAACATTGAAAAGAACTTTATGTTCCTTTATGTTCAAGACTGAAAAAAGTCTTCGGGAAAGACATTTAGAAATGTGTAAACCCTCCTAAGAAATGACAATGTCACAAATATATCACTCCCTGGAGGGGACCCTTCAGGTCAGATGACCTAACAAAACGACATCCATATCAAAAAGATCACTACACTACCTAACTTACATCTGGCTCCTTAAGGAGTCTGTGTTCCATCTTATTGACATTCCAGCCAGAAGGATCTGGTCGAGTTCCAACGTAGAAACCTTCTTCCTCCAGGAAACGGGGCTGCTGTTCTTCTGAAACCTTCTGCTCTGAGGGAACTAAATCAAAGACCAAAGATTATTTTTAAATTTTACACAGAAAACTCAGCATACTATCTTGTAACAATCAATTGAATTAAACTTGAGATAATTCACTAATTGTAATCAGAGATGAAACCTAAAGGCTAAGAAAGTTTAAATCATATGGTGTTCATATGCATAAGAGAGGTCCTGTTTTCTGCAATGACATACGACTCTGTTTTGTCCAAAACATGGAAGAATTCATTTCAGAGCAACTGCTACTAGGAACTAGATTTCTACATAAAATATTGTTTTCCACAGACTAATGACAGATTTGTCTTATTCTTATGGATTCTATTTACAGTTACCTGTAGTTACTGATGGTACAAAGTAGATTTCCGCCTCTTTCTTCTGCATCTCTATTGGGTCAGGAAACTCTGGCCCTCTCACTATCACTGGGCGAAATCCGTCATCGTCATCCATCACATCGAGTAGAGGTTGTTTCTCTGTAAAACATAACAGCTAATAACATACAATAGAACTACGTTTAATGTTGTCAAAACCTTTCTTCCTCTTAATAAAACATATATGCTTCAGCTATCATAAACTTCAAAGTTAGTTAATTCTGCCAAATAATCCGATCCTAAAATTTTATATCTAATATCAAGGAAAATGTTTTTTAAGGAAGAATGCAGTTAATTTCAAGTATTCTTAAGGATGCTATCAATCAAGAAAGATCTAAGTGGAGGTAGAGACATGGATTCATATTTCACTGGTCATTTACCTATAACTATGAAAACCTGTACAAGTACTGAAAATTTTTGATGAAATATCAAACCTTCATCCGTTTCTTTGTCCTTTTTCTTTTTTTCTTTTTTCTTTTTCTTGGCAGCCTCATCCTAAAAACAATTTTCAGATAAAACATTCGTTTGGAAATAATCAATGTGGTACTGTAAGGACTATTTGTACTTGAATCAAGGATCTTCCTAAATCTTTAGCAAAACAGCAAGTTCTACTGAACACAGATAAAAAAACCAAGTTGAGTAAAAGCTATCTGTAGTCCCCTACTGTGGACAAACTTAAATGTAATCAACAAAGGGCCATAACTCTCTAATCATTAGGCTGTACCACATATGCCACTGTAACACATATATTACCCATAAGACATGTTCCCATACATTTCATAGCATTCTTGACTGATATAAGGTAAGATGTTAAACATGTTACAATACTATAATATTGACCAATTATGTTGGGAGGTTCTGAAGACATTGATTTGGAATGGGACAAGTCACATCAGGACAGAATGGATGAACATATGTTACAATATAACCCCCCCATCCCCTTGCCTCCTTTCCTCCCTCCCTGAAAACACATGGAGAAGAGGCCCAAAACTCTCTATATCACAGAGTTCAGGACCAAGCACTAGTACTATGTAATTACTGAAGTCTGGTAGTATAAGAGGAAGACAAACTTCACTAAAACGTCAAGAAAGCTGCGAAGAATATATTTTAAGAATTGAAATATGAAAAATGTTCACACCTCTTCTCCCTCTGCTTCTTCTCCTTCTTCCCCTTCTTTGGGTTCAGTACTTGGACCTGCTTCCTCCTCATCTTTGTCTTCTTTTTCGTCTTTCTCTGTATCTGCTTTCTCCTCTGCTTCTTCCTTCTGTTCTTCGTCTGGCTCAGGATCAAAATTACGTGTGAAAAAATCAAAAGCCTCTTCAGTTGTAGGAACAAAGATCCCCTATATAAGGCAACAAAAACAGATTAGTTCAGGGTTATAAATAACATCTAAAATTTACTATTTACATATCAACATACACATTATTACTAAGATGACTTAATAGATTTATCATAATAAGAACACAACACATTTTACACTTTCAGCTTGGTCAAAAATGAATTGTGCTTTAATATTCTGCCAGTACCCAGCATTATTTAATAATTTTTATTCTTATCACATTTTCAAAGACTCATTAAAAAGGTGTAAAATTTATTTCATTCATTCATCTTTTTCTACATTTAAAGGATTATGATTTTGACTGATCAATTTTACAAGTAGAATGTAATCAATTTTCAGCTGAATGAAACATTTTTTCTTATATATTTATAAAAAAAGAATTATAATTGTTAGCAAAATATCAATATTACATCACCAATGATTTTGGAGTATACAAAACACATCAGTTTCAAATCAAATGTTGACCTGAACAAAAATGAGCTTTTCAATTGCATTAACATTGAGAGTACATGTAAGTCCATTTTCCTAATGAAAACATATTGTAAAATTTTATATCAACTAAGCAAAAACATGCACATATTAGCACACATGTTACATCATCAAATTATTTCAAACAAACAAAAAATAATTCTTAATGAATCAAAATATTGACTAATCAAAATAGGCATCTATGCTTCAGAAATACCCCAAAAAGAAATGTTTTAAATTACTATATTTGTCAAGTAAATCACAACACTACAAGAATTCAGTTTTTTATGCAATTATCTTATACATTTAGGCATTTTACATTTCATCTGTCACAACACTAAATTCTATTAAATCCTTTAAATTCTCTAAATATGGCGTCAATATGATCCTTTTTCAGCCATTTCGAATAATCATGTTAAACTGAAACTATTACAATACAGGTAGTAAAATATAATGTTATTTTCATTGAATAAAAGATTAAAAAAAATGAAACCCTACTTTTTTTATTTTGTTGGAAGAAGTTTCACTTACTGCAATCATATTTCATATTAAACTCAGATATATCCAACCCTAAAGTTGATTAGTGTAATTCATTCACATTTAAATTTGTCATACTGAAAACAGGAATCGAATTGATATCATTGACCAATTAACCAATCAATCAACTAAATAAGTCAATTAACTATTTGTTTAATACATGTATCATGTTTTCAGTTCAATCAAGTTCCCTGGATAATCAAATATGAGTTGTTTTGAATCCAATTCTACCAAAATTGGTTGCCGATGCATCAGTAATATAAGTGAACCTCTATATAAAGATCACTTTTCTGTGCTCCCTTGAGTGACCTTTATAGACAGGTTTGACTGTATATCTAGATACTCGCAATGAGAAATAATTCTAATTCTTCAGAGAAATTTTTCCTTATTTTGCAGACCACATCTGATCAGACAAAGGTGAAATTTTCCATTCTGCTACCTTTTGTTACAGAATTTAAAAATAGATACAGGTTTAGATGACATTTTAACTGATTTGCAGTATGACAAATTTGTACACTAGTTCAGGTTGGTTGCATACTGATGAAGTTAATTGTCATCCTCTCATCTGCACAAGGAAACAGGTTATTAGAGTTAATGGTATCAGCCCATCATCTGTAACACACAGTCCTGATGCTCAGTCTCTGAGCCTCAGGACCATGGGTTACCCTCCCTGTTATCAGAGAACCTTTAACACTGATAATTTTCCGCTTTCCTTTATGTTTGTCTTTTTTAACATTCAAAGAATGATAATTTATTCCTCAAAGTTTTAGTTTTAACACAAGAGTTAATTTCACCCGGCCTTACCAAGTTTTTAAACATTTCCTGTAAAAAAACATGTTATATTCATTACGCAATAGTCAACATTAGATGTATTTATGATTATCTATGTCACAGTATACATTGTAAAAGTCATATCATCACAAGTTGTGTAAATAACAACAATAATGATGACACTAGAAAAAGTTGTAGACAAATTTGTGTTAAAACAGTGAAGTTGTCCTCATTTAAGAAATCTGTCAATACAAAAGGTGAAGGATCAGTGGTACAGAAATATGATAAAGGTTAAGAAAACAATTCCTCATTTTCTGTCTTAAAACACAAACACAAAGGCCTTCTTTGCTGCATAAATAGATACTCCATCCTATATCTTCCTTTAATACAGATCTGGATGAAATAATTTAGACTGCAATTATTTCTTTTATCTAAATTCTTGAATATGAAGTGAATATGTTCAGATCAAAATATTTTTCAGTCTGATTTTGGGAATGATAATGAAGAATTGCTGCTTTTTTAGAATAAATAATTTTCTTCTTTATTTTTGTTGTTGATGCTTTTGTTGGGTGGTATGGAGAGAACTTACACGTATTACAGATTTCCTGTATATCAATCATTCTATATATATAGATTTGATGATGGTTTGTTTAGGTCATTACTTAGAGGTACACAGAAGGGTTTCACAAAAAAGAAACACTGAAATTCAAAACTGATCTAAATGAAGAATTTGGCAACAAAAAGAGTAACATAAAAAAAATCATCAAGCAACAATTCACACGTTCAAATGAAACTGTGCAGAAAAACTGCAAAACACTTGATTTGTGTACATGTGTATTTTTTCTCTCAAAGTGAATGTTTTCTTTTGCGAGTAAGTATTAATTCAATTAATATGATATATATATACATATAGAAGACAGATGAAGTGGCATCAACCCTCAGAGAAAATATTCTTTTTCTCTAAAGAAAGGAAATGCATTAGCTGAGAGACAATTATCGGTATGCAGATCAGGTTACATATTTAGTATTCAAGGGCAGATAACTCAGTGAACGGGACGACAACCTAAAGAAGGCATATCATTCTTACATTACAAAAATAACTATGGTGACAGAAGATGAGTGTAAAATGAGAAACAACTTGTAAGTTTGGTATATGTATAGAAAGAACTCTTAAGAAGGGGGACCATTCAAACAAGGGAGACAACTGTGGATGATAAGGCAAAAGGAAATAAATGCTGAAAGTACATATCAATATGATACAATGAAAGAACAAATAAAGTTAATAAAACCCACAAGGAAATAATTTCTCATAATTGATTTCAGATTTTAAAGTGAAAAAAACTGAGGAGGTATAAGAAATGGGGTCAAAAGAACTGGAAATAAACTCTTATAAATGAAATCGAAGAGAGAGGAGAACTTGTATCAACAAAGTGTCAGAAAAAATTGAGTGAAGTTTATAGCAGAGTACTTTAAATTACAGTACATGATTGTGTAAAGCAATAGTATTATAATTCTAACTACAGTTTGTATGTATTTATCATTACTATTAATCAACTGGATTTTATACTCGAACTCTCATTCTTCAGTTTTTTCTTGGGTTCATCTTTAATGATTTCAGAAAAAGTTATCCTTTTTTTTTTAAACCAACCATTAAATACATATTTTTTCAAGAAATATTACATATCAAACTTTCATTTACACTCTATTCAAATTACACAAAAGCTCATAAGCAAGAAAATTTGTGTGATGTGCTTCGGTAAACAGCACCGAGTGTAAACATTCAACAAGAACAAAGGGAAACATCTACAAACATAAATGTGTGAATATCACACACAAACATTGATGTGTGAATATCACACAAAGTGATTACCTTGGATTCCAATACTTGTTTCATCTAAAAGAGGAGTTAATGAGTTAAATATGGGGAATGAATATACAGGGAATTAATCTATTGCACAGTGGACCCTTGACTGTCTGAACACCCTTCTCATTAAAATCGCCTGGATCATGAATTTTCTTATCTGCCAAGCAGCTTTGGCTACACATGGTGTCTAGCAGTAAGCTGTAAACCTCTAGCATGGGTGACTGAACACTACCGATTTCTTTCACATGAGAACAACAAAGGTCAGGACTATGCAGGAATATTACAATAAAAAGTCTATTCCTTTCTCAAAAAACTCTTTCTGAAATCTGAATTCAAATTTCTAGACTGGTGAGCAAATTTACTGTAATGGAAATCTGTTCTAAAAAAGATTGTGAATTTTCTAGACTAATTGTGTTCAGATTATCTTGGGTCCACTGTACTGTACTTAAAATTTATTCAGAAAACTTTTCTATGAAGTCATGCAAACTGAAAATACTTTGAAAAAAAAGGTACATTATAATCAGTAATAAAAAGTTAGAAACAGCATAAACTTATAATTATGTATGTAAATATAATATGATCAGACAAGAAGACTATAGAATGAAACTAAACTATGAACACAGAAGATGCATGATTATATAAAGAAAACATTTTGTAAAGGGCTTTGGTATCAAAATCTTGCTACTTTCACAAATCTTTATCTCAAAGTTCCTAAAATTCTAAATACAGTTTTTTAGAAATGTCTTCATTTTTATCCAGTTTGGCTTTCATTATTGGTTTTAAAAATGCCTCACTTGTTAAAAATCGTTCTAATGACAGTTCACACACACTTCCTTTAAAATTAAAAAACTCCACATATAACTAGATTAGGTATTATCCTGAAATTCTTATACTGCTGTTATATACAGTAACAGTACTAAAACAGATATCGACAACAAACTGCCATTTTATTTTAAAACCTGTCGACAAACCAACCAATCAACAGACCAACCAAGCAACAGACCAACCATCCTAAAACACTGTGATGAAAATGATGATCTAGATTAAATATTAAGGAAATAAAAAAAAAAGTAATAACTGATATTTCTTAAAACAGACACACATTGCAATTGTTGTTGAAGCCTTTGTTCAATATTGCACATCATCAACTGCACTCATAATACAATATACACTACATCAATAGCCAACGCAATGAAAATGTATTTGTAAATAAGAGTTACTTCCCTTTATATATGGCCAGAAAAATACCTGGCTATAACGAGAACCTGATATGCCAAGCTATTGGTCACTGTCCTGTGGATTTGGTTATAAGTGGAGTTTATATCTTCACAAATCATAAAAATAGCATTTATATTCATATAATGATTGTGTTTGTTATTACTTAATCATTAAACTGGGAACATGGAGAAATCTTACAGACTATTACCTTAGATCAAAAAAATAATTACTTGTAAATGTAGCTAAATTTTGGAAACCTTGGCCCTGAATTGAACTATCAGATAACTTTGTGCATACCCGTTCAGATGAAGGTTGTTGACTCATTTTCTTCAATCTCATCCTCACTTGTCTGGATCTTTCTTCAAGTCTCTCCATCTCAGCTTCATCATACTGACATATTTCAGTAGAAAAAAAGTAAAATTAGTTTTCTGCTATATCATATTATGACATTCACCCTAACAAAATTTTTCATAATATTGCACTCCCTAGTTATGCTTAGAAAAATACAGTTGAAACTCATTGTCACAAAATAGCTTCAGTCAAAACTCTGAGTTGAAAATATAATTTCCCCAATTATTTTCTTTATTCATCTTTGTAATTGGAGTTTGGATAAGTCACAAATTCATTAGAGTCGAAGTGATTTTTCAGTCTCTTCAATTATTAAAGCAAGAGAAAAGTCAGTTGTTGTCTTGAAATTAATTTTGTCAAAACATTGGCACATCTTCTTAAGAAATTGGTCAAAACATACACAGAATTGAATGTCACCTGTGCCTAACACATGGCTAATAATGGCATATCAGTCCATCTATTGACTCCTTAATTAGTGTCACCATTCTGTAGTAGTGACTTACCTATACCTTGAAAAAGAAGTGCATTTACACAAGACATTAAAACAGTTACCTCGATTTCATGCATCTTTAGGAATGGTAAAAGCAAAACTGTCAAACCAGTACAAAATTTTCTATGGAAATTTGATCCCGACAATTCTGACAGAAATTAAGTTTTGTGCTTGTTTACTACTGGACTTTGACTGGATACATTGCTAGATTCAGTGCTTGGACAATGCAGTTCTGAAAGTATTTTCATGAGTCTATCGTCTGTACATGATTTGCTAAGCCTAGTAAGTGCTTTCTACAGATATGTATATGAAATCTGAAATCATTTTTTTCAACAGAACTGATTTGTAGAGGAATGTATGGTGAGACAGGCATTTAAAAATGATGAATACTGAACTGCTTATCGAATATGAAAAAATTACAACATTTTACATTTTTACGTTTAATATTATGGACAGCAGAAAGTTAGGGTCAAAATGTGTCTCCTCGACTCAGATTATTATATGGCATTTATTCCTTAAAAGCTATTAAGTAGCAGTTGACACCAAATTAATAAATTTTATGATATTTTTTTCATTGATACTAATGCCATACAGGAGGCCCACAGGCTTTAACAACAGTCATCTGAATGTAAAGACTCATAAATGAAAGAGGCCAAATAGACCTAAAATAAATTGCTCAACTACTATACAGTTTACAAAGAAGATTCATACAAACATTTTCTGCAAACTTGAAATCAAACTCTTTAAACATGCTATTACATAAATGCCATTACTCCAAATGTATTGCTTGTTGAAAAAGAAATCTTCAAATCTAAGTCACTTAACCCAAGAAATCTTGAATATCATTGTCACTTATTTGAACAAATCAGAAGCCCATCATCCACTTAAAATAAAGAACCAATATCAACAGCATGGACCTTTTTGTTATTGAGAAGAAGTTGTTTTTAACATATCTGACCTCTGTGACCTTATAAGTATGTCAAGGTCAATAATATGAACAAAATTGGTAGCCTGTCATCCAGCATCATACAGGCCCAATATCAGCACACTGTGCCTTTTAGTTATTGAGAAGAAGTTGTTTAAACATTTTAACACATTTTAAACCTGTGACCTTCAAAGTGGATCAAGGTCATTCATTTTAACAAACTTTGTAGCCCTTCATCTCATAATGCTACTGGTCCAATACCATGACTATGGACCTTTTGGTAATGGAGGAGAAGTCTTTAAATATTTCAACACATTTGACCCCTGTGACCTTGAAAATTGGTTAGGATCTAAGATATGAATAAACTTGACAGCCCTTCATCCCAGCATTATATACGCCCAATATCAGCACCCTCAGCCTTTTGGTTATTGAGAAGAATTCTTTTGAATGGAAAGTTTATGCAGAGTGGACGATAACGGACAAAATGCATTTGTATAAATCTGTCTCAATCCAACAATAAGCCCACTCATACCTTTTGCAGTTCAGTTAGAATTACCAAAGACTTAGATAAATCAAGTACCAGAAATTCTGAAAAAAATATGTCATTGTACTGTAACAGCCTAGCCCTAGAGTTTTTTGCTTTGATTACTGGACTTATTGCAGGATAATGATCATAAATGTATCATTTCAAACAAAACTTTAAATTTCAAAACATCAACAAAGTATGTCTTAAAAAAGAATATAACAAATTAAAAAACAATATCAACTGTAAACAGCCTTGAACATTTTCTTACCATTTCACTTGTAAATATTTCTTTTACGCTTCATTAACTTTAACAACAAAACCAAATGAAAACAATGTTTTAAAGACAAAACAGACTGGTACTTTCTTACAATGCCAAATGCTCTCACTTTCACTGGGAAGAAATATGTTTTTCTGAAGTTGAACAATAATAAAGTTACATACAGAAAGAATAGTCCAACTGTCAAAACAATATCTTTTTTTGTTTCTTTGTCCTTTTTTGAGCTTTGTAAGTGTACCAATGGGTTTTGACTTATCCTAATTTTGCAACTCTTCTCATTACCTGACGAAACAGACTCATGGTTTTCCGAATATAAGAGATCTAATTCACAGATAATTAAACATTATTATTATGTCCATCAGTAACATTGATAAATCATATTATATGTAGGTGGAAATAAACAGCAACATATTTCTGAACTAACTTAAAAGATGAAAAAATGATGGAATAAAACTAAGTATAAGTAGATAGAGGGAGTTATTGGGGAGATGGACAATTAGGGTGTAACTGAATCTAAATATCACAGATAAAATTTTCCATGAAGTGAATCTGATCAGGGATTTCATTTGATCCTTGACTATAAAGAGTTAAACCACTTTTCACTCCAATAGTTTTGAGTCAAAACTCATCACTCACCTTGTAGACATGTCTTTTGAAATTCTGATGTTGTGGTAAGTACACAGACAGGGAAAATATTCAACCTAAGATTTGTTTGATATTATAGAGTGACATCATGTTATATACCTCAGTATCAAAGCGTGTGACCTGCTGGTCTCGCTTGAGTCGTTTCTCTCGACGTTCTTCTCGCTCCTGTTCCTGGACTTCAGATACAGCTGTTTCCTGTTTGAAAAGTTTCATAGAAAAAGCCTTTTGCTATAATTTTTGCTTTCCTTTTGCTTTTGTTACTTGGTTTTCTCATTAAGAATTAAGAGTAAACAATTTTGTGTGATGATCTTTTCCCAACAGTGAATTAATTTTAATTAAAAACTTTTTTTTTGAAGTATATTTTGTTATTTAGATGATAGTTGTGAAAAAAATTATTGTTTGGTTATAGGTAATTGATCTCATTCTAATGTTATCTTTCCTCATCCTTTCTCATTTACAGGCTCTTATAACTATCCATTCATCAAAATAATTTATAATTTTCATAGCTTCCTTGGTCATTCTACTTTCCGAATACTGCTAACCAATCACAGTGATTCTAATTTAGAAATAGAAATGTTGAAGGTGATTCAGGGATACATTTATCTGAGTACTGTACCTTGGCTTTCTGTAGCCTGTTTTTCAGCCGATCCTTGAGGGTCTTTCCTCTTGGGGTTTTAGTATCTTCCTCAGGTGGTTTAGATGGGGCTGGCTCCTCCTTTTTTTCCTCGTCCTCATCTTTCTCCTGAGTCAGAGGAGTAACTAAAAATAAGGAGTCATAACCGTTGATTTGTCTCCAGTTTGTACAATGTACATAAAATAATCTTTTTATGATAAACAACAAGTTTATCGCAAGTAGACAAGTTTTGATCATCCTGTCCTTTACTAAGTTCAGAAGACCAACAGACATGGTGTCCAATCGGGGTGAAAAGAGTAAACTTATCACTGGGTGTTTAATTTGACTTTAATGTAACAGTATGTCAATAGCCAAGATCACATATGGTCAAATTGCTTTGTTGAAAGCAATTAAACAGAGCAATGTTTTAGAATAAAAAGAGAAAGAAATCAGTAAGTTATATCAACAATACATATTGTAGAACAATGAAATACCACTGGTTGTAATTTTACTGGACTGCAATATATCAGTGGGCTTATTACCAGTCATGAGCTTATGGTCAGATAAATATGGTACAATTTCTACAGAAATTAATGATATTTCTAAAGATAGTTTTGGTCAGTCTAGGCTGTTATCCCCCAAAGGCTTAAGTCTTCAGAATGGGACAATCCACAGGTTCTGTTCACCATGCAACTATTGTGTACCTTTGGATTTTCTCTGGGCAGAATTGACTTATATGTTCATGCAACTATGAACATGGTATGAGAAAACTTTTCAGTTTTAGAAACTACAATTGGTTGAAAATAAACACAGTACACACACAGTCAACAAGGTAGTGGACTGGAAAAAAATCAATAAAGTGATCTAGACTCAACTTGTACACTACATTGTTAACTTCAGTGTCATCTCAGAGTAATATTTACAGTGTATACTGTATAAATTCTAGTACTTTCTAGTTTTCTTTACAAAATATTATTTTTTCTAAAACATTTTCTTAATATCTCTATCAATGACCTATACTTACTTTCAGACTCTTCTGTTTTTTTCTTCTTTTTCAGTTTTTTCACTTTGCTCTCTTCGTCTTCCTCCTCTCCCTCTGCTAGAGTGGGTATGCCCTCCCCTGTCTCCTCCCCCTCAGGCATAGGGAGGGTACCATCCTCGCCCACCTCAGTGGCAGTTTGTAAAGTTGTGGTTTCCTCCACCGCACTCTCCTCCTGTTCCTGCCTGATTGTTTCTTCCACCTTTTCCTTACTTTTCTTCTTGATGGTGCGAAGTTCTTTGGCCACGTCATCTTTTGGTGATATCACCTCTGATAACTGAAATGATATCAGGAAAGTTATTTTAAATATCTAATTCAATTAAAGCATATGTCACAGAGGTAACTAGACAAACAATGAAAATTATGCTTATACACCAATACATGTGCTATAATAGAATTGGATACAAGCTGGTATGAAATTTCAAGGTAATACCATACAACATAAAACACAATTTTTTCAGACGTTTTTTTCTTATTTCTGACAAACATTCACCTGACACTGGGATTCACACCCAATCCTACAGCAGACAGACCAAAGCCTGCACCTACCAAAATAACTTTAACCATTCCTGTGAGCACACCAGTTTTTAAATCCCTGCCTACCAAGGTGTTCAAAATCACACCTACCAGAAAAGGGGTGTTTAAACTGATGCCTATAGTACACTAGTGTTCAACATTCAAAAACTCTAGAACACTTACTATGGTCACATCATAAACTCTGGTGATCTAAGCTCTTTTCCTACATTTGAAATACTTTCTTATTTAAAATCAAAGGAACCTACCACATAACATTCTATAAAATGTTGCAAATCACATACCTCTCGTTGTTTTTGTGCATGTTTTGTTTTCAAATCTTGAGCAAGATTTTCAGCTTCTTCGATATCTTCTGCAGTCTACAATAAAAATGATGACATTAGTTTGTATGTCAAAAACAAAATTCAAGCAACTAGCATAAAGTCCAAACAATCAGTCTGTGTGTTTATAGCTTCACCATATTTTTATGGACCATATTTCCGACAAGACTTACTTTTTGTGGTAACGTTTTTGAATGAATTTTCATGAAATTTGAAAATTTGTTTTTGGTCATATACTTTATAGCGAAAAATATAAAACATAAAATAAGAAATAACCAGGCTCCAGGATCATTATAATTAGTCTTGGTTTTCAGCTTAGCCAATCATATAAGTTTTTTATAACATTATTTAAGATTAGCTAAGTCAAAACATTAAACATTTTTTTACATTTTACATATCTAAGGTTTTGACTTTGCTAATCAGACTGTTTCATGATCCTGGAGGCAGGTGTCAACAAAAAACAACATAAGGAATTCAAATAATGTGTATACAAACATTTTGAAAATTCTTTTGATCTGATTATATAAAAATTTCCTTAGATAATCATAAATATTATCACAAAAATTTATAGAAATGTGTCATCCAAAATTGCGAGTGCCATGTTGGTAGATTTTCAAAATTGTGTGTTAAAAATTATTGGTACCATAAGAAATATGAGAATAATTTCTGACTTACCTCCCCTCCAGAAGTCTCTCCTCCACTGTACACCAATCCAGTGTCAGACTCTTCTCCTGTCTGATGAAATACTTTATTAATCAGGGGAAAAAATTAATATTCTATTTATTTTGTAATAAGCACAGGTTGCCAACACTTAAGCTAGAGCTATGTTAAAGTACCCCCAGCAGTAAACTGCAGTAGATGTGGGTGGGATTAATACCAGACGTGGGCTATTACTGGATAGATATGGTAAGACATTATTTGGTTTACTATGCAGCTAAAGCATTAATTATATTACAGCATCTACCATGCAATAAACTCTGGTACTAAGCCCATCAATATCTATCGCAGTTTCAATACAAATGCCAACATATGTTATACTGTATCACTATCCTGTAATTGCCCAACCCTCCACTTTGGGTCAGAATTTATAAATTTGTCACTTGGGCTTATCGCAGGATATAAATGGATATTAAGTGTAAAGATCAGAATGATTTTTTTTATCTGCAAAGACAAGTATAAAACTATTGCAATAGTGACAGGTGTTTATTTACAGTTTTAGTTTTCTAGTTGACTGATACATCAACAGTCTTAAAACTTTATAGTTTTTTATATCTACCCTTAATAGCCTTCCGAAAGCAGAGAATTATAAACAACGTTTCACGTATATAATCCAGGGCCTCATTATTTCAGAGTGATTTTGCTTCCTTACTACTGATTAAATTTAATCTATTTGAAAGTAGGCTTGTCAATTATTTATCATTTATAATAATGATAATGATAATAATAATAGACTACAGACAATTTTATTCTACTCAAAGGACAGTTAGTCTATAGAACAGTCTTCCATCTTGCAATACACTACTACTTGTATATAAATACATAAAATTTCATGAAAGAAAGTTAAAGAAAGAAACAATGACATAAATATACTATGTCTACATTATCTATGTCATCAATAATTAATTTGATTATATCAAATACAGTAAACTATATTTTCATTGAATTTCTACTTCCATCAATTGACTGGTCTTTTCACAGGAAAAATGAACCAAATTTTCATAATTACTATGCAATTATAGAGGTGCTGCATACAGCTTACTTTCATGATTCAGTGACTTACCAAAATAGGATTTGCTATACCATCTTCTTCACCACCCTCTTCTGGAAGCAGGCGCTGCTTCTGCTTCCTCTTCTTTTTCTTTGGTTTTGAGTCCCTTCAAAAACAAGTTCATACAAACTATTGTACATGTACACTACAAGTTTTGACAATTCTTCCTTCCCTTAAGATTTAAATTTTCAATCAAGTTTAATTAATATTGCTATTTGAATTTTTCCCTTTTTTTGTTTTGACTGGAGCTACCAGCTTTCAGATCAGAATAAAATTTATTTAGAACACTTGTTCTTGTAACACATCTTAAACTTTACCAGTCTTGCTGGCCATTTATTGAATATAATTTACACTGTATATTTTATAAATCATATCTAATATTATTCACACTATATATATTTTATGAATCAAATTACAGGTATTTGGATAATGATGTGTCCACACATTTAATCACTGTGATTCCTGGCATTCAGACACTTAGCACTTTTATGTCCTTGAATATTGCTATTTAAAATATAATGAAATGGACAAGCAATCTCATTGAAATTGAATTAATGACATTTGAACCTCTTATGTTATTCTTTCAGAAAGAATACCAGAAACTAAAACTAGGCAAACATATCAATGCAACTGTCATTGAAATTGAAATAACATTTTTGTTTTTAATCTATTGAACTCTATGTCTTGTTATATGAGATATAGATAAAATGGTGAAACTACATATACATGAAATTCAATATAATCTGATCCAGTGGTGACAAAAATTATAGACTAGGGGTCTGATGGCATGATTGTTCAATATCCATGGAATTTATTAATTAAACAATAACTGGGAATTAACTGAATGTTTTTACAGTAAATAAATATCCTTCTGCAAAGATGACGCGACATACCAAGACACATGCGTGATAAAGTTATTATATTTCAAAAATTATATCACCGTGATTGAAACTTTGAACACCAAGTGGTACATTAGCAGTGTTGACAAATACAACTCCAGTACAGTCCAGAAGTGTGCAGAAGGGTGAAAAAAAGACTGGTACGGTAGCAGGTCTGCGTTTGTTTCATTATATATTTTTATTAGAATGTATGAAGTTTAACATCTAGATTTTAAAATGTGAAATAATAAACTGTACAAAATAAACTGCATAGAAATAGTGGTTCGTGTTAAATATCGATTTCCCAGTTTCAGTTTTGTGAGCTTAGGATGACTGTTAATAAAATTAAAATATACAAAGAGACGAATGTGGTCCAACAGTAACGTAAACTTACGACATTTCAAATGGTCTGCACGGCCTGCCTTGTTTTTAAAATGAAATATCGATTCGTTACATCTATCGTTTAGTTCAGCTGCAAGTAGTCAGCGTGCGTAGCAACTCCTCGAACTTGAGAATTTTTCAGATGTCAAGTCAACTTTGGATATGCATGTGATGAAAATATTCCAATAAAATAAATGTATAACAGAACTAGCTTCAATGACCACAAGAAGCTCATGTGTTTACATCCATTCTTCAAGATAGAACTTGAATTTCCCAAAGGCGCTGGTCGTCATTTTCCCTTCTCACCCGAAAAATTCCAACAAGGGGAATAACTCTTTTCGAAATATTGTATACGTACGGTCTGGAGGGGACATTTCAAGGTAGGGGCATGTAAACAATCGAGAAGTTATGTACATGTTATCGATAGCTTTACCTGGTAATTTTGTTTATTTATTTATTTTAAAACCCAGTCGTTACATATATTTTAGCATAAACTTTGATAATAAATTATTTTTAAACTAAACTTCACCAGAAACTGACGACAAAGCAACGACTCGCCCAAAAAACCAAACGAGTTAAATGTTTAATGAAATTTAAGGATGCTCACTAAACCCTGTGTATGTTTAAACAATGATGCCAAAATTTAGATGATTTCTTGTGCTAGGGTCAATTCAGGTAAAACTGGTGAAATAGATGGGACATAAATAAATTACAGCCTGTCGCTGGCAAAGAAGTTACGGGATCTCTTTCAAGAACAATGGTATTTTTCCCGCGCGCCAAACTAAATTTGGTTGATTGGTTGAAAGATTTTTCGTCTCCGTAACTCCTCCCGTGTCCGTGCATCATCTCACCGACGAATACTGGTGTTCTAGCGACGTGAGGGGCGACCTGCATTCCCGCCAGTAGGATGGAACCGTCTGTAGCGCAGGTCGTTTGATTATACTGGTTTTATAAGACGACCCCAGGGCCTCATAGTGCCTTATCATAAATCTAACAGTTGAAACGTTTCCGGAAGCTGAAAGGAAGAGTTTGGGGCCTATCTAGCTTTTGTTTGTGTTAGAGCAATTTTGAAGTCCGTCTCAATGCCTTAAAATATTTGTATAGTCTGACACTATCACTAGACCCCTGTAACAGAGCTATCACGCCTACTCTTTTTATGAAAAGTCACAGAGAATCTTTAGTAGAGTAGACAATCTTCACACGGGCCACCGTTTAAAGTCCCATCCGCAGGACTATACCAAATAACATAAAAGTGGGTGGTATTTGTATCACCTTGAGTGACCATCCATGAAATAGGATTAAAAGGCGAAAGGTTCATACAGATACCACCCACTTTTATTTAATTTGGTGTGTGGATAAAACTCTATTGTTCCTGAAAGTGATCCTTTCCTTTCTTTCAGTTGTGAGCCAATGCGGTGTGTTTTATTTCGATATTTAGTGAGTTGTTAAGTATAAATATGATTTAAGTAACATTCAACTTCAGCTATGTTTTTATTTTATTTATTTATTTTTTGCTAGTTTCTTTTTATGACTTAGATTTGCCTTTATTGTATTTTTGTTGATATGAGCACATGTAATTTCTTTCAGTTTTCAAGCTTTAATTTTTTTTTTTTTTTTTTTTGCTGAATCTGCTTGTTTTAGAGTCTGTCCATGGCGTCTATTACCAGAAGCAGAGACTTGGCACCTATTCTCAACCCATTGTCAACATGTGTATGTGTTTGTAGTGGTGGGTGGATGTGAGGATGTCTGTGTGTGTGTGTTCGTGTGTGTGTATGAGGGTGTGTGAGCGTGCGCGCGCGCGTGTGTGTGCGTGCGTGCGTGCTTGTGTGTGATGAGGGTGTGTGTGTGATGGTGAGGTTAGGAGGTGCGTGCGTGCGTGCGAGTGTGTGGTGAGGATGTGTGTGTGATGGTAAGGTTAGGGTGTGCGTGTGTATTATAGTGACTTACTAATACATATAATTGTATATGGACCGTGGGTTGGGAGTACGTGCCAAGTCCCTGTGATCAATAGCTTGACTTGTATTTATCTATTTATTTGGCTGTTTGGTTTTGTATTTTCTTTCTTTTTTTGTTATGTGAAGAATGTCAGAATTCCGTGTTAAAAGCGATTAACAAAGCTCGTTCAAAGATCTGCAATCATTTCTAAAGATTAGGTAAATTAGACTACAAATGTATCTACATTGAAGGAGAACGTCATGTTGTAAATAATGGTGTCATCAGCAAAAAACACGAGCTATTTGTGTGAAAAATAAATAGACGGGGGCCGAGCACTGAGCCTGGGCACGACTGGCAGGATTGCGAGGAAGATTTTACATCAGTTGACTTCGATCAGATAAAATATTACATATCAAATGCATTTCCAAATCCAGTTTTATACTGATGGTACTACATTTTCTATATTAGATAGTTTTGGACTAATTTCAACGTGGTCCAACGTCCAGTAGGACAAAAATAAAAGACTTCTTACAGTACATATTCATGTTCCAAACAAAGACCATCCTAATGCACCGACACATACAAATAGTACTGTGATTTATCCATGCTGTGACAATTTGTTTCTATTTGGATGAAGATACGAGGTCGGTGGTTCGATCCCTAGATAAGACAGGTTAGTTTTCCGAGGAAAAGGATATCGCCGGCCTTTCTTTTCTGCCGCGGTTGTGTCGTTGGGCAAGGACCTTTACCATACTTACTTTAGATAGCAAGCGATAGACCTCGTGTTGTTCACTGACGTATCCAACAGTTACTACAAAGAGACCTTTGCTGCTGACGTGGCGATAAGCACGTCTGAATCAATGTGTAAATTTGCTTCGGAATTTCAAAATATCAGCTTACCCTCAAAGATCGCTTGGATACATGGCGCAAAACAAACCTTTCCAATGACGTAGCCAGTCGTGCTCACTTACATTCAAATCATATTTCTGTTTCTTAATGTTTATCTGATGGAAGTTAACTTCAGATTATTGAAACTATGATAAAAATTCTTCGTACAATAAAATCTCACAATTATACCTACTGTTTCGTATTTAAAAAAAATCAAATTCAGTTAACCGTATCACACGGTCAGTTAAACCCGTGATGTGCGACATGTACTTACTGCATTCGGGAATTAATGCAAAGTGATGACAGGTATATCTTTAATGGTGTTACTGTAATCAATTTATTATATTGTAGATACCTATCAGACTACTAAGTTAAGGCGTGACTCGTTTATGCATTATTTGCGTTCTTGCGTTTATATTCGGTCCGGTTTAACAAAAATACAATTACATTATTCTTCCTAAAATAAGCGCAAATCCAACCGATTGCTTGTAAAGTGTAGCAAAATAAATACCAAAAGAAACACCTTGCATTGTAAACGAAAATCAAGTCACCAAAATAATATTTTACTTGAACAATGAATTTTTTGCTGGAAAAAACATTGAATGAATTACTAATATTGCCTATATTGCACCATTCTATATGTCTAGATAATAATAATTTTGTTTTCAGTGCTTTTTTTTGCCTGAAGTGCATGCCCCCTAGACTCGTCACCCTCTGCTAGTGGATCGTGTCGCTTGAAGAGCATGCCCCTAGACCGGTAGCCCTCTGATAGTGAATTCGTGTCTCCTGAAGCGCGTGTCCCTAAACCCGTAACCCTTTGCTAGTGGACTCGTGTCGCCTGAGGAGCATGCCCCTAGACTGGTGACCTTCTGCTAGTGGACTCGTGTCGCCTGAAGAGCATGCCCCCTTGACCCGTAACCCTCTGCTAGTGGACTCGTGTCGTCTGAAGAGCATGCCCCTAGACCGGTAGCCCTCTGATAGTGAATTCGTGTCTCCTGAAGCGCGTGTCCCTAGACCCGTAACCCTTTGCTAGTGGACTCGTGTCGTCTGAGGAGCATGCCCCTAGACCGGTGACCCTCTGCTAGTGGACTCGTGTCGCCTGAAGAGCATGTCCCTAGATCCGTCACTCTCTGCTAGTGGACCCGTGGCGCCTGAAGAGCATGCCCCCTTGACCCGTAACCCTCTGCTAGTGGACTCGTGTCGCCTGAGGAGCATGCCCTAGACCGGTAACCCTCTGCTAGTGGATTCGTGTCGCCTGAGGAGCATGCCCTAGACCGGTAACCCTCTGCTAGTGGACTCGTGTCTTCTGAAGAGCATGCCCCTAGACCGGTAGCCCTCTGATAGTGAATTCGTGTCTCCTGAAGCGCGTGTCCCTAGACCCGTAACCCTTTGCTAGTGGACTCGTGTCGCCTGAAAAGCATGCCCCTTGACCCGTAACCCTCTGCTAGTGAATTCGTGTCTCCTGAAGCGCGTCTCCTTAGATCCGTCATTCTCTGCTAGTGGACCCGTGGCGCCTGAAGAACATGCCGCTAGACCGGTGACCCTTTGCTAGTGGACTCGTGTCGCCTGAAGAGCATGCCCCTAGACCCGCAACCCTCTGTTAGCGGACTCGTGTCGCCACGTCTACCCTCTGCCGCTCGCCTTGGACGGTTGTTAATACACCTACATCCCTACTAGACTGGCTACGCCCTTGTTTTTCTAATCAATTTTTAAAAGAAAATTTTAGTTAGTCAGTGACCATTGGTTCTATCCTCATTAAATTCTGATGTATTTACAAGACATGTTATAATCTGAAATTGAAAATGTACATTGATTAGCCAATTGGAGTTTTGAAAGATTGGCTTCGCCAAGCCTTGCATGCTACAATATGTATATATATATAGTCACTGAAGAAAATTTTCTTGTTGTTTTCAACTGGTAAAGTAGATCAAGGTCGGTCTGATGTTAAAGTGTTATTGAGTTGCAGTCGTGTTACCTGAACTGGTTTGATAAATTACCCTCGGAACACGTATACAATCGCAGTTCGTTATTAAATCAATATCAATGTATTAAAGTTGTCTGTAGATCATTGTTAAATGGGATTTTAACCACCCACTTGTCTATTTATATCCCTGTAGAGATAGAAGACGTCGTCTAGGGATTAACTTTGTATAAAAATAAATATTAACATGTACAGTACATCTTAAACAGTTCTATTTTGGAGATATTTGAACACGAGTGCAGAAATAACATGTTGCTGAGAGGGACCTTCCCTTTGAACTTGAGATTTTAATAAGATATGATTTCTTTTTGCATTTTTTTAAATGGAAACATGCTGACAATTACGTATTTTTCTTAATGACTACCTTAACTAGAGGACGGTCCTTCGGCATTTCATATCAACGCGATATTAATCATACGGAAAAAAACTCAAGAGAGTT